ACCTCCCTCCCATCCCATCCCCCATGAAGTGACAATATCAACACGAATGTCATAAGCAAGTTCACTGTTTCTATAATTTTACACACTGATCAACTCCAACAATCTACTCTTGCTTTTGTTTGTAATCTTTACCAATTGACCAACTTGACAACGAAAAATGACCCCAGACTGACGAACGATGATCAAGTTAGTAAACTTTATTTTGACATCATAAGAGACATACAGATGTATTACCTTTGTTATTTGGTTTATTGATCTTCATTGTTATTTTGACTTTCAATATGTCTCCTTTTAACTTGACCTAACTTGTCTATTCTCTCGCCTCCCAACTCTTAGTTATATATACGCCGAGATTTTGTAAATTCTGGTGTAGTAATACTTTGATAAAGCAATTAGCAGCTGAATTAAATAGCGAAACGTCAGCGAAAACACCAATATCGTTTTGTTTTTCATTCATTTGGATATACAAGAACTTTTATTATAATGAAATTTATTATTCATTGCTAACTTCCCGGGTTTTCTTCGTCACAGACTTCTAAAGACCGCTGAGGCCTTGACAATTCATGACTTTAAGCAAGACCTTTGTGTACAAAAGAAGTATGTACAATCTCTACTTCTGCCTTGGCCGTAGAGGGATAGACGTTTATTTATTTTTTGTTTATTTAGTTATTCTATGTACCTTTCTCTTATTTATACGATTATTATTATTATTATTATTACTATTCTCACTCTGAATTATTTCCACTTGTCCAAGTATACAAGTATATTCTATGATACTATACTTGTCACGTATTTCATGTGATGAAAATAGTGTCCGGCAAGAACTAATTAACCTTTTTTCATCTATTAAATAAACAATTTCCTCCATCCATCCTTATATACCTTCAAGTTTTACTTTTATTATTTCTATTCTATTTATGGTCCTCTTGCTTCTTTGTTTGTTTTACTCTCATAATTCCAAACACTAACTTATCTCTATGACTGCTGTAATCTTTGTTTTTCCCCTCACTATCATCATCATGTAAAGAGAACATTATATTCAATATATTTAAACATGCTAGGATTTCTATATCACATTGACAATACTGTGTGAAACAAGCCCATGGCGATTCCCATCACTTGTATTATTATTATTATTATTACTACCTTAGCTGTTATTATTATTATTATTATTATTTCCATTTTATATGCTGCATGTTTTTGACACTACCTCTATTGTAAATGTGGAAGGTTTTCTTTGTGAATAATTTTATTTATAATTTGAGGAAATCAGATGCAATATTGTGTGTGAATAATGCTGAAAATTCCATTCTGTATCACAAGTGCTGTTTTAAACCCAAAATTATTTATTTTTATTTTTTATGTTTACAGTATTTAGTTCAGTCATATCAAGTTTCACACCATGTAGTGTATCATTTTTATTCGCCTACTAATCCTACAATTATGTACCCGTTTCCAAAATCTATACACCTTATGTATTATTCTATTTATTTTTTGGATTAATTATTTTGCCACTTGACATTGAACTGTGATTCCAATTTAGATAAAGCAATAAGAAGACGTAATTTGTCTGATTATAATCACAAATATTTTAATTGCATTTCATACTACTACTCCTATTATTATTTCATGTATTCACGCCTTTTACCAAATTCTTTATAAAACTCTATATATACAATTGTACAGCTTGATAATAAATTCGTTGATAGGATTCTCTTCGCTGAATATTGTGTTCTTAATCTTCATACGTGACCAATTCCCCTTCCCCTACCTTCCCCCTTGTTGAATTATGTTTTCGTAGTTTTCTTATTTACTATACCTCTCGTCAGATAGACCAATCATATTATACGTAAATCTCAGACAAGTCTGTAGCTGTCACACTACATATTCTGTGTACTGCTACCTACTCTTTGCGTATTGGTTGGTCTTTCAATGGTCTCTCAAATATACTATGTCCAGAGAGACTGCTACTTTTTAGTACTAACCGCAGCAGTTAGGCCTACAATGCTTATTTTCAGCACTGAGTGGCATTATTTCAGATGCTGATCTTATTTTAAAGATTTTGTCGCATTAATTAGACACCCAGCTCTCTCTCTCTCTTTAATCACGACCAGTGGTTATATTTCAGAACATAGTAGGTAGATAAAATCTTTATTTACCATAAGAATGAAGGCATTATCGAAGAATAGGTTAGAATAAGTTTGGAGTTGTTGTAAGCTACTTGGGTTTGAACAAGTAGAGTGGGGTATCATGCACCAATTCCTCTTCGAATTGGTTTCAGGAGAATCTCGGGTATACATTTTCTCGTCTTTTGAATTCCTGCTTTGTCCGATTCAGTGTTAGAAAGGGGAGAATTAATGAGCATCGAGTTACGCTTTTTCATTCGAAGAGATCAGCTGTTTTACTTTTTGTGTGTATATTTTAATATTTAATATAATTATTTGAAATTATGGATGTTTATGTCGCCTTTATGTCGAATAAATGAATCTCAATATTGTATGTGTGTCTGTCTGTGTGTGTAGCCGGGCTATCATAGAGATTCGATTGTTTTATGGACAGATAACCAACCATCTTCTCTTAATGGAGAGTGGCAATTCAGAATTTGTTTGGGATTTTGTGCTTATTGTTCATGGTATTCAGTTGGGGAATGTCAGTGCGAATGCTGAGGAAATCGGGTGTGTGTGTTGGGGGGGGCGGGGAGGGAATATTTAGAACCCCTGCTAATAAGTACTTTGATATATTTTGTATTTAGCAATATCACACACATAATTCGGTTTTTAACAACTCACGTGTTAATAATAATAGAACTTGGTCATTGTGCTAGACTATGATTCCACTATCATATGATGTGATCATGAGCAATGGACTGTTCGTGTGACGTCCTCAGGGAATATTACTGTGTAGCAATATCGGACTGTTCATGTTGTCTGTGCATCCTATTATAGTGCAATATAACGGCAGCAAGTGAAAGTAATTCTACTGCCTTCTCAAACAAATTGTTAAGGGTCGCTGTAATATTATAACAAATAAGATAACAAGAAAGACTAGTTTTTCCGTAGATTTGGTGGCTACTGGTCATATTGTAACTCAATCAGTGCATGTCACAAGCTGTTCATGAAACGGTTGGATGGTGGGAGTGGTGTGACAGTGTCAACGTATAAGTGCTACAACATGTCGGATACAGAGTTTGGAAACCTGTCCGTGAACGAAAGGTAACGATATCAGGTGATATAGCAAAACTGAGATGTGTTCTGAAGCGAGTATGAGTTGTTCGAGAACTCTTTCAGCATTTGCAAATACTTTTGCGGAAACTGTAGGGATGTGAAAATCACGAGACCGTCCACTATTGGGTGTAAAGTCAGTATGCAATCCTAGTTTTCTTCTATCCACGGACTCGTAATCAGTAAATCATCGATGTATTCGCAAGCGCCATGTCTTGTCGAAAGAAATCCTAAACGGTTAGATCTGATCTAGTCAAGATGAATGAATACTAGATCTACAAATTCCGTTAGTCCAAAAGGAGTAGTAATCACACTATTAAATATATCTACAAGCTCGAATTTCGTACGATATTGATCAAGTGCAATTTGGGCAAATTCAACATATTATGGAAAAATTAGGAATACACATATTGGATTATCTACCCAAGACTGTCCGTTAACTTAAGACTTAAGTCCTCATAGTGTATTCTCTCAAATTCTTTTTGGATGCGATGTGATACGGCGATAACTATGAGTCAATTGACTGACAGAATATCCTAACTTCTAATAAGCTTTCAATTTCTCATTCAGCTGCTTACATGTTAACAGTATGTAAAAGACATGGACTTGTTCCAAGTGACCCAGCTGTACAGCGGCAGTTATAACTAGTCAGTCATATTGTAGCTGAGACTGTGAAGATTAGTGTCTTAACTTCGACAAGAGGTTGTGTAGTAGTGATGAGAAATGCGTGTTAATGGAAAGAGAATTGGCGACAAAATCAAAATATATTATGCTAAATAGAGTAAACAAAAGGCCAGCTAAGACGGTGATGTTGACAGTTTCGATACCAAGAGATGCAAGGAACAGATGAGTTTGAAATTGTGTCAAAGATCGAAGGAAGGAGAAACGTATCCACATTTTAACTTCATTTATTTCACCTTCACTATTTCGAAATACTGAGATGTTGTGATAGATAGTCCAAATCGCTTTATTATCCAAGTGTCGGAATGCAAGTTTTTGATTGACTTCCAGTCCGAGACTCTTCAAGAGCAGGTATACACGTGATTTCGACCTCGCGACTTTCCGGTTACAAGGCGAGAGTGCTCGTAGGCCAATAAGCCACTGTGACCCAATCCGATTGCCAGTTCTTGAATTCCAACTTCTAAGGAATTTACAGGATAGCGCGAGTGGCACTAGCCTGTGTCATCAGTGTTGAGTGTTTGTCCTCACACCCGACCCTGTTGTACCGCAATGATGACGACTTCCCACTAGAACCCATTCAGTTAACTATCTACTTGAATGGAGCCGGTCATTAGTGAGCATCAATCTGATATTATTGTGCTTTTGTACGCCTGAGTAACTGAGTCCACAAATATACAAGTAATAATTGTATATAATTGTGATTGTTCCGGTAAGTGTATGAAATGACTGAATAGAGTATCTTCGTTGAACTATTTAGCTTATCATTCAAACAAAATAGACTTAATGCATATGTCTTTTAGAAATTCCTTGGTTAAGCCCACATCAGACATAGTATCTTATGAATATCAATGTTCATTGTAGTTGCACTGATGATGCTGTCCAGCTTGGCATAGAAACAGAAGACAATTTGTGGTCATCAATATGTGCTCACTATCAGAGAATGTTACAAAGTGACTATAGCATCACAGAGTATACTTAATTAGGGCGATTGTAAAGCCTATCTGGAGGATATTTCTTAAAACACAGCACAGTGTATTCTAATTGGTTTCGATTTGCTAATATCTTTGGTAAAAGACACTTTTATCCCGTCACACTGATAGTATATATGTATATAAAAGAATAAGTAATTTCAATAAAAGTATTCATCTAGGTTATATCTGAATGGTTGTGTTTTTGTTTAAAACAATGTAATAAGTGTTCTCATTCTCAGTTCAAATGTTATAGATTTTATACTGGATCATTTGATAGTTTCATGAAATATACTCATGAATTTCATTGAGTTGCATGTTGTCATTGTTATAAGAAAGCAAGCACCCACATATTATAACATAATTCATCTGGGCCTGTATGTTTTTCAACCTCTATCTTCATTAGTCGTCTAACTGGCATAGAGCAGCTACCCCACGATTAATCCAATGCTCTTCTGGTTGATTTGTTCTCAAATCAATATACAGAACAAAGTTAGTCGAATGTCCAGTAGTCGATAAGACACCACGTCGAGCAGATGTTTTATAGACTGGGCAACTGTAGGTTGATTCACGATTGATTTCGTTCAGTATTTTCGGAACAAGCCATATCTAACGTTTATACAATAATAAACAAGAAAAAACATAGAAGACTGATATTATATTTTTATTTAATTAAGTTTTGGTCACTATTTTTATTCCAATAAAATTAGAAAATTGATGGTGAAACTATCTGAAACAGCTTCGGGTTAGCAGACTATTATTATTGCTGTACTGATTGAAGGTGAAGTGGAAGTCTGAATCTCAGGGAGGATTTGAACCAGCGGACTATGAATCACATGAGTCAGGTACTATAGCAGTTAACCCATTCATTAAATCCAACTTTTAAGTAGGCCATCCTTTAACTTCCGTAATTACACTAAAATGGTGACATAGTTAAAAGATGGATACTGTAGATAAACTGATGGAATGCCAGATCGGTGATTCAGAGACCTCTGGTTCAAATCCTAGATAATCATTTCATTCCCAGTCACCACTTTTTTTGCAATAACTGGAACTGAAACTACACGTGATTCCGATTTCTTCTAGAAACGGGTCATCTTAACCTGAATTTCCTATCTCAGAACTTATATCTTATGTTTCATATTCGGAGACTGAAACAGTAAGAATCAGGTCTCGTTTAGGGCTGTAGATGAGCATGGTAAGAAGTTAACATCTTACAGCATTATTGCTGCTGTTATTATTCATTTCCTTGTGTTTCTAGTAGAAGGTAGGCTTTGCTGGTACATATATCTATTACACTTGGTTCTCTGTCAACACTTTCACCTGTTTCCATAATTGTCAACAAAACCCTTTCATCTTTTTCTCTTCAAATGATCTGCTTCATGCCACCTAATACCCGAGTACAACCTGCGGCCGCCTCATGGCCTTGTGTTTTATGTCATTTGAAGATTTCCTCAGGAGTGTGTCTAATCCGTCTCCATTACTTTCTGTATAGATATTTGTGTTGATTGAACAAAAGGTTGTTGACTGGTTAGAGCTACCAGGATTCTTTACCACTTATCTTTTCTGACCAGCTATCTGATTTTCAGTGTCAACAGAAGACATCTGTTAATGACGGTCTGTATCCTCTTAGAAATGCTTTGGGTGACGCACGTGCCAAGTCTCTGAATCACATAGTAGTAGCACAGACTTGACAAGGTTATTGTCAGTAGTCATCTCATAATTCACTGTTAACATTGTTATCATTTTTTTTCTGTTAAAACTAACCGCTTCCTAAAATTGCTGTCTACCTTCAACTGTTCGGTGATAACACCCAGAATCATGAAGAACGTTTTATTCCTTCACGTTTCCAGTGCATCGTAGAACTTGAAGTTTGAGCATTGGCAGTAGTGTTTATTTCCTGCTGGGTGGAGTTGCTAGCCGGACGTAAGACCTCCCCCCCCCCTCGTCACCGGTCATACCGCTGGCTAAACGAGGCTTCACTAGTGCACAGGCTAGGCATCAAACTCTGAAACCACTTGCGTGCATAGTTGGCGAGTATTCTACCAGTGAACCGCCGATACCGACACGAGCCTTGATAAATGTAAGGGAGGAGAGGGTATCTGTACACTTGTACGGATACACATTACATCAGTACATCATATCGAGTAAAATGACTTACCACTGGCATTGTATCAAATAGTACTTTTGGTTTGGATTCAGTTAAACAACTGTCTGTTGGATCCCAACGTGCACCTTCTAAATACAGCCCTGTAATATAAGCACCATCATCTGGTTTGGCGAAATTGTCAAATTGTTCATTCGGTCTGACTGGTTTGTTGTTACTAGCAGCCACTGATGGATGTCTAGTGCCTTGAGCTGATAATCTCGGTAACTTGGGAACTGATGGTGCATTTTCCAGCAGGTTGACAGTATTAAGGTATCTGTTAGTCACCTGGAATGTGAATCCAAGTGTATCTATTGGAATGGTATACTTTCTAGCGTAATTTTGTAAGACACCAGTTAGAAATGATTGAGTGAAATAAAAGCCTGATATCCAAAATACTGGTGGTGCATTGTATGTAAGCCAATCAGCGAAGAACTTCAGTCTGTTACAGAACAAGAAGAAAATGATGAAAATTTAGGAGTAATGACGGTGTGTGTGTGTGAGGGGGAGAGGATATTTGTATTTAAGGATTTAAAATACCCTGGTTGAAGTGTCCTGCTTCAAATCAGTAGTGTTTGGATCAGGCATCTAGATAACAGTAGTTATTTATCATCCTCATTGAGGTTTGAAAGATGCTGAAACCTCATTTCAAGGGTGTACCACTTCAAAAGATATTTCAGTTGAAGTTATGACTATGTATCCGTCGGTGGGTTCGATTCCCGGCCGGTGTGCATCTTCACCTCCCTTAACCGGTTATAAGCCCAACAAAGGGAGGGTTGCACATGAGGCTAACAATTCCACTCCGTTAAAATAAACACCTCTGCTATTTAAAACTTTAGAGCTTAGGCTTGAAGGTAGCCTATGTTCCACTGTGAAGGCAAAGGGAAAAAAAGATATAACAAAAATAATAATCTGACTATACAGGAACAATGAATTACTTATCCTCTAGAAGGTTGTTGTCGCTACGTTAGATGTTACCTTCCTGTGAGAGATTTCTCAAAAATCTCCATGAATATTTCTATATGGTTTTATTCCTTTGACCGCACAGAAATATTCTACAGGTATTCACTTTTGGAAATATGGTTATCACCAGTTAGCCAAGTAATCCAAAAATCTACAAGTATTGGTTTTTGTAGGGATTTTGTTTGGTTGTATGGATGATTTCACCATGAGCTGACATCAGTTAGAGAACCACTGGAAAACCTGGGAGTACTGGACAGCTTTTTCGTTCTAGTGCTTGGGACCCTTCATCAGTACGCACCCACTGGGGTTCGAACCCAAGACCTTCTGGTTACAAGGCGAGCTGGTAGACCATTGAGCCACTGGGACCCGATCCAATGGTCCTTGAATTCTAACTTCTGCCAGTTCACGACATAGCGCGACCACTTCGCAATGTCTTTTCTTCGATGAGTTACTGCCTCATCTTCAACCTGCTGTACCCTACTGGTCACGGCTTCCCACTAGAACCCCAGGTTAACTGCCTGAATAGGGTCAGTTGCTAGTGAGCATCAGATCCAATCTAATTTATATATTGATTTATTATGAGCAGTAATAGCTTGTGCTCGAAACGTGGTCACCAGTTAATATTACTGTACAACACTGTGTGATTTATCAAAATAAAATCTTATCCATCATGAAATGTATATATATATATATATATATATATATATATATATATATATATATATGTCTTTCCACAGAAGCAACTGAATCAGTAGATACACATTGAAAATGATCAAATGAGACAGGTTATCTTCAGAGTTACTGGAGAACACCTGGTGACAAGAGACTATCAATCTTAATGTAGAAGCAAGGAATGTTCCATAGAGTTTCGGCCAGAAGATCGCCTATGGATGCTGCATTTTTGTATGACATCTTTTTCGGTATACAGATGGTTTTTTTTTGCTTTGGGTATTGATCTTACGCTTGTTTATCTATGCAGCATTGGAGGGAGGCTTTTTTCAATTAGTGTCTTCTTCAAAAGTGCAATCTCTTTATCTATAGACTCCGTGCTGGGGATTCTTGGAATCCGAGTCGCAAGAGGTCTAATATGAGATTTCGTTTGTGTTTCTGCCACCAATTCATTTGCTCCTATGGAACTAGATATATAGGTCATCAATGTGTGTTATGTCTAAGAATATGGTCAAAGAACATTACCCTTCATAACTACAGAAAGGTATGGTGAGTCAACACAGAGTGCTTTAACATCCTGGCCACTTAATATCTAAGATAGATTCACTCAAAGTTACCTAAACTATTTGACTATTATTTCTTTATACGAATATTCTGAGCTTTAATCACTACTGGATTTCTTCAAAATAATCTTCAAAGTGAATACAGAATACACGGGGTTTGTACCGATTGAAGATGAGTCATTACAAAGAGTCATTCTTTGCTAAATATATCTTTATCTTCATGAATTATTCGGGATATTCAAACTGAAGACAAATGACTCAGTGATATCAGTGATATTCATTGAGTTGAAGCTTAACAGTTTACAGCTTTTTACTGGCTCATATAAAACTGTGCGATGAGTCTCCTCCTCATACATTCACAATCTCTACAACTCTTGACGTAACAATTAGAAAAACACAACGACATATTCACTGGCTGTTTACTCCTACCTGTATATTAAATCTTGTACATAACTTCCGAGTGGTTTAAGCGATGGAAACGATTTTGCTGCCCATACACTTGGTATTTTACCGACAAGCATTGAGTTGAATACATCTTCTAAGTCAGCAGACATAACAACCAAACCTTTGATAGCTTTCTGTAAATCTATCAGTGTTGCACGCACAACACTGGTCAAACGATTGAAACGTATTAATTCCTGTCTCAGTACTGTATTCATTGACTCCTTATACATTACAGGATAATGACCAATTGCCTAAGAGCAAAAGAGAGAATAAAATGAAACAGGACTATAATATCAGCTGTCATTTGTTTGGTAGGGTTAATAGTGTAGTGTAGTTCAAGATGCTGGCTTTGTGCAACACTACTTTAGAGTTTTGGTTTGAATCTACGCAGTGGCCAGTGATGATGTTCACGTCTTGAGTTGGTATCCGTTGTACAAAATGATACTAGTTGGAGTTGGTGACCAACAATTTGATGTTGAAAGATATCTCTGTTATGCTTTAGACTTACAAGGAAGACATTCACTAGCAAGGAGATGCATGCAGTTCAATAAAGAAGACATTATCTTTCCTGGCTTCTATTGTCATATGGAACCAACCAACAACTGCAAGATAGAAGTAACAGTAGTTTAGCAGCAACTAATTACATGTGAAAAGTGATCAAATACAAGATCTACGTACATCATTAGAATAATAATAGAAATAATTTGCTTAATTACAAAACTGCACTCATGATACGGTGTGGAGTTCTCTGCATTTGGTATAATATTGCATATAATTTGCTGTACAACAGCAAAAGCCAGAAGAATAATTTCACAGAGTATAGGTAACCAGAATTGATAATAATAGCTCTTTTGCTATTCGAAGTGACAATAAAGTCGAAAATATACATAAAGTGTAAAATAATAATCGTGATAATAATGCTGATAGCTAAAATTATAATTTAATTGAAGATAAAAGGGCCAGTTATTTTGTTAATAACATAGTAAGTCGTAGGTTTCACGTTAAACACCACCTTTATCATATAGAATGCGGTCCTAGTGGCATACTTGGTTTTACAAGCATATAATCGTTTATAAATAAGGTGAGTCTTACCTGATGAAATACAGTAGGACAGTTGAGAATAGAAACGGTGTCCAGAGAGTCATTGAATATGAATTTGGACCATTCCTCACATGAGTTCAGCTGTCTATCGACTACAGTAGTAACGAGCTGACTTAGCGACGACACACTATTTGCCCTACTGAAAACCTTTAATACCCTGCACAGTATGACGTTTTCTATTTTGAACAGACTAGGAAGGACTAAGGGGGAGCAGTATATTACAGTGGATAAGATGAAAGGGTTAACATATTCTAAAAGTAGCGGTTGAGTGATTCCTGATTGTCTCAACCTGTTAATGTAGTAGGGACGGGACACATTATTGAAATCGACAAGATATGGGAGGACCAAGAAAGGTCAGAGGATAGGATTATTCAAAATTATTTTATGCTTCACTTAGTTTCTGTTTCAGTGCCCTCTATGCTGCAAGCATTTTGTGGAGGAATCAGTTCGCGTAGATCACGTTTATGCCTGAAGGTGAAGTTAACTGTCTAACACTTTGAGGGATTTAACGTAAGGCCATTTAGCTTAGACCACCGGCAGGCTGATTTCCAAAAAAAAAAGCCATCACATTTCGAACACTCAGACTGGGACTTAACTGACAGCTAGAGTCAGATGATCAGCGTTATTTAACGAATCTGACTTGATCCGAAAAAAGGTAAGTCATATAAGAAGGAAAAGAGAAAGGAAGAGAGAACAGCACATTGAGGGAATATCCAGCTACAGTAAGCCAGGTAGAAGAAGACTTGCCTTTATGTATAATATCCTGCATCCCGTTAGAGAAATAAGAATGCAACCAGTTTATAGCCGAGGACTGGGATTTTGTCAGGGAAAGCTTATTTAACAAAAGGCATCTGAGTACAGAATCAGAAGACCATGTGTGGTCAAAGGAAGGTATATCGGACATATTTGGCTCCTTTGTCTAAACAGGAAACAATACTATGATGTAAGACTGATTTAAATCTGATATCTGTAACGTTTGACATTAACTCTACTTACAACTTGGAATTGTTTTGTTCATTTCGATATGTGTCATCTAGATACATCCATTTTGATGTTAAAATTTACACTCAGTATATGTCCTTTTTAATTCTGGAAATAACTTTTATAAACTACACTAAATACATCTCAGTTTCATTCCTAATTCTTAGTAACCTAAGCGACCACATTCCTTATGTTCGTATTATTATTGTTGTTCGCTTGGGATCCTGGTGAAACACACGGCTTCAACAATGGATCACCACTTAAATCTGTTCTGTGCACTCATTTTTAGCTGGCTCCACACCTACTCACATGTTCTGATTTCCTCCTGAAATAGCCTCCTCCAAATCACCCAAATCACGGATTCACGCCCAACTTGTTGTTTCTCATTCAGCATCCGTGTCTTTTAGTAGCTCGCCACATTTCAAGGATAAGGTGTCAATTTCTTTTTTTATCTCTTTTTGCATAGCTTTAAAATAAGTTTCCAGTCATTCTGTTTTTCGTCGTAGTTATCTCTCTCTCTCTCTCTTTATATCATTTATTTCACAAACAAACTCACTGGCTGTCACCAAACCTTTGGTTGCAGATTCCTGTTCACCTTTTGCATTATTTCTACATTGAAGTAAAGGTTACTGTTGCTCTCCGATAAGTGTAATCTCTTTTGTAAAGAAAGGCTTGATGCTCAGTAAACACTAGTGTGTACTATAATCTATGCATATGATCCAACTGGACTGTCACTTTTCTTCTCATTCCGGATGGTTTGTGTGGAATAGTAGCTGTGGTGTTGTTCTTATTTCTACGAAGAGGGCTTACTAACCTTCTCTCTTTTTCTGGCTTACAGCCAATTAGCGAACTATGCGAGTTTTAGGTGTGCGTCTGCTGGGAGTCGAATTTGGGTTTCCCACTTGGCTGATGAGCTTTTTTAACCATTGAGTCACTGACTACCAAAATTTCCCGTAGAATTAATCGAAAAAGTGTGCTTTATCTTTCATTCTCATTGCTACTATGTCTACTTATTTTATGCAGAAGACACTGTCTAAGAAGATAGGGTTTTGATTAGTGGAGATTGTGTTGTACAATTTGATGTAGGGTTGGACATTAAAGATTTCAACTTTGATATGATGATACTATTTTTAGAGAGCAGTCCGTTGGAAAGCTTAAAGAATATTAGTAGGTGTACCTAACTGTTAAAGAAATAATCTGAGTTAATTAAAAACATGAGTAGTACATAAATAAATGCTAAAAATAGGGAAGATTGGTGAAATATTCGAACTATTATTATTTACTATTATTCCCTTGAGTCTCTAGTGGAACATAGTGTTTCAACAGCCCATCTCCATTTCATCTTGTCCTCTACAGTCCCTTTTGGCTGATTCCACGACTGTCCTTAAGCTTTTATCCCTTCCGTGTCACCCTAGGGTCCACACCTGAATCGCCATTTCCCATTTAGGTTCCACTCTAGGGCCTCTCATGCTTATGATATCACTCGACGATCTCCTTAGGGTATGTCCAAATCCAGCAACACTTTCTTCACCACATTTCTTGGGAGAAAGACTCTAAGTTGATTCGTTCCCAGAGTTCCGTGTTGCTTATCATTTGTGGTCATCCTCTATCTTCAATACTGGGCCACCTAAGCCAGCAGCTGACAAAAATGTCTAAAGCTTCTTTGAAATGCTTTTCTAGATTCGCCAACACTCTGAACCATACAAAACAATGATTTGACATTAGTGTTGAAAGCCTGAGTCATGTTGTGTATCCTGAGTATAATAGTTTTCCACACTGATCTCAGATTACTGAAGGTCTGCCTTGCCCTTTCCGATCCTGGCTGACTCTGACATAATCATCCATGCCTCCGGTAGTTGAAACAGTGCTGCCCAAACAAGTGAAGGAAGTGACTTCCTTCAAATTTCTCCCGTAGACAAAGATTGTTGCTTGTTGTTCACTTGGAGTCATGTATTCACTGCCACTTCTCCAAAGTTGTTGGTTTTCGCCTGTAAGTCTTCGAGTTTGTGTGACATTAACCATAAATTAGCCAATCCCGGCTGGGCCCCCACTGCGTCAGTGGCATAGCGGTTAGGACGCTAGCCGACCATGCACATGGTCCGGGGTTCGATCCCCGGCCACTGGACGCACTCCTTTACTTCGCTAAGCCGGAAATAATGCTGGTAAAGAGGAAAGGTTGGGCATGAGGCTAGTAACCGCATCCTGTAAAATAAACACTGCTACAGAAACTTCAAGCCACTAGCTTGAAGCCCTATGTTCCACTGGGGAACGTGAAGGAAAAAAAAGCCATAAATCATCAGAAAAGTCCAAGTCTTATGGAATGTTCTTATCCGTTCAACTTTTTCCAGTTTCCCCGCTCCCTGTCATCTGTCGCATGATCCAGTTCATGATAATTAGTGATATAATCTGTGATAGTAGATAGCCTTGACTTACACCTTTGCCCACTCCACAGGCTTGACCGAATTTTCCACGTTAGGTCTAAGTACAGCATAGAGATCACACTTTTCATGAGAAAATAACGTCTTTTTTTAATATAAATACAGAGTTCTCTGCTTGTCTTTTCGAAATAAATCAAACATAACCAAGTCAACGAGCCTGGCCTCATAACCTGAAGGTCCTGAGTTCGACTCCTGGTGAAGAGCCCAAAAATATCACGAAACAACTAACTGTCCAGTGTTCCCTGGCTTTCAGTGGTCTCTCTAACTGGCGTTAGTTTGTGACAAAATCTAACAAATGAAATAGTTTAATTTAGCTTACATCTTTTAAATTAAAGTCAGGTGGCAGTTTCGAAAGGATATCTGAGGCAAGTTCTTGTACAGTGACTTCTGGTGATTTTCCAGCTCCACCCATTTGTCTTGGCAAAGTTAACAAGATTCCAGAGAACAGCTAGGCGAAAAATCAAATAAAACGAAACAATGTACGTTGTGCTGAAGTAAGGAAAAAATTTCATGAAACATGGATAGTAAAATACTGTAGTCTGTGAGAAACAATGTGAAGCGGTTGAATAATGTCAACGGCTCGAAATCCTTTAATACCACACTTTTATTTCAGAATGCTGTGCATATATATATATATTTATACTTTCCTTGCACACTAGTTTGTAACCAATGTAGTACGCCTGGTCCTTCGTTTGGTTCATACTGAATTCTATCAACAGCCTTCTGCCGGATTGCCTCCAATTATCAAACATGCATTCATTGTGCACGGTGATGGCGAACCACTAGCCATGGTGTGACCACACTATAAACACGTTACTGATGGAATAAAGTCGGCGTCAAACCAAGGACTAGAAGTATGATGTTAGTTAATAACTAGTGTCCAGTCAAAGTATATCCATTAAAGTCCAATAGGAGGTCAATCACCAGGCTGAATAGCTCAATGGCAACGCCTTTTGACTTCAGCACTTGGTGACCTGGGTTCGAATCTCCGGTTACATGAGCTTCTCTAGGAATGCAGATACTCCTTGCTGATTAGAGAGTGCAAACAATCACAAAAACTAGGTCCAGACTGGGCTTTCTTCAAGCATCTAACAAATATATATATAACCCAGGTAGGTGGTCGCATACTGATGAAGACTCCAAAACCAAAACGAAATAGCTGTCCAGTATTCCCTTGCCTTTCAAAGTTTCTGTAACTGACACCATCAGTCCGTGCTGTAACTTGAAATAAAGTTCTTCTGCTGAATTTCACCCACACGCGAACATGTCAGTGTGAATATTCTTACTAGTTTAAGTTTACCTGGAATGTTTCTTGATTATCTTTAGTGATGTCAGCATTGTCGTGTAGGCCGTAGACCTCTGGCATTGGATTCAGCGGTAGTGATCGTATATACTCGATAAAGTCTTGAGCTGTACCATCATCAGGACAATAGTATATGCCAGATGGTGAAAATCTACAAAATGCATAAAAGTAAAAAAAAATATAAATATAAACTATATTGTATGTATACAAAACCCTATCGGTGTATGAAGTTTTCTGTGAATCATCAAGATAAGTGCAGGAACGTATCTCTTTTTTTGCCAATTCAGTTTCCTCGTGCCACCTACTCCAGCAAACTAAATATTGTCTTCCATTGATTTCAAGATCACTAACTCACGGTTCAGTATTATAATTCATTTTGAAAGGTCGGTTATTTCTCTGAGGTTTTTAAAAATGTAGCCATGGGGGCAGCACTATTCTTGAAGCTATGTACAAAGCTCGGGACAAGGCATTTCATGTTTATTTGTGAACTTCAAAATGATTTCAGAGGCTAGGCACCATACCGGATTGAATCTGAGGGATCAAAATACATCACCAACTGCCATGATTAAAAGAAGACCGTCACTTCAGTTTAGTTCATATGAGAAGCTACATTCATCTACTTGGAGTTCCTATCGTAGGCTCATACACTTAGGAATCAAACCATTGTTTCAAAAAGCCTCGTGTTGACTTACCATTACGGTACGCTATGAATTGTTGATATTAAATGCTTTGGAGGCAATCGACAGGAAGCCCTACATACGTAAACTTCGTGCTTGTTGGCACTTATCAGTCAGCAGGTCACATGACATCAGCTAACAAGTGTCCAATCAAAGTATCCAATACAGCCAATTACGAGCCTGAATAGCTCAGTGATAAAGATTCTGACTGGGTAATCCAGGTTCGAATCTCAGTGTGAACATGATTCCCTTTAAAGATTGCAGATACTCCTTGCGGACCAGTGAAAGTGCTAACAAGCACGAAACCTAGACCTAGTAGCTCCAGGGCTTCTTGCCGACTGCTTCCTATCATTTAATATAAATCTTTTGTTTATTTCGATAAAGAAAGGAAGACGAAATTTGCAGTATAAAATGATATCGTCACTCTATTTCACAGGTTCTCATCAGCTAACTGCAGACTACCTGAAATTACAATGGTTATACAGATGATAATAACATACTTCAATGTTCGAGTGATGGTAGAAAAGAGATGCTATAAAATTGACGACGCATCCAAAATGAAAGCATTACAATTTTTTTAGTTTAAGTTTTCATCACCAATTTATACGTTTTTAAAGGTGAAAAGAGGGGGAGGAGTAAGACAGAAAACAGAAAAAATTGATTAATAGAACAGTGTTAGCTTTTAGGTTCACATGGCAACTCGAGAAACAAAAACGGTTATAGTTTATGAGATTAAGATTTGTTCAGTGAGTTGAGATCACTGAATTAGATGACAGAAAGAAGGGCTTCTATCCGGTTTTCTGAACATATCCCCAAAAACCTGTGCCTGAAAGGAAGCAGATATTCCCAGAGTGCAATTACCAGACACATTATTGATACCAAATATCTCGTAGAGATTTCTAAGTCCTTCAAAATATTAAATAGACAAAGGACAGCAAATTTACTAGGATTTACCGAAGCAATCGCAATCAAAAGACTTAAACCAGACTTATGCATACAGAAAGAGAGTGTGATTAACCTCTCACTCCCTTGGTAACAGAATTTTGATTTTGATTAGTCATCTAATTCAGTGATCTCAACTCACTGAACCAATCTTAATCTCATAAACTGTAACCGTTTTTGTATACAATTGGTGGATGGTGGCTAGCAGTGGAATCCAGGATGCACACTTCGTCCTATTTGGGACTCGTCAGCTGGATGTACCTGCATTTCTTAGTGATTGATGATGATGTTCTCACCGAGGCTCGAACCCAGTACCCATAGTTTCAAACGCCAAAGCGTTATCCACTAGACCACTTGGGTCACGAGAGCCACCTCTTGTGCAACGGGTCATATTAAATATTGAATTGAATTTTTGATGCACATTTCTTCCTATTTGGGACGAGTCCGAACGGAGGTACATACAGATAACGAGTCCCAAATAGGACGAAATGTGCATCCTGGATTCCACTGCTAGCCACCATCCACCAATTGTATCCTAACTAAATGCCCAGACATCGTCGAAGCATCTGCACAAGAAGCCGGCATGTCAACCTGAGACCGAGCACTTCGGTCCAATCAGTCGACGGGGAAATCAAGAATTCAATTCAATAATGTAACCGTTTTTGTTTCTTGAGTTGCTATGTGAACAAGCTACAAGCTAACACTGTTCTGTTAATCAATTTTTTCTGTTTTCTCTCTTACCCCTCCCCTCTTTTCAACTAGCGTATAAATTGATGATGAAAACTTAAACTAAAAACATTGTAATGCTTTCATTTAGATGCGTCAATTTTATAGTATCTCTTTTCTACCATCACTCGAACATTAAAGTATGTTATTATCATCTATAAAACCATTGTAATTTCAGGTAGTCTGCAGTTAGCTGATGAGAACCTGTGAAATAGAATGATATCATTTTATACTGCAAATTTCGTCTTCTTTCTTTATCGAAATTTATCAAGGGAACCAAATGTATGAATTTTTTGTTTATTTCTTCAGTGTTAATTTATTAAGGGAACTATGGCAGAAAAAAGATTAGCTAAGGGATCAACACAACACAAGTCAACCCTTTTATTAACAATCTTTAAACTAAGGAAGCACTTAGAATTAACCTTGCATTGGAACAGCTTACTTTTATTGCAAGTATGCCAAACATACTCAGTGTTATATTTAAATTTGTCAGAATACTGTGTTTTTTTTAACGTCTTCACCCGAGGACCGTATCATCTGTTTATCCTAAATCAGTTTGTAGTTCAATTTGAAAGTGTGCTCTCATTGTTCCTTTTTTTTTCTCTAAGGTTTAGTTTGGTTTCAGAGTGATCTGCAGGCAAGATTTCGGCAAAAACTTTGACAGTTGTAATATCTAATCACTACTCTTCTATACAATAAAAACTGAGAACAATGAAGAGAATAATTGACATCCCATCCAGAGCATGCGTACATATTTTTCTTCACTCGGACAAAATTTTACGGAGTCATGGCATTTCCTTTCACCGTGATCGTGTTTAGGTCCTCTACACTTAAATTCGTGAAGATAAGTAAGACTGATAGGATTAAGCAGTGCCTGTTGGCGATCCATGTGCAGTCAGCAGACTGACCAAATATATATATACAAGTGATCTTTAACCATAGTAGTTTATACCTCCCCGCACGAAAGCTATCTGGTTGTAACTTAACCATACTGCTTATAGAATATAAATTAAGTAGTATACATCTGAATACCGATGATGGAAAGAGTAAACATTACTGGAGCTTAGTGTCAGAAGAAGTTCATTTTGCAGGAATCTATTAAACCCAACCTTTATACTTGTTAATACCTATCAAATATTGACTTATCACAGCATACACTAACAGATTACTAAGCGTTGCGGTGTACAGCAGTGTCCTCTGGAGCCACCACAAACCTTATTGATAGATTCCAAACAACATAACAATTAGAGCTAGGTATCTATGCTGACTGCTGGTCAACAACCTATTGGTTTTTGATTGCTTGCAGGATTTCATTCTGAGTTGACAAAAGTTAAAGAACCATTGGAAAACCCGTTGAGCAAGAGGTCCAAGTGGTCTGGTGGATAACGCTTTCGCGTTTGAAACTATGGGCACTGGATTCGAGCCTCAGTGGGAACATCATCACTCAACTGAGAAATGCAGGTACATCCATGTGAAGAGTCACAAATAGGACGAAATTCCACTGCTAGTCACCATCCACCAATTAAATACTAATTAAATGCCCAGATATCGTCGAAGCATCTGCACAAGAAGCCGACATGTCAACCTGAGACCGAGCACATCGGTCCAATCAATCGACGGGAAAATCTATTTATTTGATTATTTTTATTTCACCTTGATTCCACACTGTATTTTTTGGTACAGGTATGGAATTTTCAGCATGTGATATCAGTAGTCCTAATTTTGCAGGCCGACCGTAGATTTCAGGTGTGCGTTGGCAGGGGATGGAACCCCGGACCATATGCATGGTCGATGAGGGTGATAGCCACTGTGCAACCGACGCACAATTCAATTAAAAAAAACAATGCTTTTAACTGACTATGAACACATTACTGATTGGCCAATAAGGCGACCAGGGTACACCTTTTCAGGGAAGTCTACCCTTAAATAGTAGAGAATATTTGTAGCTAAGGTGGATGATTTGCAATTAGTTAGTCTACTCTAAATAAAATGGTTCCACTTATCATTAATATATCTGTACTATTGTAAATTATTCTTAGGCACCTTACACGGAGTCTCCACCCATTGATTCCTATCTAGTGCTGATTGACTGATATGAATAATTGTACACCACTCACACTACCCAGTAGTGCTTGTTAGCTAGCCACATCGAAATGATATAAACATGAGACAGCTGTTACGCTCGTTCGGGATAGAGGTCATCAGCGGTGTACGCGTTTTGACTCATCTCAGCTAGATGAACCACTTCGATTTTAACTGGCTGCTTCGGTGAACTGGTAATACATTGAGTCAAATTCTCAATCTGCAATTCACACTGTACCAGTAGGTGACATTTCAGATATTGTTGATATGCGTGATTTTGGTTTCTAAAGGAAACTGGTGAGGTTTAATTTACTGGAACAATGTCACAATTGTAAATTTAGTTGATTTTTATCAACCTGAAGACCAGAATTAATCATTTAACACCTGCATATAATGATTGAAACTAACAGTCAGTAGTTTTAAGGTTATATTGAAACACTCTACTTTGACCACTTTCAACTATCTTTCAGCTTAATCTGAACTCAGTTAAAATCCTGTCACTCGGAATGCATGAAAACGTCTGATGTCTCACATTAATCTATGAAAGTTTATAAAACTGTTGATAAATTCATCTTCTTTAACCAATAAACTGTCAGTTATCAACAGAAAATGGAGGTGGGGGGGGGTAATGTTTGCATTTGAGCTCCTGAGACCAGATATTTGTGTATAAGGAAGGGAATTACAGTTACCCTTAATCTGATGCTGGTTTGATTGCTAATTTAGCGGATTGGAGTAATCAGTCGGCGTTTTTCGATAGACCTTAATCATGAATTTATAGATGTGCTGGATTATTTAGTATTGATGCTCAGCAGATCACTAGACCTATTTATGCTATTATTACTCCATTGGAAAACAGGATTTTATCAACACATCTCTAATTGGTTCTACTTTATATCGTCGCCTTCATTTGGGTACACGATTGCCCATAATCTCTAATCTCTTCCTCTCACGATCTCCTGGATGTCATCTTCGGACACACTACCTACTCCTTATTTCCCATTCGGGTTCCTCCGCTCGAGTGTCTAGCGTGTGATGTCTACTAAGCGTGTACTCATCCAATCTTCATTTCCTCCAGGATATTTATTGAACATTAGCTTCTTGGTTAGTTTGCTACCATAGTTTCTTGTTACAATTTTTCTTCCACCGGCCATTTGATCTTCATCATTATCGAGAGAAGGCAGCTGTTGACGAAAAGTCAACAGCTGACTGCTGAAAATGAATTTTGTGATGGGTGTGCCAAATTTCTGGCCCATTAACTGACTGACTTCACATTTGTGTTGAAAATCTGAGTTTTATTTTTTATGCTGAGCGTAGAAGATTTCAAAGCTGGTTTCAGATTGATGAAGGCATATCTCGCCTTTCCGATTCTTACTGGCTTTCATCACATCTTCATCCGTTCTGACTCTCTGTGTGATAGGATCCCACACATTTTGGTATTTACTGTTAATCTTGTATATATGGTATATTATCATTCCCACACATTTTGTTACTGACTGTCAACCTCGCACATATGGTATATTATCATCTCTCACGCACTTTGTTATTGGCTATTAAGATAAATTATTTCAAATGCTGTTAGCTGTCCATATTGTTGTAAAATGTATAAATACCATGGCTTTCTTTATCATTGTTGCACTTCAATACACAGTCACAGTCCAGCCTTTGTCTTTTGATATTTGCGTGCTTTGCTGAATCGGAAGGTACGACAAGCAGATAGGCAGATTAGTTCAGGCGCAGACAGAGCAAGGGGAAAACGTCTTCCTTGAATTCCCTACAGTTATAACACTGTGGTTGAAACCATGCTACCTAGATAAGTGGAGGAAGTAACCTCTGTCAAATCTCTCCTGTTGATGGTGATTGATACCTGCCGGTGATGTTGTTGTTGTTGTTGTTGGCTGGTTAGCTCGTTATCTTCATCACAGCTTCGTCTTCTCTATGCACGCATGGATTCGTGTCTTTGCTACCAATGTGCGTCGGTGGCACAGTGCGGTTAGGACTCTCGCCGATCATGCACATGGTCCGAGGTTCGAGCCCCTGCCACTGACGCACACCTGATATCTATGGTCGACCTGCAACATTTGGGCTACCGATATCCATCCATGCTGAAAATTCCATACTTCTACCAAAAATATACAGTGTGGAATCAAGCTGTAATCAGAAATAAATAATGTCTTCTGCCAGTCTGTTCGTTTTCGCCTGTAAGTCTTCTAGTTTTTGTGACAGAGAACATAAATCATCGATGAAATCCATATCTTCTAGAGTCTTCTTATCAGGCCAACCAACGTATTCCTGCCTTCTTACGGCTCCTTACGGTCTGGCGCATAATTGAGTTCACCACAATTAGGGATGTCATCGTGGGTGATAATAGACACCCTTGTCTTACTCCTGTATTCACAAAACCAGTCAAACTGCCATAGAAACTTGAACGTATAATAAAAATACAATTGGTGGATGGTGGCTAGCAGTGGAATCCAGGATGCGCATTTCGTCCTAATTGGGACTCGTCATCTGGATGTACCTGCATTTCTCAGTGAGTGATGATGTTCCCACCGAGGCTCGAACCCAGTGCCCATAGTTTCAAACGCCAAAGCGTCTAGTGGATAACGCTTTGGCGTTTGAAACTATGGGCACTGGGTTCGAGCCTCGGTGGGAACATCATCACTCACTGAGAAATGCAGGTACATCCAGCTGACGAGTCCCAATTAGGACGAAATGCGCATCCTGGATTCCACTGCTAGCCACCATCCACCAATTGTATACAAATCAAATTCCCCAGACATCGTCGAAGCATCTGCACAAGAAGCCGACATGTCAACCTGAGACCGAACACTTCGGTCCAATCAATCGACGGGAAAATCAAAAATTCAATTCAGTATAATAAAAATATTAAAAATACTAAACACAACGACCATTTCAAAGCAGGTGTTACAATAGAAAGTATTAATTTCAACTATCTTAGAAGGATTGTGTGAGTAGCTTTATTGAATATCCCACCCCACCCCACCCCACCCCTCCAATTGTATCGTCGTAGTCCACTGCCATGATGATCTAATCACAAGTTATATTTTTGTATACTTATTAGAAATTAAAAAAATTGTTCCTCTGGCGTACATATTACCAATGACACTGAATTCTTAAAATGCATTAAATTCACTGCTCACTTTTATCAGAAAATGTTGCTTGCTACTGGCATCCTCTGCAGTGTAATGGGTTTTAGGAAGCAGTAAGTTAAAAAGCTAAACGTATATTATTGCCATTATCATTATTATTATTTCATCTATCTATTGAAAAGCTCTAATAAGCATCGTATTAGGCAGATGGCGTCATTTCGCAAAAAAGAGGTAACCCAATATAATCCCCTTAGATTGCATCGCTCACTCGTTATGTTTCTTGAGTCGGTGGTTCGTTCATCGGTAGAATGCTCACCTGAAAAGCATACGATCTGAGGTTCCATTCGTGGCCGACCCACAACCCCGCACCTACACCTTGCTTAGCCTTTAGTAATCCCAGTATAAATAGGGCAAGTTGGTTGGGAGGCTAGCAACTCCATTCTTAGAATCAACACAGCTATCCAAAAAGTTCACAGCTTAAGCCTGAGGTCCTTTATGCTCCGTTGCGATGCGCAGAGAAACTAAATGAACAAATAAAAAAACACACAATAAAATGGTTTATAACTCACTTATAATGTTGTTCATCAATAATCTTTCTGTTATAAAATATACCCAATAATGAAATCAGCAGTCGCCTGTCTTTATCATCTGTTACACGTCCACCATAATTACATTCACCAGTTAGATAAGTTAATGCCTCTAGTGGAATTTCATCATACTGATCTAAAAACATCTAAAAAGAAATTGAAGAATAATAGAAGGTTAATGAATGCGTAGACAGTGGAAGTAAATTATCCCAAGTGATATTACACAGTCAGTTAGGGGACATACACACACACACACACTAGGTTAGACGATTCTTGAATATTGAATTGGCAAATCAATTAGCAATTCAGGCAGTCCAAGAAAGTGAAATTTCAGCACAGTTACCTTTGAAAACCAAAATTGTTTACGTCACAATAAATGATCGATCTGCTTGATACCATAACTGGGGTAATCAAGAAATCAACAATAAATGCACAAAACTAGATACTACCGATTGGTTCAAATGAGTAGTTGTATATCTCTCACATCAACCAGTGGTGCTTGTTACCCAGATCGAGGTGGTCTAAACACGAGAGAGCTGTTTCGCTGGTTTTGGGCCGTGCCCATCAGTGGCGTGGAAGTTTTGACTCATTTGAGAAAGCCGAATCAATTCAAATCATACGATTTCTGGTTAGCCACTTGTTTGAACAATTTTCAAATTAATTTGCACTTTGCACAATTTGTGGAAGAAAAGCCCACCACAGTTTCCTTTCAAATGATTCGGCTTTCTGAGCTTAGCCACCGCTGATCAGCTCGCCCGGGCGAGCTAGACGGCTGTCTGTTGATTAGATTACTTTGATGTGGTCAGCTATTTTTAATGATTTATGTGAGTGGTGTACGATTACTCATATCTCACAATCAATAGAAAGTAGTTTTACGCATATATGATCCTTGAATATATTTTTAATAACCACGAATAGTTCCATTTAAAAGGTTGTGTGACAATAAAAGCTTCTAAAACAGCTACACTTACCAGTGTCTGAATAACTGCTGTAAACTTTCTTATGCAGGAAGAATTACTGATAAATTCATCACTTTTTGAAAAATCTAAGATCCCAACTAGTTACTCAGACTGCAGAAGGTGTGATTACTGAGGTTACCTTGAAGCCTACGATCGTCTCAAATGCTTTAACGTGGCAGGTTATCGACTTATGGGTATGAAGTTTGTAGTGTTTTCAATTTTGGTCGCAAACCTACTTCATTTAGCGAAACACTGAAAACCAAAAGTACTGAACATCTGCGTACGATCCCAGGTGGGGTCTTTGCAGTGTATTGATGAAGAGTTCCAAGCTAGGACGAAACAGCTTTCCAGTACTCAGTGGTTCTCCAACTCAAGTCATTTTGGTGATCAAACTTCAAGTCAGCGAAATCCCTGAAAACCAATACATCAAAATTTGTATTATACTTTCGCCATAATGAGTTACTAATACTGCCATCTCATATCGGTGTTTGCATTCAAAAGCCTATTTCGCTAGTAGTGAATTTTACTCAATAGAGGTGACACAAAGAAACAGGTAGAATGTTGCTTTTACTTCGAGTTGTTTGCCAGTTAGTTAGTTAGTACAGTGAATTTTTGCTGTACTTAGGGCAAGTATATAATTTCGAAGAGAGTTGTTACTAGTCCTATCTACTTATCTTAATGGATATTAATACAAGAGTCAATCAGTCATCTGACGTGTTTATCTTTATTCAATAAGCGCTTTCTGTATGGTCGGGTTAACTAGTTGAATGCATTTTATCAGACAAAAAAGCTACTTTGGATTCACTACAAAGCTCACAAAGTGTAGCTGGAAAAAAGTTGTAGCTTGGTATGCTTAATTTTACTTCTTCTTTCTGGGAGAAGTACTTCTGGACTTTTATCATCAAGTCAAAACTCGGTAGATGCTAGCCATAATCTTTTCCATTGACAGCTTGCAATATTCGTATAAAGTTAATCATTTTATCCCGTTGTGCATTGGGGTAGTTAATTGGTAAAATTCTGACCAATCATGCATATGGTGCTGGGTTCAATTCCCTCCGGGCGCATAGCTTTATCTCCCTTAGCTAGCTGGTTATTGGCCGGACAAAGAGGAAGGGTTGGACGTGAGGCTAGCAACCAAACCGCAGAGAGAAAAAAACACCACGGTTATTGATACTTCACAGCTCAAGCATGAAGCCCTATGTTCCACTGGGGACGGAAAGGATCATTGAAATGAAGAAATTATTGGAAAGTGCTAAACGTTTTACTATGGCAGGTAGGTTGAGTATATCAGGCAGCTGTTTTATTTGTAAACTTATAATCTTATGAAAATTTAATTTCCCATTGAAAAATGTGAACAAATCAACCCTTTGATGTTGATGTGGTTTTTCTCTATAATATCTAAATCAACCCTTGATATACATCATATTCACATATTTTTTTTTTTTATTTTTGTTACAGCTTGATTCCACACCGGATTTTTGGTACAGGTATGGAATTTTTGGGCATGGATGGATATCGGTAGCCCAAATTTCGCAGGTCGACCATAGATATCAGGTGTGAGTCGGCAGGGGATCGAACCTCGGACCATGTGCATGATCGGCGAGAGTCCTAACCGCACTGTGCCACCGACGCACAGTGGTTACTTTTAAGCTCGGTCTTGCTAACAACTCATTTTCTCCACTTTTCTCTTGTTATTTTTTTTTTAATAGGACGACGTTATTGGCATTTGGTTTTACACGCAACGTTTAACCCATTATAGAACTCAAGGACTTGAATGTATTATAGCAAACTAATCGAGTTCAGATATAGTATGTGATAAAGTCGTTTTTTGTTTTTCAAGCCGCTTTTTCGACGAGTACTAATATCTCTGATAACTGTAAGCTGGGATTCGTTAGCTCTGTGTTACTTTTACCATATTATCAGTTTTCAAACCCAGAGGTCTTCATCTTTGGGTTGCTCGACTGGAACACTATTTCACTTCCAATAATCTCTCTTCACAAAATTTTGCATTTTGAGTAGTGTACTATCAGGAGAAGTCACTAAGCATGTACGTCAATATTATCCTTCATCCCAGTATAGAATCCTTTTACAGTAAATTGAAAGATGTACCCCTATGTTATACGTCACTCTCTGGTAGACAAGCACTGAGATCATTTAACGCCATTTTAACCCCATGCAATACGCGCAAAGCCACTCAAAGTGATAAATTGATAAATGAATTGGTTTTATAAGCGTTAAGTTACAGTTACTATAGGGATACTACTACAAGCTTTGTAAAAAAAAATATCCGTTCCTACAAAGTTCATCTTTTCATCTTAATAAGCAGAAGTTCGTTTTTGCTTGGGTTGCAGGTAAAACAACATGGGGCTTCAGCAGGTTATCTCCATTTCATTCTGTTCTGTGCGCTCCTTTTAGCCTGGCCTCACAACCACTCATAATCCCTTCCATCCATTTCATATCACCCTCGGATGCCCAAAATAATCGCTTCATTTCTAATCCAATTCAAATCAGCGGTCTACCTAGCCTGTGTCCAATGCATTTCCGTTTCCTTTCCTGTTTGCTCATCCTTCCCAGCCATCTAACTTCCAGTGTTCGGCCAGGGGAAATAAGCTGTTAGTGAACATCTTCAATCTGTTAGAAGTGCGTTACAAAGCATAAAACAAAGTTTTAGAAAAAATTATCTTTGAACTCCTGTCTAACCTTCATTTGTCGTACGCTTATACGTAGATCAGATTCATTAAATTCATAAGGAACATTCCAACCAAGTGGACCGAATTTTCGACGTTCTTGAACTAAGGCATGGAAAAAGCATAACCCGAATAACATTTTATGCCAGATAGGATTCTGAAATAGTAATAATAACAGTAGTAAAGTTTTGTTTTAAGTAGACAATATGACTTTAACAATATAAAATGCATTGAATTCATTTCTATAATATATATATATATATATATATATATATATATATATATATATATATATATATATATAAATCTGTGTGGAGGTCAACAGCACTCAGCATCAAAAATAAGATCCGGATTTTCAACTCCAATGTGAAATCAGTCAGTGCTACTATACGGATCAGAGACTTGGCGAGTCATAAAGAGCATCTCAAACAAACTTCAAACCTTCATTAACAACTGTCTCCGCTCAATACTCAAGATCAGATGGCCGGCCAGAAAAGATCAGCAACAGGGATCTCTGGCAATGAGCGGACCAACACAGCAGGAACCGATTGTGAAACAAATAGGCAGAAAGAAATGGAGATGGATTGGCTATACGCTGAGGAAACCATCAAGTGAGTGACATCACTAGACAAGCCATCGCTCGAGTGGGACCCGAAAGGGAGGCGGCGAGTTGGTCGTCCAAGGGTGAGGGTGACTTGGAGGAGGTCATGCGAGGAGGAGATGAAAGCATGTGGACAGACCTGGAGCAGGTTGAAAAAGTTGTCAGGAAACCGAAGTCAATGGAGGTGCGCAGCTGAAGCCCTATGTTCCTCTAGGAACTAAAGGATACAATAATAATAATAATATATATATATATGTTGACAGTCAAGCCTGTACCTCAACTTCGTCAACTTCGAAAGGCCTTCGATAGGATTGATTGAGAGGACGTTCCCCAAATCTTTATCAGTCTTATTCCACAGCTAGCTTTATGACAACGACACGTGCTAGGGTGATCCACAACGGAAAACTCAGAGAGGCGTTCGAAGTGCGCATACAGGAGGAAAACAATAGCATGCCTGCTTATTATCACCGATGATATTCTTAATTTTAGTGGACTGGATTATGCGTCAGACTGTGGAGTGAAAGAAATAAGAATATTTTTTGGATCACCAATAGGAAGACGCTAGAAGATGTGAATTTCACAGATGATATGTATATGTCTAATATCATACAAACTCGAAGATTTACTTACAGGCCTTACTTACTGGCCTAAGAAGCTGGTAGCGAAGATAGGCCTCCAGATAAACATAGAGAAGAAGGAGGTGACGAAAGTCATCACCGATCAACAGCAACAACAACAACAACAACCAGCACCAATATCACCATCAACAGGAGAGATTAAAAAGAGATGGTTCTTCCTTCACTTATCTTGGCAGCCAGCATCGTTTCAACCACAAGCAGTTGTAACAGGTGAAAATGTCAAAGCCAAGATACGTCTTCATCAATCTGAAATTAGTTTGGAAATCTTATGCATTCAGCCAGCACGAAGAACAAGATTCGGAGTTTCAACACCCAGTTACAAGTCGGTCCTTTCATAGGAGTGAGAAACTTTGCACTGTAGTCACGGAAAGCATTTCCACAAAGTTACAGACTTTTGTTAGCAGCTGTTTTCACAGAATTCATACTTAAGATAAAATAATTAGCCAGAAAAAAAAATTAGTAACAAGAATCCCTGACAACAAACCAACCATGAGCCGAGTGGCCAACAAATTTGTAGGAGAAAATGCAGATGGATAGGGCATAACATTGAGGAGGCAGTCGCTTGACATCTCATATTAGACCCTCGAGTGGAATCTGAATGGGAAATCGACGAGTTGGTCGGTCGCCCTAGGGTGATATAAAAGAGTTCATGTGAGTTGGAGGAGATGAGAGGAGATTATGGACAGTCGGGGATACAGATGAAGGGGATAGTAGAGAATAGAAAAAAGTGGCTGCTGTTGGTGACATCATGCAAGGCCACTCCCTCGGTGTGCTCGTCGTTGTCCTCTGGGTGACCGGAATAGATTACTGTCTCTCCACTTGGTAGTAGTTGACACCTTCCACATCCGTTCCATCTGCTTTCGCAAATTCCCAACACTTCTATTCTATATCTTCTCATTTCAGCGGCTATCTGGGAAGCCTTCCCAGCTGGCTTCGTACATTGTACGAACATTCCAGGTACCCATCCTTACTTTTGCTTTCATCGAAAGAAAGCAGGCACATCGGCTGACTGGCTTCCCGAAGGCTAGCTTTCACCAGCCTGCGTCATTTCACTTCCCCGATTCCAGCGAAAAGTAAGGTTATTGGTTATGTTTTTAGAGTTTTTAATATATTTATTCGTTGAAGTTTCTGTAGCGATTTGGTTGTTTTACGGGAGTGGAGTTGCTAGCCCCACGCCCCAACCCTCCCTCTCTCTTTATCCGGGCTTGGGACCGGTAAGAAAACTAGCAAGCTAGTGATCTAGGCGAGGTTTGGGGGCTCGTCCATCTTGTTACGTAACTCTATTGCACTTATTCAACCCCCTTTTATACAGTGATTAACATCAACAGCTATGCCGTCGCCACTCCCCTCTTAATAATCTTGATTATTCATCAAATTTTTTTTAATATTCTGATGATGTAAATAGTAAACCTAACTAATTTTTATTCTTGTCTGCAGACGTAATGTACACACACACACACATACAAAAATAATTGTTTATCATTGAGACTGTGCAGATATAAGTCAATGAATTTTGCTGAAAGAAGGCTTTTCACTGAACTAAGTATTTTGTTTTCATAAATATGGTTCTGTCAAGAAGAAATGCACATAAACAAAACAAAGTAAAAATGTTACACGGTGTCCTTCTTCAACAAGCATGGCCGACTAATTGGAGGCTGACGGCATAACGGAAAAAAACAACAACACTCGTTCCAATTAGTGAAGCTGGGTCACTGTGATGTGTGCAGACTACATCAAAGTAGCAGCCAAATGGTCAGGACAAGAAACGAAAGTTTACAGTAATTATTATAGGGTGTTTGGCAAAAAATGTACAACCTCAAAAGTTACAAGTAAAATTATTTTACAAAGTTTTTAAAAAATAATTAAAAATCTACCCACTTTTGAACATCCATCATAAAATTCTGGATCAGATATTGGATCATTTAAATAAGAACGTAATAAATTTGATCGTAGGCCTTTTGGAGGTTCATTTGTCATTTTTACACCTTATAAAAATCAATAAACATGATGCAAATATGTGCACAAACTTAAACTTTTTGTTATAATAATAATAATAACGGTTTTATTCCGAACATAACGTTTGTCACAATGGGAAATCTTCAGCTTGTCATACAAATATTGCGCCTAATTATCTCTTTAGATTTACTTAGTACTGTAACAACAGAAGACAAGGGCCAGGCAACAGATCGTTTTATTATGAAAATCAACACGTATTTATACATATTTCACATACATTATTATAGCTTAGCAAGTAGACAAGCGCAGTCATCTGATTGATTGTTTATCAGAAGTTAAGCAGACAAACGCAGGCTTCTGATTGGTTGTTTCGGGATTCCTCGACAAATAGAGTTCTCTATCTGCGAATCATATTTTGCCACGTTAACTTTGCTGTGATTGGTTGTTGAATCAGCCTTGCTCATATTTTCTCACGGCCTGCTCTCACCACAGTACGACAGCGGGGGTAATTAACAGGGTATTTTTACATCGATAATCATGTCAGTAAGAATATGAAGATAAAATTACAATTTAAGTGGAATAGTGACAACAGTATAATAATAAAAGAAGGAAAAAAAAGCGTCGTTTTCTCGGTGTTTCACAGTTAGTCAGTATTAGTGTATCTAACACTTTTGTGCCAAATGAGGCATCATACAGTTGGTATGATTAGTCGTTCGAGCATAAAGTCTTTTATAACTGCCTCCAGTACTATCTGATGAGATGCAAAGGGAGAGTTGTTAATAAGGAGGATGTGCCACAGTCTGACAAGGTTATATTCGTCAATTTCTTGCATGAGTTCAAGTGCCTGTAAACAACAGACTAGCAACACCACACTCACACAGCTTTTAGTGCATGCACTTCACACTGTAACTAAGTCTTTCTTTAGTAGCCAAGAGAAGATTAAGTTGCGAGGAAGCAATAAAAAAAGGATAGGCACAGTGCAAGAATTAACAAACTGTAACAGTATAGACGATGTGGTACCAGATTGTCTAAACTTTGAAACAAACAGATTAATATAAAAAAGAGAAAGATTGAGCGAAGAAATATTTTACTTTTCAATTAGATCCTCATCTCACTCTGGCTCTACTCTAATATACACGTATAGCATTTTAATTACAATACACAACAATTTACCAATCAAGTGGCACTGATATGTTTGTTAACAATACTTAGTCAGTGTCAAAATGTCAATGGGGTGATAATTATTTATCGCATTCCTACTAATCTTAATTTTGCTTTACGAGTTCGTCTTCTACATACAGCTGAAGCAATAGGAATCCACCTGAAGAAGCCAAACTTGTGTGTCCAGAAGAAATTTGTACAGCCACTTTCCTTACCTTGGCCATCGTTACATGACTGTATAAACCGGACTACTCCATCACCCTCCCCCTAGAATAATTTTTCTTTTTTAAAAAACTATAATTGTCCAAATTATTTTATTTTTCTGACTACTTCATCTTTAATTACGTGTTATCCTTGTAAAAATTATTTTATTCTTATGACCACTTAAACTTTAGTTACAAATTATCATTGTCCAAATTGTTTTATTTTCTTTAACAATCTGTTACGTAATCAACTTGTGCACACGCTTATTCCTTAATTGCTCTTCATTTTTCCTAAATTATGCATTATGCAATCCACGTGTTGTAACCATTTCCACCTTTTAATTATATATATTAATTTTTCTTCGTTAATTATCACCCCATTGACATTTTGACACCGACTAAGTATTGTTAACAAACATATCGCCACTTGATTGGTAAATTGTTGTGTATTGTAATTAAAATGCTATACATGTATATTAGAGTAGAGCCAGAGATGAGGATCTAATTGAAAAGTAAATACTTCTTCGCTCAATCTTTCTCTTTTCTAAATGTCTAAATGGGGATATTTTCTAGATTAATATAAGTTGAAGATAATGGGAATGTAATACATAATCACATCTGACTAGCACCTTCAGCTGTTCCCGTAAAATTAGTTTTCTCAAGATCGCTATTCACTGATGATGTTCATAATGGGATGATATCACAACATCTGAAGATGGCCTTCAAAAACACTTTCAATGAGGCTAATTTATGCTGTAGATTCACTAGATAACCAATATTTAGTTTAGCAAATAAATACAAACTTCTTTGTTTCGTCTCTTCCATATGTATTTACCAGTTTGACTGCCCATGTGGAGCTCGTTATATTGGACGTACTATCAGGCAAGTTCATCGTCGAATTTCTGAGCACCACCTTCCAACTTGGTTTGGCAAAAGTACGAATAAAGCTGATATACGCAGCTCAGTACTAGCTTATCTGCTCAATACTGGACATCAAGTCAACTTACTTTAACAAAGCTTTTAAAGTTATTTGTCATATACCACTTAACCCCCCCCCCCCTCCATGTAATTGTCTTTGGATATTGTTATTTTATTATGTTTACATTTCTAGCTAATTCTATTAACTAGTTTGTATTTTACGTATTTCCACTAAGTCATCCTATTCATCTTAGTTATCATTGCTATTTTACAAATTCTTTGATGATCTAAAAACTTGTTGTTAATTCCTAAGAATTAACTGGTTTTGAATCCCGTGGTTAAATTTCACCCCACCTCCACAATTTAGATATCTTGTTGCGAACATCTATTAATTAAATGTATTAATGAACTTTAACCTCTTAATTCCACCCTCTTATACCTTAAACTGATGGACTTAGATAACCACATTATTGGTAAAATTATGATTTTAAGAAATAAACTATATATAATAATGAAATCTCAGCGAAAATGAAATGATTAATTCCAACGTTTCGTACGGCAAACTGGTCCGAACGTCTTCAGGGAAATTAATTGAAATTAACATAACAGAGGTTTATATATTGAAAAAAGACATTTCTTGTTTATAAAAACTTTATCCAATGACGGTGAGTTTATGGATCAAATACTACTGCTACTACTACTCCCACAAATAATAATGATAATAATAAGCATTAAATGTTCTGAACGTCAATAACAATGATGATTATAATGACAAGAAAATTAATGATAATAAGGTTTGTGCACGTGACAATAAGGATGACAAAGGTAGTAATATATATGTGTGTGTGTGTATATGTAGACAATTCAACAAATAAATTAGGTCAAATCTTAAAAGTTACGTAGCACGAAAGGTGTAGTGGACAAATAATCAGAGTTTAAATAATAAATATCATAAAAGTACGAAAGAGATGGAAAATAAGAAAGGGTGCAAGGGTTTTGGTTAGAATTCACCTAGGCCAAGGGAGAGACAAAGGTAGAACAAGCTTCTTTTGTATGCAAAGACTAGGATTATTCTCTCGAATTCCCATAGCTTCGGCTATCTGTAAAAGACGGGTTCGAATTCAGTTAGAAAAACTCGATGGAATGCGATAGATAACTTTGAATGCACTACTCCTGTCAATTACATGAGTCAAAATGGAACTTCTTACAGATTTTATTTGATCTTTTCCGAACCATGAAGGAAGATGCTCAATAGTGCGTTTCTTGCGGCATCTAGTTGTTTGCCCTATACAGCCCTCTCTCCACAGGAGCAAGTGAATTTGCAGATACACACAGAAGTGGAACAGCTAGGCAGCTTGTCTTTCGCTGGAGTAATCACAACTGGTCGACTGGAAAATGACGAACAAAGGGTGGCGAAATTATAAGTCCGTTTTATTGCTCTTGATAATCTTAGATGTAAGATTTCACCAGCCACCTCCCCATTAAATTGCAATTTCATAAACAGTTGCTTCTTTTTAATTGTTGTCAGTTTCTCTTCATCATACCTGGTGTTCATGTGTCTCCTTACGAATCTACTAGGATAACCCATTTCGACCAGCCTATTTTGTGGATGTATCCTAACTCATTTTGTAGGTAGTCATCTGTACAGATACGTCGTTCTCTATTCGTGAGGCATCTGACCAAATTGATTTGGTATCGGATTGGTACAAAACTGAGGGAACGTGTATATTGTCCTACAGATGTAGGTTTTCTATAGACATCCCTCTTGAGTAAGCCATCCTCTCTTCTGCTCACCTGGACACGAAAGTAGTGTTATCTACCATAATGTTCTTCACAAGTGAAGATGAGCGATAGATGGACATCATTAAATTTTATTAACATTTCATTCTTGTCAGCTTTCTTTCTCGTGAAGATTAAATAATAAACGTATCATCAACATAAGGAAAACAAGAATCCATTTAATCTATTACTTATTACAATGGACCATTTTCAAGCCTAGCAAGAAAGGAATCTGCAGAAATTGGACCCAATGGAGAATCCGTGGCAATACCGTCGCTTTATCTGTAATAAAGGCGGTTGAATGTGAAGTGTACATTCATAGTACATCTTAAAAACAACTCTTTCAGACTAATAACTGATATTTGTAAAAATTGAATTAGTGAAATCTCAGCGAAAATGAAATGATTAATTCCAACGTTTCGTACGGCAAACTGGTCCGAACGTCTTCAGGGAAATTAATTGAAATTAACATAACAGAGGTTTATATATTGAAAAAAGACATTTCTTGTTTATAAAAACTTTGTCCAGTCATATGAGTCATGAAACAGATATCAACATATATAATAAACAAAACTGTATGAACTGTGATCAAAATTTGACCTCAGATTTTCAAAAATTAGTCTACTTTTTTATTTAAACACTTTAAACATAGTGTACTTTTATTGAATTGAATTCTTGATTTTCCCGTCGATTGATTGGACCGAAGTGTTCGGTCTCAGGTTGACATGTCGGCTTCTTGTGCAGATGCTTCGACGATGTCTGGGGATTTGATTTGTATACAAGCATCTGCACAAGAAGCCGACATGTCAACCTGAGACCGAACACTTCGGTCCAATCAATCGACGGGAAAATCAACAATTCAATTCAATAATTAATATATGACCCGTTGCACAAGAGGTGGCTCTCGTGGCCCAAGTGGTCTAGTGGATAACGCTTTGGCGTTTGAAACTATGGGCACTGGGTTCGAGCCTCGGTGGGAACATCATCACTCACTGAGAAATGCAGGTACATCCAGCTGACGAGTCCCAATTAGGACGAAATGCGCATCCTGGATTCCACTGCTAGCCACCATCCACCAATTGTATAGTGTACTTTTTATCGGAATTCTAGTGAATACGTTCGACTAAAAGTTCATGGTCGTAGAAGACTGATTATGATATTATATTTGTGTATGTGGTGTATAATGGTGAGTGTGTGTATGTATGTATAGGTAAACAGTTGTAAATCATTTGTTAGCCTCTGTATAAGAACATATAGACAATCGGGAATTTAAACCAAGTATGATTCATTAGTGATACATATCCACTTTTTATTCATATCGAGAACCCCTCTAAATATATATATAACTTTGATAGGACTAAGGTTTTACAGAAAGGTTTTCATTCGTATAAAGAAAGGCTGGCTGCGGAAGCCCTACATTGTTATTATTGTTTCCTTTGGTTCTTAGAGGAGCATAGGACTTCAGCTGCACGTCTCCTTTGCGTTCGGTTATTTGCCAACGTTTTCATCTGACTCCACGTCTACCCAAATACTTTCATCTCTCCTTCACATGACCTCCCCCATGTCACCCTCGAACTGACGACCAACTCTCCGCTTCGCGTCTGGGCTCCACTTGAGGGCCTGTCTAGTGTGATGTCACTTGAGAGTTTCCTCAGGGTATGGCTAATCTACCTCCATTTCTTCTTGCATACTTTCAAAGTCGATGAAGTTGAGATAGAGAGGTGACTGGCATTCCAAGCTCTGTTTAATGATGATCCGTAGTGTCGCAATTTGATTGATGCATGACTTGTTTCTCCTGAATCCAGTCTGTTCCGGCCGAATATCTACTTCTCAATCGGCGCCCAACTGTTTTGGAAGTATTCCGCCAGAGCTTGATCTCAGCTCATATGAATTAATAACTGGTATTTTGTTAAAGGTTAAGTGAAATTAGACCAGAGTTTTTAGAGTGAAGATAACACTGATAACAACTATGCAGATATAACAAAATGATTGATTGAATAAGTGGATAGAATTTATGGAGGAGACAGGTATAAGGGCTGGACATACATCCTTCTTATTCCATGTACCTTAGTCCATTATAACCAAGGTCCTCGTTATTGTAAGAGGTTAGCTGATTTGTGGGAGTCAATCAAATGTTCTGGTTTATGGCTCCTTTTCAGTTTTGTAAAACGGGGTTTTGCAGTGTCTGTTTACCAACCACATGAGTGGTCCAGGGTTCGATCCCCGTTGACGAACTCCTTTACTTCGCTTAGTCGGTAGTGGTGAGGCTGGCAGAGAGGGAAGGTTGGGTGGGTGTGAGGTTAGCAACCCCATTTTGCAAACGGAAACTTGAATGAAGAAAACGATAAAAGTAACTAGTGGAAATTTTCCACCATGCCAAACTTACAGCGACAGTATGGGAGACCGGTAAAAAAATATAACAGGGTAACTGATCTGTAAATCCTTCAATGAACAGTCTATTTACAAAATTGATAATTATTTGAATATTTCAACTAATGTTGTAATTATCATCCCTTTTCTCTTGACCAGCACATCATTGTTCTAGCATTTCTGTATCTTGTTATGACTGAATCTTTGTGATTTGTCTATGTTTCCCTGATTCCTGTCTTTAATGCTTCAGTTTCAATCACGATTAATGGTTCTCTAACTAGCGTCAGTGAGTGATCAAACTTGAAACAAATCAGTTCCCTACAAACTTACTCTTGAAAATTGATCTGGTGCTCTCTGGTGACTGGCTAAAGGTTAAAATTCCCTGGCGTTTCGGTGAGAAGTCGTAATCAGTGCTGTCCACCTGGTCGGGTATGAGGAGGAATACTCGCCTCTGATAATATTCGCTGGTGGGTACGCTAAAATCACGAATATATACAAGTTAGAATTCATGGTCCATTGAGTCAGGTCCCAGTGGATGAATGGCCTACGAGCTTGCATTGTATCCGGAGGGTCCTCAGTTCACCCCCACCCCCTCCAGTGGCATTGCGGGTGTGCACTGCTGAAGAGTTTCAAACTAGGATGAGACGGCTGTCCAGTACTCCCTGGTTCCCAGCATATGTCTTTGTAACATCAGTCCGTGATCAAGGCTGAGTTAATTCGGTGGTGTGAGAGAAATATGATTACCAAAAAATGCATACAAACAAATGCCAACAAATGGACAACACTGAATGTAAGTTCAAGGGTTGACGGATATCAAGTGTAGTGATAAAATAAAGAGGTTAAATTGTAAACTGTAATAAAATACTGGTGACATAATAAGCTCCGTGTAAATTACAGAAGGTTGGCACATAATTAAGGTAATGCAGTAAAGTGAACTAGATGAAAGAATTAGGAATTAGAAAGTCACAAACATGATATGAAGATATGAGATGATTAGCTCCCTGATGACCTTGTGGTAGACCAAGGTGAACGAAAAGGATGAATGTGCTCCTTTTGCACACCATAGGTCAGGTTTCTTCTCATTAATCCCCTGTAGCTTCAACTGTAGCCTGGAGAGATAATCGTGTATCTTTAGGCAGATTGTGTGGTGCTCTATATACAACCGTAAATAACTCATTTATTTTGATGTGGTGTTCACTATCCACTAGATGAGATAAAATGGCACGATTTATTGATTTGGTTACACTTTTTCCAAGCGAAATAGGACCATGTTCACCAGTGCATAAAGATATATTCCTCTGAGTTCGAATTATATAACTAGCTCTACAAGAGCAGTTGAATTTGTATGCACCGATTGATGGGATTATCTTTGGTAATTAATCTTTGATGCACTGTGTCACAGTAACGGTCTGGTTGAGAGCCTGATTTGTAGTTCTGCAGCACTGAAAGTTTTTTCAAGTAATCTGGTCAACCTACGGTTTAATATAATAACTGGATGTATCACCTTTGAGTTGTATTCTTAAATAAGGCTTTTCCTTGTTCATTGTGTCACGCTTAATTTTATCAGTTCTTTTATAAACATACTTCTTTAATTCTTCTTTCTTGTAAATGTGCTCAAATACAGTTTCTGATAAAATTTCCATGTGCCTTTAGTGGCTATTTTTATTCTGAGTTATAATTGTTCAGCAGTACAAGATATTCTATCATGCTAATCCCTGTTTGAGATTGGTGGAATATAAGTTTCAGTTTTGTGTTACCCACAGAACTCTATACATCGATTATACTTGAGTTTTGGTCATTTAGAAAAAAGGTCGTACCTGAAAATGTGACAGTTTTACCTTAAGAAATACTCAATTTTACCCTGCTTACAAAAAGAAAAGAAAAGCTCATTAAAAGGGGAGTTATTATTCAATCATGGGATTATTTTCAATAACATACCATTTTCTAATATTGTTACAGGAAAGTCTGGCGATGGATAACTTGTAAGCCATAGGCGGAAATCCACATCCACATTTTTCGGCACAATTGTTTCTTCGCATATCTTTTCTAATGATTTCATCCAGCTGACAGCTAGATGGCAGTTCTGTAGCACAACCCATGTCCCATCTTTAATAGCACGTTGAATCATATTTGCGGCTACAGGTCCTTGACCCTGACCAAGTGATATTGTTTGTATACGATCACCGGTGAATCCTAAGTCGACACCGAATTTGATTAAAGCATTCATTGGATCAGCTCCCGGTGATAGGATAAAAATTAACGGTGAACAACAATTGGAGTCGGAAAATGAACCAGCTAAATCAAATGTTGGCGGTTCAATGAACTGTTGACCCATATTTTGTACAATAAAGTCCTATTTTATTAAGAGAGGAACAATAATAATAAAATATAGTTTAAGTGATATTATGCTGTTGGTTTCTCTATGGCATCATAGTTTTCAGTTTGCATTCAATCGGTACATAGAATTTACATATATGAGATGAATTTTTCTTAATATAGTAGTTCTAAGATCTACGTTGGGCGAACAGAATGACTACGAGTAGTCATCGGATAACTCCGATGTCCTCAACAAAAGTACTGGCTCACCAGCCAGTTATTTGTAATTTTAATTGTACGTATCATTCTCAGAATTAGTCCTATTGACGAATTTGAATAGTGCTACAGATAAGAACACCTTCTGTAGGATAATGCGAATTCATTTTATCACATCCGGTTTCAAATAATCAGCTGCATACGATCTGAATAACAAAATTAACTGAATAGCCAGTTCGTTTTATAAAAGAGTAAAACAACATGTTGACAGGGGAGATGGGATGCAAAGTTTACGAGAAGTTAGAATAGTGAATTATAACCAGAACAAAAAACATTACGTATATTGTATATTCTGTAGAAAACTACCCGTTCAACTACACAATCGAAAGTAGACCATTCTCCGGTTCTGGTTAACTCCAGTTACGTTTAATGAATTCATATGTACGTGCGGTAGAAAGCACGTCGGAAGTATTGAGAGACGGTTGTCTACCAGGATTGCTGAACATGTGCCCGACTGTCTAAGTCTCAGAGATTCAATAGAGTTAAATAACGCCGGGCAATGTTAGTTGACATTGGATCGATCAGTTCAGAAAAAAGCTAGCACATGGTGGTCATCAGTCAATCAAATCCATAACAGTTGGTTTAAGCAAGCCCCACAGAGATTTGTTGACTTCTTGACTAAACCTGGTTGAAGTCCTCGGGATGTTAAGAACCAATGAAAGATGGAGAAAGTTGTTGACAAAGCTCAAAACTGTCGTTCTCGATGATGGTACAGATGTATTCACTCTTTGTAATTTGTCATATCCACTGAAACTCTATTGTTCTTCCAGATTACTACACTATTCTTTTCGCCTCATACTTCTGTTAACTATCTCTGTCTGCCTTTGGAATCTCTGTTTACTCTCTTCTCTTAATTTGTGTGCTATATGGAGGTAGGAAGAATGGTAACTCGAAATGCTGCATATCTGTGCAAAATTCTTTATTAAAACCAGTCAGTCAGTTGTACTCTGTCTTATAAAACGAAATCACTATTCAGTTAAATTTATTATTTAGGGTGTATGTATGCAAGTGATGATTGAAAATGTGGTGAGATAAAATGAATCCATATTATCCAGCAAAAGGTGTTCTTACCTATCGTACTATTCAAACATTATTATTCTTATGATATATTTATCACAAAGCAAAATCTTTGATCTTATTTAAGTATTCCCTAGTGGTTAGTTGAAGAAGTTTCACCTAACTCATTTCGACTCTGAGAGATTCATGTCCAACCAGCTCTCACGATTAGCTTTAGATGATATTTTTAAGTTCAAACTATGGAAAGAGATTTGATCTGCCTTGTTGATGAATGACAACAACAACAACAACAACAACAAAATGGAATGAATTCTAGCTAACTCTTTGTAAAATGAATAAGGCACAATCATCAGTTTTCATATGATGTGAAGCTTACTGCCAGTAGTATTGTCGAATTTTTTAACTGACTTATTGAAATGCATGTCCGTGTGGGTATGCGTATGTCGTCTGTTCTGCACCGTAAATATATAAACCACGATACTCGTTTAGAGGTCAAAAAAGTGGTAGTCAAATCTCTCTGTCTGTTTCGTTTCATCAGAGTCTTCCAAATAAGTGAATAGTCTAATACTCCTCTTCTATTTACTATGTTCTTTGTGGTTAAAACACACAAGATTTCAGCGGTTAGCCTTTCTTTATATGCTAGTGTTGATCTCTTTTCTAGAATGTTTAATCCTACTTCAATTCTCGGTAGACGTTTCGCGCACATAGCCTGTGTTCACTCACTGTGACTATAACCTCTCTGCTGCTTTCCTCTATTATAGAAAGCCTCACCTGCGGATCATTTCATCCTATAGACAAAATCTGTTTTGTGACCCTGGTAACTGGATAATTTCACCTCTCTTTCCTCCGAATGTGAAATGCTAAAAGTTTCTATTGTGTTTGATGATTATTGTTCGGAATAGTGGTTAATATTGCATATTTATATATGTATATATTTTAAGTGTATGAGTACATTGATCGATTGATTTTTGTTTAAGCTTAACTCTGTGCAAGTATGTTAAAATTGTTGTTGTAGATATATTTAATAATGTCTTTGCCATGTAAGCAGCTGACGAGAAGGCAACGAAATAAAAGATGGTACCATTTTATTCTGCTAAAACTGTAGTTCTTGCATTGTTCAAACATATTCTTCTTTTCCTTCTTGCCATTTGCATTGGGAATATGGTTAAGAAACTTTTTCGGATTATCACTTTCAATTAAAATGTTACTAAGCTTGGAGATCTCATTCTCCATATCATCGTCATCGGTCCTAGTGTTTCTATATCTAATTATGAGATTCAAAGCTATTGAGACTTTCATACTTTCATGGGTGATCGATCAGATAGGAAATTCACATATCTTGAATTTTAGTTCTCCATCAGTTTGTCTTTCGTTAAGACAATTCAGAAAGTGTAGAGGGGTTCCATTATCCAATTTAAATTCACTTGTAAACTTTATACATTTTCAAATTTGAGTTAATCTATCCAAGAAAGTCTTCACTTTGAACTTTCCTAATAATGATGTTAATGATAATAAATACTGATAATGATATCTGAACCTGTACTTTAGTTGGACAATTAAAACCAGTCTGTGGTTTTTTTTCTAGAGCTTTCCTAAAAAGATTTAGCGACTAGTAAAAATGCTTATGATCCGCGTGCAACTCTATTTTTCCTGCAGTATACTTTGTTGTTAAATGTAAAAGATAAAGATGCTAAATAAAATGAACACCTAGCTAGTACTTCTTGATTGCTTTCAGTTTCATTCTATGTGATTTGAAGTATTTTTAAAATCGATTTTGCTGGACAGTGTTCACTTGGTTCAGTGTGACTGCTGATTGATTGAGTTTCAACAAGGAACTGCTTATTTTCTTCTTCGAGAATATGAGATCCATGTGCAGTTTGTTGTTTAATTTTATTGTTAGTATGAGGGCTAGGATACTGCCCGGCGACTAAACCAAAGTAAGTGGTTGTATTAAGAGACAACCTCCTCTGAGCCTTTGAGACTTCTAACATCATAGGCTAGTTAGCCTCAGGAGCTAAGTTCCCATGGATACTGGTGACTAATAAAGGTTCTATACGCCATTCGGTCCCATTCGCTTGTTCTTTTTGTTTGGTGTGTCTCAGTAGCAATATTTATCACTTCTGCCCTGTGACACGGCAGCAGGAAGAGCGATCGTTGTTAATTCGGGCCCCGACCGATCCGGCATGATATTTTGTGAATTTGTTTGAATCATAGTATTGGATTGGGTAGCTGCTTTTTGTCTAACCGCTATCCAAACAACCTTTCTGGCATGGTAAAACCTCAAGAGCTTTCGGTTGGATCCCATTCGTCTAGATTTTGAAGCCCAGTTACCCCATAGTAACTTCCTTCAGTCTAACTGCTGTCCAGACAATCTTCCTAGCATAGTAGGACCTGCAGAAAAATAAGTCCTAGCCAGTGGAGCTTGTTGGGTAACTGCGGTACGCATGCCTGACCACTGTGTCAGGGTGGCATTTATCGGCACAGAATTACAGCAGTTCAAGTTGTTAAATTCCATGTAGCATACAAAGGCAGATTTAAAAAGAGAGCAGAAGAGATTCAAAAAAAATACGATAAACAGAAATGTGTTGGAGAAAGAGTAGTAATTTAGAGAAAAATGCAACGGTCGGGTGGATACAGGAGATTACAGAGAACAAATGTATTTGTCACAGTGAGAGCAATACTGAACCACATCACCAATAGTTTCATGCCATAGGTTCTTAGCATTCCGAGGACCCCAGTCAAGCAGTCTGTACCTCCCCCACCTTCACAGCCGGCTAAAACTACTTGTCACTGACTTCATGCATTGAGATGTCAGGTTTTAGTTTGATCATCTGTAACTCTTTTCCAACCTAATCCTTTGTCAGTTGTCATTGCCCGTCAAGGAGGGTGATGGCTTGGCCTGCGTAGAACGTATCCTAGACGTCTCAATCGATTCACTTTCACAACTCGATTGATTGACTTACCTTCCTTATCTAACACTCTACGCCTAACCTCTGTATTACTCACTAAGGCGGTTTTCGACGATTATTGTAAGCAGTTTTTAAACAGGAGATTTATCATATAATATAACCTGACAGTAGGAAATGATAACATTACAATTTGAAAAACGTACTTGAATACCAGGAACTACTTTATCCGGTCGTATGCATCTTAATACAACCAACTTTTCAAGACCATCCAATTTTGAAAATTTACCCGGAATTGAGAATCTGTGCGGTTCCAAATCATCATACATTGCTTTCCACTGTACTGGAGTGTTTTGCACACCTTTGAAAATAGAAAGGAAAAAGTAAACAGGCATCTCACTTGTTACATGCCTACATTATATGCAAATAGCAAAAATCTTTAGTTAGAGGATGCTCTACACACTTACTAGAAGTTTAAGTGAAGATCAAACCACAATAACGCCTACGATTAAAATAAAATCTATGCATGCGGAAAAGACAGTGATGAATCTTAAAACACCCCTGATGATTAAAACTACATAACAAAGTATACGATTTTATCACGTTATATATTCTCTTGTATTTTTTTTTATTTACAGCTTGATTCCACACTGTATTTTCGGTACAAGTATGGAATTTTCAGCATGGATATCGGTAGCCCAAATTTTGCAGGCCGACCATAGATATCAGGTGTGCGTCGGCAGAGGATCGAACCCCGGACCATGTTCATGGTCGGCGAGAGTCCTAACCACTGTGCCACCGACGCACACATTAAAAAAATTTTATTGTTTTAACTGGACATAACTCACTCTATAACCCCTTTTTTCTATTTTATAAAATCATATTTTCTGTGGTTATGCAACCTATTATATTGTTAAACTCTTTCTAGTTCGACTTTGTTTTTACCCGAAAATTTTGAACTCTGTTCGTAACGGACAAATTCTCTGGAAGATCCTTCCTAGATGATTTATTTTTAATATTTATTTATTAATACTTATGTAGACAACTAACTTTTTGTAATTGTTATGCGTATTTCCCCGAACCGTGTATCATTAATTTGACATTCTCATATCACATTTGATTTTCGACCTTCATTATTTGCTTTCATCCTGGTCTGGTCTTTAATTTTAATACTTCTCTTTGTGGTCGTGTATACATTTACAGTGTGTTGTTCAACACTCTGAGTTTGTTTGAGTAAATGAAGGTCATTCTGACCCGTGAAATTCTGTGGGAAGCTTTGTAGTGTGGTTCTCGCGGACAGAGCTTTTGATTTCACTTAGTTGGGAATATTCTCCTCCACTATTCTAAGGTACCTTTAACAGCTGAACTTTGGTAAACTAATTTTGTCTTATATTACTTGTTTTGTACTTAGAAACATACCTTGCCAGCCCCAACGGGCTGATCTCTGACGAAATCTCAGCACGAATACAAGGGGCTCGTTTCGCATTTGTTAGTTTACGCCGACTCTGGCGTAGACGAGATGTTCGACTATCGACCAAAGGGCGGGTGTACTGCTCATCAGTCCGCTCCGTCCTCCTTTATGGCCAGATGTGAGACCTGGTCACTGAGAGTGGAAGACATGAAAAGACTAGCTGTCTCTGATCATAGGTGCCTGCGTTCTATTTCCCGTGTAAAGTGGCATAATAAGGTGAGCAACATGGAGGTTAGGCGTAGAGGTTCTGCTCACTGTCTCTATTATGCTTTTCTTGTACTTTCTTCTCTTGCTTTGTGTGCTACAAGGAGGGAGTTTGGCGACTTGAACTGCCGCACATTTGTGCAAAGTTCTATGTCGAAAACAGACAGACAGACAGATATGGGATTGGAGGTGTTTAAAGTTGAAAATAACTTATAGTAATGTATTTGAATTAACTGTATGAGATGTTACTTAGCCGGTGATAACTAGAAGTTGAATGTAGGATGAGCATTTTGATCGATTTGGGTATAGTCAGCTGGATGTGTCTGACTGTCTGTATCACCAGTGAATAAGCGTTCCCAACTGCATCATGTTGTTCCTCAATCTTCTGAGTATTTGTACTAGGAGCCGACAGATAAATAGAGAACGAGCGTTTTGGTCCCATGTATATATCATACAATGGGACATACAAATTAGCTAAACAAACAGTAGTCACTCTATTCCCGACTGATTGGGTTTGCAGAGTAGAATTCCGCACAGAATTGCAGCAATTCAAGTCGCTACACTCCGCTACTACTCCATATAGCACACGAAAATGATGTAGGTAGCATAAATCGCCAACACTTTGTTGTGAGTCTGAGGGCAGAGTCTTAGTGCTGATGAGCAGAGACGTATTAGCAGTAAATTGTTTTCCCAAATCAATAGAGCCGTTGTTCTGCCTTTCCACTCTGGTAAGGGGTGGGTTAGAAAAGGTTGACCATGTGGTGATCGTAGCTGGCGGTGAGATCTGCAGACAGATACAACTCGAGAAAGCACTTCTAACTGGCTGTGTGTGACTGGCGCCAAACAGTTATCCCCATGACTATGCGGTCAAACAATAAATCAACTTCTACACAATTCCACTGGCACCTTCACCCCACCTCACCTCTCATCTTCTAAATACCTTAGCGGGTTTTCATCCAGATATTCTATTATAATTTCACCTATGTTTATAGAGTGCCGTATCATTTTTTACTGTTTCCGATTTCTGTGCGGAGTTTCAGAGTATGGTGACTTCAAAATAATCCCCTTTTTTTAAACAACCTTCAATGCTATTTCATCAATCAGTAAGTGGACATTAAATATATATAAAGGTCTGATAGTTAGAGGATGTGAATGATCTCAGAGATTTTCGCAGTAAATCTCTACCATTTGAATAATCGATCAGTATGAGGACTAATCGAACAGTTACTCCTTCGTGTAGTACAGTCTGTCAACGTATTCACACCTTTAACACATTAGGCTAACCTATTTGAAAGGCTTAAGGTTACACTTATTGTAAACTGCGTCAGTACTCTCCAACGAATTGTCAGTAACGATAAATTTTATTTATTTTTTATTTTCTGATTACAGCTTGATTCCACACTGTATTTTCGGTACGTGTATGGAATTTTCAGCATGGATATCGGTAGCCCAAATTTTGCAGGCCGACCATAGATATCAGGTGTGCGTCGGTGCGGACTCGAACCCCGGACCATGTGCATGGTTGGCGAGAGTCCTAACCACTGTGCCACCGACGCACATGTTAGTAACGTCATTATTAATTATAGTAGGAATTGAGAAGAATGTTCATCAGCTCAATTTAGTGCAAGTGTTTCTTCGTGAATAGGAAAGAACCGCTATGCATGAAGACATGATTTAAAACGTTTTGGAAGATTTAGCAAAAGATATGAATTACCTAACTCAGATTATAGCAAATTAGGTATAACTGTAAAATTTCTTTAGAAGCTATTCAAATATACATGTGAGGTTTTTCACCACTAATAATTTCCCTATTGTACCACTTTTTTACTGAAAAATAATTAATACTACTTACTATCCATAAATCCGTCTAAGCCAGGTAACTCGGTAGCACGAACAATTTCAGACCAACATTTGTCGGAAAGCCAATCAGGGCATGGATTTGGGTGTGGATTGTCAAGTGCAACGCCACCAGTTAACAGGAAACGCCAAACCGTTTCATCCACTTTCTCTCTGATAAGAGCGGTATTAACAAATGAACACATTTAATAGCCATCATTTATTTAGACAAAATCTTTCTGTTCAACAACAATAGCAATAATAATAAGTATTGCTGGTAATATAATTTGCTTATTAAAAAATTTGTCACTTGAAGATAATTTCTGTGGCTGTCAAGTCCTAAACTGTTACTATTATTCTCTTAGTTACTGTGTGGAACTTTGAGCTTCAACACCATATCTCCGTTTTATTCTTTTTCTATGCAGTTGGGATGATCGACTCCTGTGAGGTTTCGGTTAATCCTAACACGATTTTTTCAATATGGACCCTTGGACACTCAACTCGTCACCTTTCATTCTGTTCTTATTAAGTTCAGTTTAAGACGTCAGGAGTAGGCCTACAAACATGCTGTAATTCAAATGAATACCGTTAAATCAGCCAAATAATTCCCCAAGATAATGTAATCTGCACACCCTTTCCGTGTTTCTGTAGCACATCGTTTTTCATTTCGCCGCGATAAGTGCTCTTATTTCCATTTATTCCTAGAATATTATGTCATCAGGAAGCACAGCGCTTTATGCTACACTACACAGAAGCTCGTATTCAACTTGATATACAACTGACCGAAAAGTTATTTCACCGAATAAAAACCACAGTTTCGAATAATTTTGAAATTATCTGTAATCAGAGGTACAAAAATAAAAAAGACGTATTTACATTCTATATAAAAGTGTGTGATTATTCTTAGATCCTATCAGATGAAGTGGTTTGTTGATCCATCTTGTTTCATAATTGGTGGTCGGATAAAAAATATCTTCAAAGTGTTACATATTCTCACCTGCATTCAATCCACAACTATCACTAACAGTAGCAATGCAATCATCAAATAAGATGTCAGACAGGGTTCTTACAACAAATCGAATTTTCTATATAACTTACTTATTTTTTAATAGGGAATAACACATAATTAACGAAAAGAGTAATTTGTGATTTTCAAACAGCGAACGACAAATATTTCGATAAACACTTGTGGTAAAATGACTGTTCAACAGTTCAATACGTTCTTCCAGAACTGGAGATTTTTCACTGTTCGAAATAGACTAGATTAACACAATAAAGAATGTGTACGTAAAAATATTGTATGTAGTCAAAAAGATGCAAATAAGATTTTCATTTATCAAAATATAACTTTGCCTTTTAAGACTCTTTAACACATCATGCTTGACATTCAGGTAACTGTGATGATAGGCAAGGGGATCAGGTCAGTTTGTTCTACTTGACAATAAGGCAAATGGGAAAAGTGAGCAGAAGACCCAAGATACGGGATAGATGAAATAATTATAAGAGATATGAAAGTACTACGGCAAGTCCCACTTATTCCATCAAAAGCGTTGTCATATATATATATATATATATACGCAGAACTTTCTACAAAAGTGAATTGGTCCTTACCTCACACAGTTACACGCATTAAAGTAGAGGAAAGAAACATAATGAAATTTTAAAAAAGCACAAAGATGCAATCTACCCTGTCTTTCCCCCACGACTAAGTAGCTGCACGACATCATCTATTTTAATCACGCTTCGTCTGGATACAATTTGTTTGAGGCGACATTTTTTATTTTTTTTATTTCCTTCATGTTCCCCAGTGGAACATAAGGCTTCAAGCTAGTGGCTTGAAGTTTCTGTAGCAGTGCTTATTTTTTACAGGATAGGGTTGCTAGCCTCATGCCAAACCTTCCCTCTTTACCAGTCTTATTACTGGATAAGTGAGGTAAAGGAGTGCGTCGGCCGGGATCAAACCCTGGACCATGTGCATGGTTGGCGAGAGTCTTAACCACTGTGCCACCGACGCATGATGTAAAAGAAGTAGTCAAATGAAGACTCAATGAAGCCATCAAGAGAACTTATTATGCTACAAAACTAGGGTTCCTTCACAGAAACAAGTGCGGGCTTCAACAATCTGGGAAAGATCAATCGCCAATTCTTCACACTTCGAAATGCTTATATCAATTTGAGTGTGTTTGTGAAAGCAAATACGTAGGTCGTACAGAAAGGTGATTGTCCACTCGCATGACGGAGCATTTATCAAAGTGTCTGAAAACAGCTGAAGTTAAAGTGCTTATTGTCCAATAAAAAAGCACCTTGTGAACCATGGACATGATATCGACGCTGTCAATTCATTCAATGTTATCAGTAGACAAACAGACAGGAAGTATCTAGCAGTTGCAGAGGCACGTGCGACTCGAGTTTATAAACCAGGCCTCTGTGCGGTCACGCTGAACCTACCATGGTAATACGTTTTACTTATTACCTGTTATTGTTATCACTATTAATATTATTAACACTTTATTCTACTCCGTATTATTATTATTCCTGATTTACTTAAAACTACCGTATATAATTACCATTAGCTTAATTCATTCCAACATTACTGTTATAGCTCTTACTAATAAAATATTGCTCGGTTCACAGTTCCTGATATATTTAAGTTCTTTGTCTAATGGCTGATTGTTTATCTAAGTGATGTAATTGAACCGCAATGCACTTTATTTTGATTTTAAACTTCCATACTCTCTTCCCTTCACATATTTGAACATGGGCTGAAAAACATTCACACGTGCCATTTTGTATGATTGATTCAGTGTAGTTTATTTGCTTATGAGTCTTATACCTCCCGATGTAAGTCTAATATTATATATATTCTTGTGGAATATCCAGATGAACAGTTCCGCCGAAACCGATGAATTTATTAAATCATGCTTTCTTAACCTTTTTTGCTTGTTTTAAGTTTGTATCGGGAAATAAATGTTACTGCATGCGTCTTTATCGATGGTGATTTCCTATGGAATATTTCTGTCTTTTAAGCAGCTACTCTGTTGGATTCGAGTCGTTAAGAAAATTCAACAGTGTTTCCAAATTACAATGGATTGCATTTGTACTAAACGGCTTAGTTAAACAAGTGATTAGTTGTGAAGACCTTTCACAAATCCAGTGATCCTGTGAGTAACAACAGTCTTGCGTGAATACTTTTTTCATATGAACGAAGGTCAATCAACGGTTTGTATTCTGACATTATAAGATTCATAATTCTTGCAATCATTAATAACAGACTGTGATAATCACTGGTCAGCGTTGGGAAATTTAACTAGGGTGTCAAGAAATTCGTAACTTAAAAGTATGCAGTAGAAACAGGGCGGTACAGATAAATGGGATCAGGATGTGGACTTACAGCTCACAGTGATAAAATAAGCGCACTGACTACATTGATAAAAAGAATCATTGAATAGGACACAGTTCTGCACTGAATAAGAATAGTATCTTCAACGCGTGCACGACGTTTGATTCTGAGAGAATTGGAGACAGTTGTGTCGGTTTAGAAACATGTCATATATGCAGTCGATCCCAGCTGACTTTCTCTTTAACCTATCTTAGCCAATAGTAAGCCTTTCAAAGGAATAACTGTCTCCAGTATGGTTACGCACTGAAGTGGTTAGTACCATAAAATGATTACCTTTCAAAAACAATCACCCATACCAACTTTATGAGTACAAAAATAACCAGTGACCACATTTTAGGTAACATTTAGGCTAAAAACAGAGTTGGTCATGCAATTTAGCACACTAAGAGTAAGTCATTTCTGAGTGATGTGAACTGAGGTTTTCAACTTAACATGAGTTCCCCCTATCTTATAGACACAGCACATAAAACACGGCACCCCTTTAGACTGTCACCTTTTACCACTTTACACCGTAGTGTTTTAGCGTGTAATATATTGGCTGGAATTTCGAATGTCGTCAACAGACTTCAGCAAGAATAGTGGCGTGTGCTGCCGACAAGATTTATGCTTAGCATATAAGGGAACGTTCATCGCCCAGTCGTAAAGAGACAGATTTGACGTCAAAGAGAACAGATGAACCAACCAGCACATTCAGGCATTACATGGGAGACACGAAAAGAAGACAAAGAAACACAATACGTAGGGGAAAAGTGGCGCACAACACGGAAGATCCATGCAAATGACGATTTTCATGTAAGGTGTAGATAATTTCCAAATCCCTAATAAGCATTCCATTACGAAGTCTCTTGTCTTGAATGTGAGTAGAATAGATAGACAGATTTGAAAATACAGAAAAAAAGTAATTACTTACTGATAAAAACAAGTTAATAAACCATGTCAATGAGTACTGATACATCGGATCAATATTTGATAAATCTGATATGCAGAAAAATAGGAGAGAACCATGCTCAGCAACTGGACGATATCCATTACGTGCTGCATCAATTTCTAGCTGAGTAACCTCGGCTACAGCTTGTTTCTCGGTAATCTCTTCGCTTAGTTTCTTTGACGAACTCAATACATTGATAGCTGTTTCATTCTCCAATATATTGCCTTGTGATGTACTCAACACTTCCAGAATTTTATCCTCTAATTCTTTCAACTGACGCTTATTATCAGCTGATTCAATAATCAACTGGTTTTTAGTAGCTTCCAGTTTAGGTTTCTCTTCAGCTATCACTATGCCCAACAGTTGGTCTTGTAAACCAAGCGGTGTAATCATGAAGTTGATTAGACAAACCTTAACAGAGATTTCAGGCAGGTAGTGTGGATTACGCAATCGTGTAGTGATGTAGAAACGAAAGCCTGGATTGTATTCAAGCACATTATCGCCTAGACGTATACACCAAGTTCCTTGTAATTTAAACAGTACTCTTTGAAGTATAGGCTCCAAGATTGGATCTAATTCTTCGCCAACATTCTCCATTAATACTGGCATACCGAATTGGATGGAATTCTCCAACGTTCGCAAGTAATGCGTATCACTCAATTTTACAACTTGTAATTTATTATCCTTCTCCATATTTTTAATCCATTTATTCGCTTGACCTTGAAGAAAATTTGACAAAGATTTTGAATAACCAGAGTGAATAACTTTAAATCAGCATTGCATAAACATGCATATTATATACTGGCCACAATTAAGTGCAAGGCAGACAACCAAAAGAAATCCTAAACTACTCCTGTAGGAAAGTTAGTTAGAAATCCTGTAAATTATCGGTATTAAGGCCAAATAAGGATTAAAAACAATTGGTCCCTTTTACGTATATTGGAGAGAGTGTCATCAAATCCGTAATTCAAGTTGGAAACAAAAAAAGCAATTTGACCTAGACCTATTTTTAAAGCACTAAAGGAATTACGTAGCAGTGCTGATATAATATCATACATACCCTTATCAAATCCAACAATATACACATGGTTTTGTTATCTGTACCGGTTGACCAGCCTGACAACATAAAAATCACCTCATGCTAAAGAACGATGCGCTTAAGGTCGCCACACATATAAGCTGAAATTTTTATAAATTATGGTTTAATAATTCCATATTAGTTTGTTTATTAGATGTATCACACACAGTGAAACAGTATTGTATACTGGATGACGTTTCGAACACAATTTATTGCTGTTCACAATCATATCAATTGTGGTTTAATAATACTTTGATAAAGTTATTATCATAAAATAGCGAAGTGTCAGTGAAAACAATATCATGCTGGTTTACATTCACAGGGAAATACAACAACTTTTCTAATAATAATGAATATTTTTAAACCTGATAAAGGATCTGGTGTAGTTGTAATGGACAGAAGTTATTATAAAACAAATATGTTAACCATTCTTAATGACAACACGCAAATTCATAGCCGATATTCCTTCTGATGATATCAGAAAAATTGTAAGGAAGAGTAACTTCTCAATAAGTAAAACTACGTGGCATGGATGTTAATTCATTAAAACCCATGAGATGTGACTTTCCTAGACTTTATGAATTACTGAAAATTTATAAGGTTGATAATCCATTACGTCCAATTCTATCAAAGATTCATTTGAACTTGTTAACTGTCTTGAAGATATGAACATAAAAGATAGGAAAATGTATATTCATTTGATGTTAATTCTTTGTTTACTAATGTACCGTTGGTTAAGACTGTTGATATTCTTTGTGACTACATTTCACCCATTTTTCCTTTAACTTATTTGAAAGATTTATTACAATTAAGTACTGACAACGTCCATTTCACATTTGAAGGTGAACATTTTTTCGACAAGTGGATTGTGTTGCCATTGGAGGGTCCATTAGGACCTTTGTTATCGGATGTTTATATGTCTTATGTTAAAAAACTTGTCCTTTGATTGAATTGTATAAGTGTCTTTCAATAGGAGATATGCAGATGATATTGTTTTGATTTGTGACAATCATGAAGATGCGAGTTGTCTACTGGGTAGATTCAACTCCGTACATGTTCATAAAAGTTTTTTTACATGAGAGGAAGAATATTGTAACCAATATTCTATTTTTAAAGATACTATTAAGTCGGATAGATGATCGTTAGAAATCCTACTTGAACTGGGCGATATTTTAATTTCCACAGTTTCTGTCGACTACTGCATAAGAGAGGTTTGGTAAAGTGTTTATTCAAGAGAATTCAGAGTATTTGTACAGCTGATATTTATAGAGGATGGAAAGAAAATACTGATGGATACTCTTAATGAAAGCGGATATCCTTTTAAATTTTTAAACTGGTGTCGAAGTCAGTTAGTTTTAAAACAATCTATTCTGTTTCTATTATGTACTCGTCGCCAAATTATTGTTATGTACTGGTCGAGAATTTAATAGTCCTGACGCAAGAAAGACGGAAATCAGAAGACCACTAGGTTTGCGATGATACTTCTATTTTCCAAAACACAAGGAGAATCAGATGTATCACACAATAGTGTGAGAGCAAAATATATATGAATGTCCAGACAAGTGTGTGAACAAATCAATAGACAGTCTTAACATGAATGGCTAATTATGATGGAGTATCGATCCATATATACATAGCAAAATATAGCAGACTGTCAACAAACACACATATTATATATAATATAAGAGGAAAATACATTCTTAAAGGAGACAGGTTCATCAAAGTGAAATGGTCACCGACTAAGAGAGCAAACAGAAAGAGAGGCCACCATACACACATATATATATATATATATATATATATATATATATATATATATATATATATATGGATACATATCAGTTTCTAAGAAAGATTTTTTCGTTAAATAATTTTGCAATAGGGAAGAAAACAGTAGGATTTTAAGACAGAGATTAAACTCGATCATCCGTAGGATCTATTATGATGTTCTGCTTATAATTATTGAAAAATCTAAAAATATGCTCCACTGTAAACCTCCAAAGTGCACAAGTGATTATGTCACATCGCCCACTTTATGCGAATTCACTTGCGTCTATATGTGTATGTGTCCACATACATTGGGGGGGGGAGTTATCACACACACACTTTGCATGTGAGGGTGGAAGAGCATATTCCAAAATCTTTAGAAAGAAAGATGAACTTTGGAAAGTCAATAGAAGCAGTTGACAGACTAACAGCTTCGTCTATACGAGTTTGACCACAGATTGATATCAGTTAGAGGAGAACCATTGAAAACCAGAACTGGAGTACTGGACAACTGCTGTTTCATCCTAGTTTGAGAATCATCGACAGTACGAACCCACTGCCAGGATTCGAACCCAGGACCTTCCGGTTACAAGGCGAGCTCGTATACCATTCAGCAACTCACTGGGACCCGATTCAATGACCAGTGCATGAATTCTAACTTCTACCAATTTCTGATTTAGCGCTACCACCAACTAATATCATCATCGGTGGGTACTCCATCCTCACACTTGACTGGATGGATCTAACTAGTCACGACTTTGTCTATAGCTAAACATCTAATCGATATGAACGATAAGACTGGTGTCGAAACACTTTTTAAGGTCATCTATGAAAAAGGGGTCAAGGGTGCTTATTGAAATACGCTCAGGCGATAGGTGTTCATAAAATTAAGACCTTCCCCCCTCCCTCTGTGTGTACAAAAACAATTTATTGTTACTCTTAACCTACCTACCTTGGTAATCCCTATGTGAATAGATAATCAAACCTAGTGTTGTTAATTATTCTTAAATCCTTTTTGTCACTTTGCGTACTTTACTTAGCCTTTGTTTTTACATACATTGGACTTCGCAAGTAAATATTTGATTAGATTGTTCGAAATGTATCGCGTAAATGAGGGTTGAGAAACTGATTCAAGAAACCGGTGACAAAAATATTTTTACGCGATGGTGACGATCAGCGATTCTGAAATGAAATCTGTACTCATCCGAGTACTATTAAAAGCTGACACAGTTGTTGGTGTGCTTCAATGAATACCAAAATCAGTACCAAACCGAATGTTTCCAGAAGTAAAACTAGTTTGTTTAAATGGAAAACCCTAATGAGAGGTGTACGCTTTACCTATAAGTTTGTGTGTACACACACACCAGGCTAAATACACCGGGAGAACTGGAAGATGTACCCGCACTTGTTTTATTATTATTAATATTTTATTCCTTTGAGTTCCCAGTTGGAAATAGGGCTTCAAGTTTTGAATTTCTAAGTAACAATGATGTCATACTTCCCTCTTTATTGCGCTTACTGCTTGCTAAGCCAAGTTTAGGTGAATTTCGGCCGGGGACTGAATCCTTTACGATGTGCATGTTTACTTTAGCTAATCTATTTCCAGAAACTTGGATTTCAGAGGCCTTTCTGCAGTACAGACGATTCAGTCACAATATATCTTATTGACACAATGTAAAACTAATGTTGATAAGCCCCTAAAGAAAATCAGTAAATATGTCAGTATAAAAGCGAAAAGATGGCGCATCATACTTTTGAATTCCCGCCACAAATTTAACATCTTTATCTGAGTTACAATTGTCACGCCTTTATGCTGCCAATGTGTCTTCTTTATGATTCATGCGACAGAATATGCAGCTGTGTCCCATCAGAACACCATGAGATTTTTGTTAACGTTTTTGCTATTTGTTCCAAATCTAGTAATTAGGAAAAAAGTATTCCACACATACTCCCCGTCTACTAAATGTTTTACAGAACCAATTAGGAAACATACCTTGTGGATCTATACACAGTGACCATCTGTCAGAATTTGTAACAATTATACCATTATCTATGGAGAAGCTGTCCACCGGTAGTCCAGCGATATTCCACGATCGAATTTTTACTGGATCCCCCAGAGCGTCTGAAATGCGAAATACTTCTGAGCATGGAATTTCTAATTTCTGACATAATTCGTGCCATTCATTTTGGATACTGGATCGAAAGTCAACAGTATATGGGCCGAGGTAAGCAACAACTCCAGCACTTAGCAAAACATCACCGATGATATTAACATATCTTTCCTGATAGGAAAAGAATACACAGTAAAATGGGATTCAGTGCATAATTTTAAAAAATCGCTTAAAATGTACATGTACTTAACCTTGACAGTATTTGTAATTTAAAAATTTCTCCGAAATGCTGAGATTCCTCTACCCTCACCCAATTCTAACACTACCGTCTAGAGTTTTGTTACTGAGTTGGTTGTGTTTTAAACTAACTGCTTCCACTGCTGAGTTTTGTGTAAAATACTATTTTTGAGATAAAAATAATGAGTATTTCTCGCGATAAGGTTTGTTACCTTCAGCTCTCAGGCAACTGGATGTTGGATAATATCTGTCATTATCTGCCAACGTATGCATGAAAATAAGGAAGGCTGACGACCAGAAGTCATCCTAATTAGTTCGGTTGACAATCTAATCCTGAAAGTATCTTATGTAGGCTATACCATCCACATGGTCTGCAGAAAACAGAGCTGTGATGAGTTGTTCAGAAGTAATTTAACAAGATTTTTATGATACTTCCTTAAATAAAGTGTCCAACCGTACAGAACTTTTTGGGTAGATATTCTATTAAATAGACCTCTGATGTTGTAGTTGCATTCGCATCACCGGGAGATAAATGCAGATACATACTTCTACTGGCAAAAGAGTAATTCGTTCCTTATCTCGATTTACTATTTTTGTTTTACTGGGTGCTTGTATTTGGCTTTGGTCAAGTTACGTTCAGTTTGTCTGAATTAATTGGCAAGACGAACGAAAGAAGGTTCACCGAGGTTTCTGCAAGAACTAGCAAAGAATCATGCTGTTGTCTACATCAAGCTTAGTACTAAGTAATGTCATCCAGAAGAGACTATAGATGCGGAAGTTCCTCTGTGGAACAGGCTGGATTCAGGAAAAGCAAATTATATGTGAACAAAACTGCCACGCTGCCTATCATCACCTAACAGAACATAGATTTGGAGTTAAGACTCTGTCTCAGCTTCATCGACTTTTAAAAGGGCTTTGCCAGTGTTGGCCTCAAAGTGATTCGGGAACTACTTCAACACTACGGAGTGCCTCGAATCTTTATCAGCCTCATTCAGTAATTACGTGATGATGCCATATGTAAAGTGAATTGCAGTGGAAAACTCAGCGAAGTCTTTGAAGTGAAGACAGGAGTAAGGCTACGCTTCCTACAATTATCGATAATATTCCTAACTGTGGTGAACCGGATGATCCGGAGAGAAGGCAGGAGTGTGGTGAACTGATAAGAAGACTACAGGAGATATGGACTTTGTGAATGATTTATCTGTAATGTTAAACAAACTCGAAGATCTACAGGAGAAAATCAACTCGTTTGCGGAAAGACCAGCGAAAACAGGACTTCAGATGAACATAGAAGAGACGAAGGTACTGAAGACAACTAACGCAGTAACGATAAGGATCAGTCCCTAATAATGGGAGAAATTTAAAAGACATTGCTTACTTCACCTGTCTAGAAAGCATCTTTTCAACTACAGTCAAGAGGCACAGTTGAAACTGTCAAAGCCAGACAGGATAGGAAAGACAAGACAGATATTCAGAAATCTGAAATCAGTGTGAAAATTTGCTGTACTCAGCTTAAAGAACAGGTTTCTTATTTTTAGCATTGATGTCAGATGAGGCTTTCTATAAGGTTCGACGACCTGGATAGTCAGGAACGGCATTTCGAACGGGCTGCAGACTTTTATCAACAGTCACCTTCGCTCTATGCTGAATATTAGATTATAGGTAAGAAAGGATGAGCAACAAATAACCCTGAGAGGGAACCATTCATGAATCTCTTGTTCAACAAATATGGCGAAGAAAGTGGAGATAGACCCGGCAAACACTGAGGAGACCGTCAAATGACATCAAGTGCTAACCCCACAACGGAAACGCAAATGGAAAATGACGGGTGAGGTGTGAATTCAAGTGTGTGACAAGGAGGCCAATCGTGTGGGAATAGATGGAAGCTTATAGGCAGTCGCTGAGGTAGCTGAAAAGAACTGCGTAGAACAGGAGAAGTGGGGATAATAATAAACTTAACCTTTAACATTGCAGCCGCTTCAGTCCAACGTGTTTTTTCCCCGCCTAATCCACTGATCAGCTTTTCAGCACGATCCAATTTTTTACTGCACAAATCAATGTTATCTTCTAAGTCTTGTTTTTTCTTTTGCATTTCATCCAATTGGTCTTGTAGAACTTGAAATTTAGCCTGAACTTCGTCTAGCGCAGCTTTCTTCTCTGCCAATTTAACTAACTATATGAATGAACAAACAAAGTTTTATATTTATGAAAGGCGAATCAATAATTTGTTTGAATGATTGAAAAGAGAACAACCGTTTCATTGTTAACATCCTAGAAGATGTATGCAGAAAATAGTTGTTGTTGTGTGCCCTTATTAGTATGCTGCCAGACACAAAATGCTTCCGTGACATACGTTCTAATATGAAGAGTAAAACAACAGGCGTTAAAGAGTTAGCTGTGATCAAATTCGTAATTTGCAAATCACCCATTTATACCTGCCTTCATGATTACCATTTATGCCATCAGGCAGATCCCCTACCACGTGATCTACACAATTCTTGTTTTCAAAAGAAACTAATCGAAGTGTGTAAATTTCAGATTGCAAATTTGATTTAAGGTGTTCCCAGTTCGCCTTGGTAGGAAGCCTGAAATCGGACGGTTTGTACTCTGAACTGAGTGGAACTGGGTACACCGCTGATGAGCTCTGCCTCAAACGATCGGAACAGTCATCCATTATCTAGATCACTTCAGTCTAGCTGGTATGTAGTATGTACCTAGTTACGATGCTTACAGACTACGGTACTTTGTGTTCAACCTGCAACATTTACCCAGAGTAAATGTGTTTCTTCTGGAGGACTTGAGATTGAAGGTTTTACACCTCCCCATATGGTTCGAACAAAAAGTAAGTGACTTCATATAGTGGTGCTATAATTATATTTGACCTGCATTAACTCTTTCCCAACTCAATCTTATATCAGTCAAGCATGCTTAACGGTGAAGGCGAGGCTAGGCATACGTGGCACATGTTCTGGTCATCATAGTCGATTAACCTCTGTAACCTCATCGATAAACTTTCCCACTTTATCTAAGGTCCTACGCCCAACTTAATTAATAATGACTATAGTATGCCACTAAACACGAGAAACAGAATACAAACACATAAACCTTGTCCATATAAAAGACTTAATCTCTAAAGATTCTCTATCTAATTGTGTCTCTAAAATGAAATACTTGGAATGTGATACGATATACATAGGACGGATATCGCGAGAAATCAAAATTAGAAGAAATGAACACCTTAGAGCATCTGTTCGACCACCGAGAAACTCGTTTGAACTAGGAAAAACTTGAGAGATCATCAGCCATAGGTCATCTACACGCTACACTATAGAATCAGGGCACAAAATTGATTTTGACAATAGTGAAATCACAAAGAACGTCTAATATCAGAAGCACTTCATATCAAGTGGAATCCAAATTGTCCTAACTGAATAGGAATGAATGATGGACTAAAACAGAATCTGACCTGATTACAACACCTCCCTCCCCCATGAAGTGATAAGCAATTTTATTATTTAAACACACGCTACATTTTATACATACTTATCAAATCCAAAAATATACACATTGTTTTGTTATCTTTACCAATTGGTCAATTTGACAACTCAAAAATGACTTTGTACTGAGGAACGATGATTAAGTTGTTATATATAAGCTGAGATTTTGTAAATTCTGGTTTAATAATACTGCTTTGATAAAGCTATTAGCAGCAGCATTAAATAGCGAAACGTCAGTTAAAACGATATCATTTTGTTTTTCATTCATTGGGAAATGCCAAAAAACCTTTATTATAATGAATATAATATTCCCAATGCCCAAATTTTTTTAAACTGTTAAAACTGAACTTGGTTTGGACGGACATATATAAACAAACACATATAGTTAAAGATGTCTAGTCTCTTCATATCTTTCATTTGCAATGACCGTGTTTCATAGATATAATGAAAGATGGAGCAAACTGCTGGGCAAGATACCAAGCTTTGCAAAATCTGACAATAATTAACCGAACACCACACGAGTGTTTTTTTTATCCAAACTGAAATCTCCTCAGCAATCAGTTAATTCGGGTTGACGCAGTAAGTGAAGTGGTGAACACATTCAGTAGGAATCCTTGGACATCACTCCTACAACATCATCATACATGCCAAACATATCAAGATTTCTGCTCAGACTCTTCAGCAGACTTCATTTTGTTTTCACGCAGAAGGATTTTATAATCCTTACACTTTAAATCAATTTCACCACACCTTGGTAACAAGTAAACCTATAAGCCACATCCATTAATACATCATCTATAGTGAAATGAAACTAAAATGAAGTTATTGAGAATCCCTGACAGTAAACATTACTGTATAACACTGTGAGACTTTATCAAAACAAAAATTTACCCATAATGGAATTATACTCTACCATAGTGCACAAGTTTTATTCTTATATCGATAATTTTTCGACACTTTCTTCATGGACAGTATTTCAGCACTACTCCACTGGCAGGGTTACACACTCCGTCTTCGAATCACGAAATATGGTAAGTATTGGACGCTAGTCACTTTATGTATATTCCAGAATCTGTCAAAGTGTCATGTTTTTTTTCTTTAATAAGAAGTATTTTTCCGTGGCTCGCTATTTTAACTTTCATAAATCAACATGTGGATATGTATTATTTACTCACCTGAACTTCTAGTTCAGCCTCAGCGATAGCCAATTTCTCCTTTTTCGGTGCAACAATCTTCGCTACCTTGTCATACTTATCTAGGGCTATAATCCATTTGCATAGACCTTCACACGCTGTACTAGCGTTACGTACAATCTTTGGGTCGAAATCTGTATTCGGTATGTAATTTTCACGAATCTTCTTCATTATATTGACTGGAATATTGTCAATCTGATAGTTTTTCAAACGTTCTAAAAATTTAATATCACCTAGCAGCTTTAATGATGGTCCCCAATAGTCCTCGACCATACGACCTGTACCATCTGGTTTACGGTCAGCTTTTTCTCCCATCATGATACAGACAGCTTCCATAACTAATTTAACAATATTTGGTGGATTTTTCATTGATTTTACCAGAGTGATATCCTGAATGTGGAAGAGACAAGAAAAATGAAGGAAGGCTGAAAATCGTCAATGAACCGATGAGGCATTTAAATAGCTTGTTACAAAAGATTGATCAGAGATGAATATGGTTATATTATAGAGGATGAACATATACGGATGCTGGGCTAAGGTAATGATTGGACTGCACCACCATTTCCTAAAACCGAGAAAATGAGAGTTATTAAGGCTTCAAGTCTGTATGGCTGTAACACAAGGTGAACCACTTGGAGTCTGATTGATTCCGTGTAGACGTTACAGTGTAACGACAGAAGACAAGGGCCAGGCAACAGATCGTTTATTTAGGAAATCAAAAGATATTGATAGACTTTCATGTACATTATTATAGATTATTGTAAGCGAACAAACACAGTCTTTTGATTGGTGGTTTCTCGCTGAAAGTTAATCTCTCATCTCTTTGTGGCCGTCTATTGAAGTTCAGATTATCTATCTGCAAATTTTATCCGCCTACGCAAAGTCTGCTGTGGTTGGTTGTTGAATCAGTCTTTGTTCTTATTTTTCTCACTATCAATATCGGAGACGTAAACATTGACGCAAGTTACTGTCTATCAATATGGTTAGCATCCAGCTCTCACCACAACAGTACTGTCTTGTTTCATATTTCTAAAAATCCGACATTACATCATGACAAAGTGTTCAGTCCTCACAAGAATGAATCTAAGCTTCTTTTAACTTTAATGATAGGATAAGAAATATTCCAAGAATATTCTATCATAAAGGTGACAAAATTGAATCAACAAGAAATCCGTTTGCGAACATGGAGTGACAAACAGATGTTGCAACAAAGTTTGCAGCTATCCATTTGTGTGTAGCAACAGTCTCATGGAGAAATATATACATGATTTACAGGTTTTAGTATGGAAAGGTCACCATTCAGCCAACATGACAGAATTCAAAGCGCGCAATTCAAAATTTAACCCAGTTGCTGTTATATATTCATTTTATTTATTTATTTTTATTTTTGATTACAGCTTGATTCCACACCGTATTTTTGGTACAAGTATGGAATTTACAGCATGGATATCGGTAGCCCAAATTTCACAGGCCGACCATAGATATCAAGGTGTGCGTCGGCGTGGGCTCGAACCCCGGACCATGTGCATGGTCGGCGAGAGTCCTAACCACTGTGCCACCGACGCACAGCCTATTACTGATAGACGCCAGTGATCTTGTTTGAACCCTGATATATATATATATATATATATATATATATATATATATATAATTGTACTATTTTAAAGTGTTATACGGAGATCTCATCGATTTCTAACTAGATCAAGAACTGATATCATTTAGAGCACCACTAAAGATTGGCAAATAGTGCACAGGTCTTCTGTTTTAGTCTTGGACTCTTCAATAGTACGCACCCATAACTCTGCCGGAGACCGAGCCCAGGGCTTTGACAGGTGTTCGGGTTTACAAAGCACCAAACTTCCAACTGTTGAACGGTAAATGGCCTTAACTCGTTACCACAAGGCACCTGGTTTGATCCCCAGTGGGTTCATGGGGGTGAACTTCTGGAGAGTACGAAAGTGGAACGAAACAGTTTTCCACTACACTCCTTGGTTTGCAACGGTTCTCAAACTGATTATCTAACATGAACCTGTTGGGTTCATCGAAACTTTAACGGTCTTAAGGCTTACATGTGGAAATCTGGATTTGTGACTATTTTTATGAGCATTAATGGCGATAAAATGTTAACAAAAAACAAAACTTACACTTTGTTTTAGTGTGTCTAGTGATGCCAGAGCGTCGTTTAGAATTGGCATAGCCTCAGCCAAATCTGCTTCGCATTCATCTTTAATTGCTTTTGAAGCAGCGGCTGCTTTGTTAGCTATCAGTTCATCGGATGCAACAATTTCACGCTGAGCTTCAACTTCAACAGAATCTTGTGCAATTTTATTCAACAGAATGTCAGTCTCTGTACTGGTCTCCATAAGCAATGGTTGTAGATCACGTAGTTCCTTTTGCATTTTGCCAACTTCACTGGCAGCGAATTCTAACTTGTCTAAACCAGTTAAATAGCGATTACGCATTGTTGTCAGCTCTGTACGCTTTTTGTGCAGTAGCTTTTTGAATGTAAGTATCATTTCCAAGTAGGATGTTGGCGTTACATAGCTGTGTCGTCGTAAAATTTCCAAGAATCTGCAGAAACAGAAGACAAACAGGTGGTGTTTTTCGTTACAGTTCACTATGACAAGTATTTGGTTTATTGATAAACCCGAAAGGCCTGACTATGTCGTAATGGGATATATGTATATATATATATATATATATATATATATGATCAAGCGGATGAAGCCATAATGTCATACAACCTGTAAAGAGATTTTAGCCATCTCAGCACTAACTCCAAAGTAAAACGGGCTTTGAAATTCCACATGAATGAAATAAGTACTTTCCCTGATGATCTTGAATGCCTTATATATAAAAAAAATTGACCAAGAACGGTGAGTTTGTGGATCAAATAATACTGCTACCACTACTACTACTACCACTAATAATAATAATAATTGTTAAATGTTATGAACGTCAGTGATAACACCGATCATAATGATAACAAAAATAATGATAGTAGGGATTATGTTATGTACCAATCCGACACACAAAATCAATTTGGTCGAATGCCCCTCACGAATAGAGCAAGATGGATGTGTACATATAACTCCCTAGAGAAAATGAATTAGGATACATTAGAAATACGCTGCTCCAAATGGGTTATCCAAGTAGATTTGTAAGGAGACACATGAACACCATGTATAATGGAGAGAAACAGACAACGATTAAAAAGAAACAACTATTTCTGAAACTGGAACTCAGTGAGGACGTGGCTAGCGAAGTTCTACATCTAAGACTATCTAGAGAGAGCCGTAAAACGGACTTGTACTGCTCTCGCACTTTGTTTTTCACTTTCCAGTCCATCAATTATGATTTCTCAAGGAGAAAGACAAGCTGTCTAGGTGTGCCAATTCTATGTGCACTTACACATTTAGGTGTTCCTAATTTATGCTTTTTAATGCAAAGATAAACGATAGAGACAAGTTTAGCCAATATTGTGTTTTGCATGCTTGATGCAATTCGCCTTACAGACAATGTAGGCTTTGTCTTCTTTCAATCTTCATATGAGTGAATGGAAAATAATGCATTGGTATCTGGATGACAACTGTTCCAATGTTCTGACAGCCGTTTCGCAAATCTCCTTCACATATACTACAATTAGCAGGCTGATTGATAGAGATCAGATTTGTCAGACAATAAGAAACAAGCAATACGTGACATACAGTGGACTAACATTTAACGACTTTCTAGAATGATGTGGAGCCGTGTTTTTCACTATAACTACCTGACCAGCAACATGTGCTTAGCGACACTAACTCACCATTTTCTCTTCTACCTTATTCACATCCTTCACTGACTGATATACTACCAGGCGTATCATCCAACCAAAGACTATTTATTATCATTTTATTTTATTCCTGTACGTCTTGAGTGGAACATAGGGCTTTAAGCTTGGGCTTTGAATTTTCGTTAGTAGCTGTGTTTATCTTTCCGGAGTGAGGTTGCTAGCCTCACTGACCAATTCCCGGTCTTATTACCTACTTAGGGAGGCTTAGGAGTTCGTTAGCCGTGAATTGAGCCCCAAACCATATGCGTGGCTGGTTGGTTGGTGAGCAGTCTACCACTGTGCCACCCTAAGATGGATACCTTCTTTTTAATAACGAGCCAAACACCATGTTTCTTGGGTATTACAGATGTATGTACTGAGTATAGTATGAATGAGTATTTTTCAATTCCTGAGACAGATTAAGCCATTGAATTACTTCATCAATCGGCCACCTACTCCAAAACTAATATACAGTGGAACCTTACTTCAGATAAAATTCCTGTATTTCAAAGTTGCAAAATGTATATCACATTATTCCATTTTCTTATCAAAGCACGCACATAAAAGAATCTTGCGTCTCTGCTGAACAGGATTATGTGGCTTGCACTTTTTAAGGTCATTTTCTCAGGTTATTTGTAAAATAAAAAGTAACAAAGTTAATCATTCACTTTGTGCAGATTTTTATGAATTCCTTCTAGGCTCCCAGTGGAACATAGGGCTTCAAGCTAGAGACTTGAAGTTTCCGTAGTAGACTACGCAAGTATTTTTTTTTTTCAAAATAAATCTCTGAACTCAAAATGCTGTCTATTTCTTACATCTTTGTTAAACTATATACAAAATGCCTATCCTGAAAAGTTACGTAAAAACTAATCCAAGTTTCAGAAACCAACGACAGTTCATTAGTCAAGTCTACACCTCCCATAGGGAATAATAGTCACAACAGCTTCGTACATAGTGAACTATAGTTTAGACAACTTTACGGTTGCCAGAGGTAACCAATTGTTTTTTTCCTAGAAGTGTGATGCTACGTTTCGTTATTTGTGTTAATAAACACCAGGCATGATATTTCATTTCAGCTGTGTCCAATAGCTGACGCTTGTGACACTCTTCTTTGCGCGACATTGTGTTCAGTTTGTCTAATTAATTTTTTTTCCTTCACGTTCCCCAGTGGAACATAGGGCTTCAAGCTAGTGGCTTGAAGTTTCTGTAGCAGTGTTTTTATTTTACAGGATGGGGTTGCTGACCTCATGCCCAACCTTTCCTCTTTACCAGAATTATTTCTGGCTTAGCGAGGTAAAGGAGTGCGTCGACCGGGGCTCGAACCCCGGACCATGTGCATGGTCGGCGAGCGTCCTAACCGCTATACCACCAACGCTCAGTTTGTCTGATGAAGTCAAAATGCTCATGGGATCATTTATAACCTTCTCTAGTTGTATTACATTATAGGTGAGATAAAAAATATTAACAGTTGATAGCTGTAAACAGTGAGCTCACTTCTCGGATAGTTTCCTTACACTTTCATGAAAGTATTTACACAATATCACAGAGGATTCACGTGCATTTTCACCGAATTCAATACCTTCAAAGTGTTTATTGGCAACCATCTCCAAAGCATCCTCGGGCCAGACCTGTGCGTATGGATATAAATAATGTGGAAGAGATATAAGCAATGAAATTTGAAATAATAAGAGATTAAGATTCTCAAGTGTGTTGATTTCGAAGAGTTTGATTGAGTTTTAAGGCAGAATACAAGCATATATCTGTTAGAGAACCGCTGAATAGTCACAACAGGTTCTTCCTAACACCAGAAGGCTTTAGGTCTAATTTTTGGGTGTGTGTGCTGCTGAAAAGCCCTAAGGCTTGAATAAGACAACTGTTCAATACTCCCTGGTTTCCACTGGTTGTCTAACTGATGTCAGTCAGTTGTCTTACCTTAAATTAAAACTGTTCAGCCTTAGTGGGTTTAGACATCCTGTTAGATGACTAGTTACCGCTGAAAGAAGAGTAAACTGTGTAACAGTCCTGTATTCCTAAACATATAATTGTACTACATGAACACTAAAGTTTGCTAAATGCATGCATCCAACTAACATCCTTTTCAGGATTGTTCAAATGCGGAGAAACTAAGCCATGAATTACGCTGTCAGTAGAAACGCATGCAGAGAAGACTGATTGACATATCAGCATAAAACTTTGTACGGAGGCGCAGCACTGCAAGATGACCAGCATGAAAAAAGCAAGCAGAATACAAAATGGACAAAGATACTTAAAAGGAAGGGGGAAAATTAGATGAAAACTGATTAGAATTCCTAAAATCTAAATAACCAATGAGGATTGAATACATTTAAAACATTATAAATGATTTTTTTTCCAACAATCTGAGAATATTCACTCATTGCATCCTCAGGAGCACAGTCAGACGACCCGCAACTTCGTTTAAGACAGATAATAACAACCAGTGAATCCATGGATGAGTTCCTTTGTATTGGTCTGACCACATTTAACTTTTTTCCAACCTATTACCATTTTACTTAACATAGCTATAAAGGAAAACGATGACTTGGCATGTCTGTCATTCGATGAACATATAAAGTCTTAATGATCCCCTTGCCTCAGTTATCCTAGATGATGTCTATTTTCAACAACGCTCACCATTTTTTTTCACCTAGTTTGTCAAGTAAATGAAGGTTAAAAAAATCTCAAATCTCCTCATATCTTCGTGTTGTCATTGACCACGTCTCATGGGTGTAAAGCACGGTGAGAAAATCAAATATCGTGATGCCTGCTTCAAACATGATACAACCTCTCAAACGTTGAACAGACCTTAAGAATTTTGTCAGTAATCACTTCATCGTAGATATTGGAAATGGTTAGTACATTCAATCTTTTTCTAACTAGCATCCAGCGATTAAAATGTTTACACTGTTTTCTTCCCCTTCAACCTGATACTACTTATCAGTCATAAGTAGTATATATTTAAGTTAATTCTCTTTGTTAGTTGACTCAATTGGACAGAAATATTTCTTCTTTATTGACATGTCAGCTCCTTGCAAAGATACCTCGTCGACGTCTGAGAATTAACATGATGTTACTTTTTGGACGGTGACTAGGAGTGGAATCTCGAGTGGGTATTTCATCCTAATTTGAGACTTGATAGTTGGATGTACCTGCGGTGGACAGTGAGTGATGGTGTTCCCCCTGCTACTTGTGACCCACCTGACCTAGTGGATATCGCCTTGCCGGTTGATATTTGGGTTACTGGACTTGAGTCGGAATCCAATGTATAGTAAGTAGCATAGTTTGCGTTTTGCTTACTGTATCATTACTCCATAGGCATAACCGTTCCTCCTCGCATTAGTATGTCAGTATTCTATTTTTTTCTATGATGATTCTCATCCTATGATTAGACTGTACCTACTATACACTAAACGTCGCTTCCCATTCAGGCTGTAGTTGAGGATATGGTGTGTGATGTCTTCTCATGAGTGTTAAAAATTCCGATCTTTTTCCTTGTATTGCTATGTGCCGTAGATCTTATACAATGATTTCAGATTAATAAGCACCTATCTTGCTTTGACGTCCTCACTCCTGCTACCTGTAGCCTGAAACGATGCTCCCTGGGTAAGCGAAGGTAATGACTTACTTTAGATTTCTTCTTTGGATGCTGATCGGTGCTGGTTGTTGTCGGTTGAATATTTTCATCACGTCTATCTTTTCTTTATGATCACATGAAGTTGTATCTTTGCCTTCCTGTTCTGTCACGTTGTTGGTTTGTGCTTGTATATCCGACGTGAGACATAAACCGTTAGCTAAATATACACCTGATAAGGTCCTTGCGTCTTCTTAATCAAGTACGACCTGCCGTATAATCCTCATTACACTGGAATCATGCAGATAGTCGGCAACAGTACGCCACATTTTCTTGGAAGGTTATTTTCAATCCTGACTTGAAAATTAAACAGTTTGGCTTTATTGCATACAAAATGTGAGAGTCAACAGTTATCTTTAAATGCACTCTATCCACTAAAAAATACACATGTAGTCTCAATGTTAACAAAAAATTGTATTTCTTGAAATTAGTCATCAAAACAACGAATAAGGGCTTACATGAAACCAGTCGATTGTGCAACAGTTAATCAAGGATGGGAACATACGTAATCTTGATCGGAATGCATCACCAATCGGACTCATGACAAGTACTATGTGTAAATGCTTCTTCACTCGTTGTGTAAAGTACGTATACATAGCCAGAGGACTCGGTTCAATTTTTAGACCCTTGAGTAAAGTAAGATGAAAAAAACAATTATTAATAAGGCCGAATAAAGGTTATTCATTATCACACATTTTTCTAATAGGACAAGTGCCAATCACACTCAAAATATGCGTCAGTGTGTTATAAAACTGGAGATGTTACTGGATATATTATCATTACTATTATTTTGTCTTATGCCTTTACGATCTGAGTATAACATAGGGCTTCAAGCTAGGTCTTTGAAATTTCGGTAGCAGTGATTTTAATTTCACTAGGTGGGGTTGTTAGCCTGAAGGTCAACCTTCCGTGTTAACCGGTTTCACTATCCCCTGAGAGACAATTAGGAGTTCGTCGGTCGAGGATCGAACCCTGGGCCACGTACATGATCGGTAAGCATTCAACTCCTGAACCCCCGTCACCCGTCGCTGGAATAACTTAGGTAATATAGTTAGGCGTAGGGAGAGAGTAATTGCTGAATCTACACTGAATCACTAAATCCACACCAAATGCGGGCAATAGGAATTAGGCAGCAGCAACAACAACAACAGAGTTATGGAGACTATCATTATCAATAAAATCAAAGAATAAGAAATGCTAGAACTACACAAACAAAATCTGAAAACTATATGAGCACCTAGATATGATTATAAGGAATACATTGTGTTTGAAATGTCATCAGCAGATAAATACCACCGGAATATCTTGTGTGTTTTTTATCAAATATATTTGTTCAGCTTTACCACTGTGTCCACATTCTATTCTCAGTTATCATCTTTCTCATGTTTACTTTTTTGTCATTTATTAATTTCAAAGATGAATTTTTTCTTCCTCCGGGTCCCAGTGGCTGAATGATCTACAAGCTGGCCTTGTAACCGGGAGATCCAGGGTTCGGACTCTAGTGGGCACTGAAGAGTCCGAAACTGGGATGGAAAAGCTGTTGAGTACTCCTCAGGCCCTCTGTGCGTCAGTGGTTCGGTTGTAGAACAGTTACCAACTGTGCAAGTGGTGCAGGGCTCGATTCTCGGCCGGCAAATTTCCAGACATCGCCTAGCCGGTAGTAGGATCGGTAAAGAGGGCGAGTTGTGTGCGAGGCTAGCAACCGTATCCCGTAGAAAACACCGCTGCTACTGAAACTTCAAAGCTTGGGGCTTGAACCCCTATGTTCTACTTGGAATTCAAGAGAAATAAAATTTGAGAAAAAATAATAATACTCTGCTCGGTCAAAAGTAATCAGAAACTAGTTGTAATGTGTGCTTCATGAGACCAATGATACTTCCATATTCTGCTTCAGCAAATTTAAGCATTATTACAGTTGGAAAAGCAAACTGATGGTAGTTGTAGGGTTTATCACACGATACCGAATCTCATGTGGAATCGTACTGATGAGAATATTTTAAAAATAAATGATAAAATCATAGCTAAATAAAATTTATCTACAATTATTTGTGGAGAAGGACATGACACTACTCCTTCTCTATTGGGTTCCTCCTTTCATACAAGAGTTCTTCAGCCTGTGAAGTCCTGAGCAATAAATTTGTACAGTTTTTCCAGATGTTAAAAATGGATATATTGTACATAACCTTTGTTTATTCGACTTCTTTGTCATATATGTACACTAAAAGTTTAGCATTCGAATGGAAATATAGCCATGCTGTCCGTCGCTTTGTCTTCTCACTGGTCCTTTTGGAATTCGCAGAAACGCCTCATCCTCGACGGAAAACTATTCAACAACTTCTACCAGTGGACAGGACCCCAGCAGTGAAATGGATCTGTGGATTATATTATCAATTTGTAGTAGTAGACTATAACTGTATTTTCAAATAATCATTGACTTGCATAACTCATTATCTGCATTTTTATAATATCCTGACTCAGCATTCTTCCAACAATTTGGTATTTTATTCTGATATTGCGTACCGTTAAGAGCTCATTTTTAAGCCGTTTACACATTAAACTGGTCAGACCGCTTGAACGTCTATAGTGTTATATACCACATATTTAAGTTAAAATCATTTTTTGATTACATTATTTTGTATCTATTTATTTTTATATTTATCATGTCATCATCCACATGTAATGAGTTAACTTTTGTGTCCACATCTACGGCGGACACACCCGTGCAATCGGCTCTTTGAGCATTAGATAGCCAGATAAAAAAGTTAGAAGCTGATATGTCGAGCCTACGAACACAACGTAGTAGACCACAATCAAGGTCAAGACAACGATGACGGTCTTTCTCAAGACGGCAGACCAGGATGCCTTTTATTACCCTATATATTTGTGGGTATCACAGAAAGTTCGGATTTTGAACTATCCGATGTGTGAAACCGTGTATTTTCAATTTTCGGTTGAGGAAAACTCCTCAACCAGACAGTTGAGGCAACGACTGTTACTGGCAACCACACCAGTCGCTATTTCCACGTAAGGGACATGAGTTCTGGCACATTATTCCTGGTAGATACCGAAGTTGAAGTCAGCGTAATACCTACTTCATTATTCTGATGACCTGCTAACACAGCTGGAATGCTGTCACTTTCTACTGTTGATCAAACAAACATACAGACGTGTGGTGAACAGTCGATGATTGTTGATCCTGGCCTACACCGAGGCTTCATATGGATTTTCATCATAGCTGACATCCATCATGCTATACTTGATCCTGACTTCTTGAGCAGTTCCAATCTGTTAGTAGACATCAGCAAGAAAAGACGGAGTGATAACTGCACCCAATTTACAATCTATGGAATCATATCAGATTACTTGGTTCATAGCACCTGTATAGAAACTCCGGAGAACTGCGCATTTTCTACCTCCACAAGCACAAACATACATCACTTTGAGGTGCTACGCTTGTGACTAATACATGTAAGTCATGATAGGACAGAGGATAATTTCACTGGGAGTAGTGTTGTTCAGAACTTTGTAAGTGATAAATACTGAATAGATCTGAGCTGTTGTCAGTGTCCGTTAGTCGTATCACCTGGAAGAATGTAATTAAGCGATTCTCAACCACCTACAAGTAGCCAGTCACTTCATAGACTGGTTGCATATTTTAGTCTGACGATCCCTACAGTCTCCAAAACTAATTCCATGTCAGATAATATTACTACCTTACTAAGGTAGTAGATTGATATGCATGAAACATGTCGTTTTGTGCTTTTTCTTCAACAGGTGGCAGGATATCTCATAATTACTGAATTTCTGATATATTTAAAAAAAATTTTTTTTGCTTTCAACTTGATTCCACACCGTATATTTTTGGTACAGGTGTGGAATGTTCAGCATGGATATCGGTAGCCCGAATTTTGCAGGCCGACCATAGATATCAGGTGTGCGTCAGCAGAGGATCGAACCCCGGACCATGTCCATGGTCGGCGAGAGTCCTATCCACTGTGCCACCGACTTCATTAGCTTCCGCAGACTGAATAAAGAGGAAAAATATTACTAACTACTACAAGTGTCTACTTAATCAGTGGTTATCGTGTTTCCAATCACTAAATATGTTCAGTCTTGTCCCGGAATATCTGTTTGATACAGATGTGGATAAGACTTGTGTCGTTTGAAAGGCTACAATTAAATATATTTTTGCGCTAGAATCTGTAAGTGCAAAGAATAAATTTTTTTAATGTCGATTTCTGAACAAAAGAACCCATGAAAACTAATATGTTTTTATGAAACATAAATATTATGCGTTTTCATGATGAAAAAAAATTTGGAAAACTTAGTTAAAATGACAACATTTTCTGTGTTTTGTTTATTCCCTCGCCTTCCAAGTGGAACATACCTTCAAGCTTGAGTCTTGAAGTTTCACTAACAGTAGTGTTTGACTGATTGAAGGATTTCATCATGATCTGACATCAGTTAGAGAACCAATGGAAAACCTACTGGGAGTACTGGACAGCTATTTCATCATAGTTTTGGACTCTTCATCAGTACGCACCCACCGGGTTCGATACCAGGACTTTCTGGTTACAAGGAGAGCTCGTAGAATATTCAGACACGGGGACCCGAATCGATGGCCCATGGGAAGCCGTGACCAGTAGAATACAACAGGTTGAAGGCCAGGCAGTAACCCACCGAAGAAGACATTACGAAGTGGTCGCGCTATGTCATGAATTGGCAGAAGCTTGAATTGATGGGTCACTGAATCGGGTCTCAGTGGTTGATGAATGGTCTACCAGAAGGTCCTGATTTTCAACCCCGATGCATACTGCTGAAGATTTCAAAACTGGGATGAGATGGCTGTCCAGTAACACCTGTTGGTTTCTAATGGTTTTCTAACTGATGTCAACCCGTCACCAAACTATGTGGCTGCACCTGATAAATTGATAATATATGCATATGATTATATCTACTGTAATTTAATGCCTTGGCGTTCCTTTGCTAAATTTACGAAAAATAATGAAAAGTGTGCTGAAGTGCGAAACTCGAAATCGCATGTGCGAAAAGTGAAAAACTGAAAAATGAGGAATAATGCAGACAGATAAACGTGTATTGACAGGAATGCAATAACGCTGGAAAAAGCCAGTGCTTACAACATCAAGTGAAAATAAGCTGATGTGAAATCACAGAAACACACACACACACACACGAAAATGCTTATTTTTAAAGATGCAGCATTCAAAGACTGGAGTGAAAACTATTTGCACACCACAACTACTAAATTAATATTACACTACTAAGGTGACTTACCGCTCGCTTTGCCTAAATTCATTAGTAAATACCATAAAAGAATGAAATGGTCTAATATGAAATAATTATAAGTGACTGACTGCTTTCGACGTAGATCTTTGCACAGATGTGCAGCAGTTCGAGTTTCAACTCGCCCTTCATGTAGTACACAAAGCAAGAGAAGAGAGTAAAGAGAGATTCGTCAACAGAGAGATAGTAAACAGAAATATGAGGCAAAAAGAATGGTAATATGGAAGAACACTAGGATTTATTGGATGTAACAAATCACAAATAGTAGTGAATGCACTACTACTACACTATCATCGAGAACAACAACTTTGAGCCATATCACCGATTGTCTCCAGCTTTCATTTATTCTTACCATCCCGATGACCCCAACCAGTCAGTCAGAAAGCCAGTGCACACCTCTCTACGTGGCTCACCTAAACTAACTGTTGTGGAATTCCTTGACTAATGCCATGGTTTAGTTTTACCACCATTAACTCTCTCCCAGCCTGATCCTACGTCAGCCAACATTACCCGTCAAGGAAGACAATGGTATCCTTACAACAGAAACAGTCTATGTAAACACATTATAGGAATATATGCTTAGCTTGAAAACTGACACTCTAAGATATTAGTTATTCAGAGAGACGCTATCTTGCCCATGACAGTGTTGCTACTGTTATGAATCTAAATATTATCTGACACTCTATTTTATTTTCTGCTTGCTTTCACTTCTTATTCATAGTAGAGAAGATTTGTAGCTTAGATGGGTAATTTTCATGTGAATGAGTTCACTCAGAAGCTTCCATTTTCTTCGCAGTTAAAGTGCCCAGGTGTGAGAGAATTCAGCCACATTAAACTTCATCTGTATTATTCTTGTACCTAACTACCTAATCATAAAACCGTAGAGTGGGATGATTGCTCATGAGCATTTTTATTTCACTTGGATGGAAACTGAATTAATCGTTGAGTTAACTCTAGGGAAAGTTGGGTGTTGAGTCCCCTATGGCTGGCAGCTTGTCAAGCTTAACCTTTATTTGGGTGTCATAAGACCTTTTCGGTAAGCTGAATAGCTTCAGCTGACTTGGAAACAAAAAAGTGAAACGGGAGTGAATTGATGACAAATAGAGCTGTAAAGCAAAAGCCTTCATTTACACACTAAGAAGACACAATGATTGGAGCAAAGAAATATCTACCTTACGATTAGTTCCTTCAGCTCCGTCGTGGGACACTTTATCAAATCTGCACATGAAGCTAACGCTCAAACCAACTTCAAATTCACCCGCAGAATACATTGGAGCCTTGCTAAAAGAGTAGAAATTGATCCTCTTACAACTGAAGGAGCACTGGTGATCCACAAATTAAGTCCCAAACTCTGCATACACAAGAAGATTGTTCAGTCACTAGACCTACAACAGACTTGGTTTGTTTCAACACTGCATAACAAAACATTTGCTTTTAGTACCGTTTTTAATTGCATTATTCCACCACCCGCACCTATGATTAACTTCTACTCCTTATTATCAATGTTCTTAATTTTAGATGAGTTCTACTCAATTCTGTCAATTATTTTACGCACTCAACTTACTTAGCTAGTTTGATTTTACTTTTTATCCGACTAACGCCTTCATAATACGTAGATTATTATCTGAAATTTAAACTCTTAATGGCACATCTTTGGAAATATTCTTTTGGTTTCGAAGAGAGTTGACTATATATGCATCGTAATACAGCTTGAGGATGATATCACCGAAAAGGAGGAATTCTTTGCTAAAAGCCTTTGCCTTCATGGGATTACGTAACAAGCGGTTAAAAATGAAGTAGTCAAAGTAATAATATAATAAAGATACCTATGACTTGTAAAATTTTCTATATTTTGGTTTGTAAGGGTTAGTTATGTTTTTATGAGTTGATCACGAATTGATATCAGTTAGAGAACCATTGAAAACCAGAACTGGAGTACTGGACAGTTGCTGTTTCATCCTAGTTTGGGAATCATCGGCAGTACGCACCCATTGCCAGGATTCGAACCCAGGACCTTCCGGTTACAAGGCGAGCTCGTATACCATTCAGCAACTCACTGGGATCCGATTCAATGACTCATGAATTCTAACTTCTACCAATTCGTGATTTAGCGTGACCCCAACCATTGTCGTTTGTGGGACATCCATCCACACACATGACATCTAATTGGACTTCATTGGTCACGACTTCTCACTAGAACTCAGGAAACTCCAATCTGTAGCAAGTCACTAGCGTGCATCAGATTAATTTTCTATAGTTTGGTTTGTAAGGGTTAGTTGGTAGAAGTTAGAATTCATGAGCCACTGAATCGGGTCCCAGTGAGTTGCTGAATGGTATACGAGCCAGCTCGCCTTGTAACCGGAAGGTCCTGGGTTCGAATCCTGGCAGTGGGTTCGTACTGCCGATGATTCCCAAACTAGGATGAAACAGCAGTTGTCCAGTACTCCAGTTCTGGTTTTCAATGGTTCTCTAACTGATATCAATCCGTGATCAATTCGTAAAAAACTTGTAAAATTGTCAGTTCTCAACATTGAAGTAATGATGGCCAAGATAAGGAAAGTGTTCAGAAGAAATCCATACTTTCCCTCTCCCGCTAAGCCCTTTACAGGTCATCATTGTCCTCATCCTCATTAATGCTAATAGCTTTCTCAAAGTATTATATATGATACTTTAAGGAAGCTATTAGCATTAAATAGCGAAACGTCAGTAAAAACAGCAATATCGTTTTGTTTTTCATTCATTGGGAAATACAAAAAACCTTTATTATAATAAATATCATATACCCAATGGGCAAATTTTTTCAAACCGTTAAAAGTGAACTTGGTTTGGACATATATAATCATCATTGTCCTAATTATTTTAATATTCTGATTACTGCCTCTTTGAAGCGGCTTGTTATGTAATCAGTTTGAGTACTCTCATCTACTTAATTACTCGTCTTATTTTTCCAAAATTATGCATTATATCATCCACTTGTTGTAATGACTTCCACCCTTTAAGTGCTGGTATCAGTTTTGGCGGTTAATTACCACACCTCCTTCATGCTGTTGACATTGATTAATTATTGTTGAGAAACCTGTCACCACAAGTTTCTTAAATCTTTTGTAGTGTGTCCAAAAATTGTTACACACATCAGAGTAGAGCTAGAGATGAAGATCTAACTGAAAAGTAATTATTTCTTCTTCCAATCCAAAGTTAGTATACTCAACCACCACTACCACCACCACTAACCATATTTTATATGGGTTGTTTTACAACAAATAAAAAGGCCAGTTAACTTACTTCCATACGTGCAATATTTTGTACTTTATCAATTAATTCTGCTTTCTCATCTGGTGGGAAAAGATTAGGCACATCACCAGAATTCAATAACATTGAAATATCCTCCATGAATGATTCATGTTTAAGTTGAGTATCATTGATTAGAAATACAGTTGACTTTGCATCAAGTCCAGTCTTAAGCAACAAGCGTTTAAGATCATCTCGCCATTCATTAACACCATATGTACGCGTGATTTCAATAACAAATAATTCATGATCTGCAATATGACTGGCTAAACGTGTTGCACTCTGACGACCACTGCCTCCAACACCTGAAAGTATAACAGTCAGGATAAACAAGTCAAAAAACACAGTAGAGTGCTAGTAGTTTTCTTATGTAAAATGACCGTAGGACACATCGAAAAAACAATTTATAATACAAATACTGCCCTTGTGAATAAAGGCACATACACAGCCAAAATTCTGCAGCAACTCTTGAAACGATAATCTAAAAGAAAGTTTAAATCATGACTTGACCTAATCCTTGAAGGAAAGGAGATTTGGGGATGCCGGTGAGTGCTTTTGGTATAGTTCTTTTCTCTAAGGTTAGGGCTACGAATGCAAAGGTTTCATTGTTCATCTAGACAACAGTTTCAGTGCCAAAATGAAATGAGGATTTAGTATCCTCCATGGATCCAATCATCCAATCTATCCAATCAGTATACATGGTAAGGAATTTAAGCTACCTAACAGGATACGCCATGAATTTAGGTTGTTTGAAATGACTCATTTCTCTGAGTTTAGTCAATCCGGACTCAAATTCAAACTACCGAAAGGGCTGTTCGGTGTTTCAGTCACTTCGATGGGGCTAGCAAACACACCTGTTTAACGTGATTGGTTTCCAACTAGTTACGCTAATCAGCAGTAAACACTACCCAGTTATAATTGTTTTGACTGATAAATGTGATGTATTTTCACACCTCTATTGGTTGAAAATCGGCCTCAATACCAGATTTCTTAGAAGTCTTTGTTGAGAATAACAGTGAAAGCTTCCAAATTAAGCCATCTAGCTCAGAGAAAACAACACTATCACAATCATACTTAAGTCCATCATCCAAAGTATATTAGACGCTTAATAAATTGTTGATCACTTGGTGTTGGACACAGTAGAGATCAGAAAATTAATGTTTATTTCCTCGTATACAAATGAATGATTTAGTGGCTTACGAAATTTGAAAATCCCCATTGAATCAGATAAAAGAAAAGGCCCTCAGCTAAGAGTTACTCGTTTCGACGATATCATTAGAATTGTAAAGGAACTTCAAAATTCGTACGAATCTTGCTAAAAGAGTAGAAAATCAAACGTCTTCAAAACGCAGAAGCAATGGCAATTCAAATGTTAGATCCTGAACTCTGTATACAAAAGAATTTTTTTCTGTCACTAGATGTACAATGGACCTGATCTCATCACCGAATACGTAATTTTTGTTTTTTATTTCTTAATTGTATTATTTTCATACCCTACCCTATATTAAATTTCTACCCCTTATTACCACTGTTGTTTAACGTGACTCTCGTTCAAATTTTAATTGAATTCTACTCGACAAAATCTGCGAACAGACTATAGAAAAGAAATTGTGCACTGATAATCGTATTAGTAATCTGAAACAACTACTTGTTAAATGTACAACAAATGTCCAGTCCTTGTTTAATAATGAAATGTACAGACAGGTTGATGGAGTAGCCATGGGATCCTCACTGAAACCTATTTTTGCGAATATATTTCCAGAAAAACTAGAAAGAGGAAATAGCAAAAATGGAAATGTGTTGTCGTTACATGGATGACACTTTTGTAGTGTACAATGAAGGGTTAAGTAGTGATTTGATTTTGAACAACTTCAATAATGCTTACCCAGCGGTCCATTTCACATACGAAGGAGAATACAACGACTCTCTACACTTCTTCAACGTCCTGCTAACGAGAAGAGAGCATGTTTTCGTCAAAAGAACCATATTTAGAAAGCTAGAGACCAAAGCTTCCTACCGTTGAAATATAAACGTCAGCTGATCAAATGCTTAGTATTTAGAGTGGGGTTCATTTGTTCCGAAGACTGTGTAGAGAAAGAACTCTAGGTCATCCGGGATATTCTAAGCGAGAACGGTTGTCAAGAGAAGTTCATTAAGGCCAACATATGTTACAATAGTCGTAAACATGAGCTGACAACGGTGCAAGAAAAGCCTCTATTTTTAAGTCTACAATTTAGGGTAGATACTCCTGCGAAGATTCTATCGCAACATTTAACCATGGCGATTAAGGGAACTTTCTATTTTGCACATCTGTTCCTATCCTACAGCAGTCGTCCAATGTTCGCCCAGAACCTGAAAGGTGTCTTGCCTAACCTTAGCTCTTCATGCACATACCATTACAACTGTTACTGTGGTTCAAGTTATATAGGGAGTACTATTAGGCAGGTTCGTCTACGGGTTCGAGAACATTTACCAGCTTGGTTCAGCATGGGAGGAGAGTGGGAAATTAAGTGTATGAAAAGCTCGATCCTATCACACTTGATCGACACTGGACATAGCATCGAAGTTAACACAGCTTTCAGGGTTATATACCGAATTCCGAAGTCGTTATCATGTACAGTTCGCTTTCGTTTGCTACACATAGCTGAAGGTGTTGCAATAAGATCGACTAAACCGGTACTTTTGATCCAAAAAGAACACGTCCAGACACTGTTCTTAACGTGGCCAAACTTGGATTGATGATTCTCTGATGGCGGCCTGTTTGACATCTGGGCTACCTTTTTCGTGCATCTACATATTGCATCTAATAAGTCATGTTTTCATTCCTAATTTTAATAAAATATGATCACAAATCGCATAAAATACAGTAATTCATTCATTAAACGTTTTAAACCATATGACTTTCATGCAACTAATAATGCATCTAATAAATCTAAGAGAAAACATCATGCTGGCTGGCAGCGTGCACTTAAACAGACACCTTTATATCGTACAACCATTCCTGTTATTGTCACTTCAAACTGCCGTTCACTTCCCAACAAAATTATGCATCTCCAGTCTCTCTTATCATCTGATACTTATCACAATACGGCGATTGTTGCATTACAAGAAACATGGCTCCATGAACTCTATGATGACAATCTGGTTTCCCTAAATGGTTTTACATTGTTTAGACAAGATCGACTATGCTCCAGAAAGAAAAGAGGTGGAGGTGTTGCAACTTTCATTCATTCTCAATGGTCAACTTCAAATAATGTATGTTTTTCTTACTCTAATGACTTTATTGATTGTATAACGGTCAAATGCCGCCCGAAACATTTATCCAAATTCAAATACGTCTTCATCTCTAACATTTATGTTACTCCTGGCTGTTCTGCATCTGATCTATCTGATTTTGCTGATGAATTCACTGAATTTGCCGTTACACATCTTGAAAACTCTTTATCAGTTGTCACAGGAGATTTTAACTGCTGTGATTGTTCTTTCCTCGTATCATTAGGTCATGCCAATATTGTTAAATTCCCTACTCGACTTGATAAAACCCTTGACCTGGTGTTCATTAATGATGAGGAAATATATGAAGTACGCCGACGTGCTCCTATCATGAACTCAGATCATTGTATTATTCGGATATTACCTAAGATATACAGCAGATCTCACTTTAATATCTTCTCAAATCTGTCCAAGAGACACAGCAAAGGTGTTACTCACAAGAAAATATGCTCAAACTAAGATGTATGCTAAATGACACTAACTGGGAACTTTTCAACGAACACAAACTGGATGATACTATTTCCAATTTGACTGACTATCTTAAATTCTGTCTTGATATATGCTGTCCAAAACAGATAATTTTCAAAAGAATGGATCGTTTTTCTTCCCCTCATCTCAAAAAACTTCGTAGAGAAAAAGAGAAGCTGTACAAGACAAAGAATAAATCTGGTCTTAAGAAGATAAACACCCAAATTAAATCTGAAATCAAGAGACTAAACAACATTTATAATCAAACAATACTATCTTGTAAAACCTCAGAAAACATATGGAAGCTTTTTAGAGAAATTACTGGTTGTGGTAAGCATAATAATTTTGCCTCTTCTATTGATGTAAATACTCTCAATAGATCTTTCATCCGCCCTCCAAATGTCCTTTCTGCCTTCAATTTAACTAATAACACGACCAGTGACTTTCATCGTTTCAATACTTCTGATGTTCTTAAATGTTTGAAATCTCTTAAACCTTCCCAGAGTCTAGGCCCTGATGGTATACCTGCCATTGTTTTAAAGAAATGTGCTGATATTTTAAGTAACCCACTTACAAGCATTTTCAATACTTCTTTTTCTAATAATAATGTACCTTCTCTGTGGAAAGATATTAAAATCATCCCTGTACCCAAGTCTGGTTCTGGAGATAGTGTTAAGTTTAGACCAATTGCCATTACCTCTCCTTTCTTGAAACTGATGGAGAAATTACTCTTACAAAAACTCATTCCCTCCCTAAGCTTCTCAAATGATCCAAAGCAGTTTGCTTACAAACAGGGTAGAAGTACTTTGGATGCTGCTGCTGTGTTTCATCACAACATTGTATCCTCCTTAGACAAAGGGGCCAAGTATGTCCGTTGTACTTTCCTTGATTACACATCTGCTTTTGACTCTGTACCTAGAGGCCTTTTGTTAAACAAGCTTAGCCTTACACAAACTGAGTCCTGGGCTATCAACTGGCTGCACTCTTACTTCTCCAATAGGATGCAGTACACGGTATATAATGGTGTAGCTTCCTCTCCTTTGCTTACTGAAGCTGGTGTTCCTCAGGGTGCTGTTCTCTCGCCGTTTCTCTTTTCCTTCTTCTTACATGACTTACCTCTCTCAGACGAAATCAACTTCGTCAAATATGCAGATGACCTGACTGTTTCGCTTCCCGTTAAGTCTCAGTCAGACTGCTTCAAATTAAATAGCTTCCTGTCGGACATCAGTCAGTGGTCTAAAATAAATGGCCTAACGCTGAATCCCTCAAAATGCCAGACTGTCGACTTCTCCTTTAGGCATAAACGAGATCTACAAACACTAGTAAGCACTCATGATGTCTGTAGAATCGAGGGGACTATAATTGAAACAAAGTCTAATGCAAAATACCTCGGATTAGTTATATCTTCCGACCTTACTTGGTCATCTCATATCCAAATGATTTCCAAGAAAGTGTTTCGTCTAACCTACTACATTAAGAAACTCAGACTAACTGGAGTCCCTCAACCTCTGCTTACACAATTTGTCAACTCTCGTATCCTACCTATTCTACTTTACTGTTCCCCGTTAGTCTTTCCTGGGTTACTGAAAAAGGATTATACCATCCTGAGAAGGATGTTGAAGGTAGTTAGCAGGACTAGCGGTGTAAAACTCAGTCAGCTCGTCACAACATTAGTGGATAAGCATCTGAATACATGTGAGAAATGGTCTAAAACCATACTCTCTGACCCCCAACACCCCCTCTATTCCCAACTCTCTCCCTGCATCTCATCAGGTAGAACCAGAAATCAGTATAAAATAATATATGCTCGCACAACCAAGTATAGGAACTCAACGATACCATATTTGGCCCGTGTTCTAAGTGACAGAGACAATGTTAGGCGTGAAACCTATGACTTGCTTTGTTGTTAATAACATAATTTTGGCCCTTGTTTTTTCCCCCTTACACTCTCTTATTTGTACTCTATAGTGAACAACCTTCTTAAACATACTTAGCTGCTTAAAATTATTATCATTGGCTTACATTTTTATTCTTTATTCTATTCCTTCTTTGTACATCTACTGGGTCCGACTATATTATCACTATGATTATTAAAAATTGTCCCGTCATTAACCATCATGTAACATTAGTTTTGTGGTTGTTCTTTGTTCGGCACTATTTAACTGACAATCTTGTTTGTTATTGCCACTATCACCATCTTAAAAATTTTGTATTATGCATGATTCCTCACACTGCCACTACAAACAACCGCATTAGTACTGACAAAAAAAAAACCTGAAATGTTTATCTTATGATTGCTTAGTGTTGTTCAATCAAATTAACTGATCATCTTGGCTATAAACATTTTTTTAAGAACATCTCATAATTTCCCGTATGATTATAGCTGTTACTGTTCACCACGCATACACATATCGTAGCTTCCACTAACTAATACTGAAATATTTTTTTTCATTATTTGTGTTCGTCTTCTTTTTTACTCAGTATTTTTATTTGCATTTTTTTTGGTTATTTCTGTTTCTTTTTTTTTTGGTTTTTATTATATTTTATTTTTTTTATAATACTCCTTTTAAATGTACGATGAAATTAGATGCAATATTGTAGATATGTGCTGAAAATTCCACACTGTACCACAAGTACTGTTTCTGGAATAAAGCGAAATTGTTATGTTATGTTATGTTCTTCTCACCAAGAATGCTTCTCTTCCTTAACCCTCTTGGTTTTTTCTCTTTCTTTCTTTGCTTATTATTACAATTATTATGATTCGTCATAATTGATACCCTTCGTGCAAACATTCTCTCAATACTGTCAAATTTTCCATTTATACAGTCCGGACTTATTATTAATGACATTCTCTTTTCTCAATATGTACCTCCACCTGTTTCATTTAACATATTGGTTATTTCATGATGCACCTCTCATTGCAGTTTTACTATCTCCTCTTTAATACATACGCCTTGGTACTAGCCACTGACTCACCTGACACCTTTTGTAACCTTGAGCTGACTTAATTGTCAAGTTTCCTACCCCAAACTCTACAAATGTATTATGACTAACACTACCACTCTCTCCCATTTTACAGTAAATTGTAATCGATTTCCGCCTAGCACACAAATAATACTATTTATTCTGACACCCCATAACTAATCTGCTTTTCTACGTTCAAAAATATATATCCGCCGGTGAATAACTAACTGGTCATTGTTGTAACGACAACAAATACTATATGTATTTTATAACTGTGAGAACCTGAAAAGGAGAAAAGAATATTCCTCTTTCAAACTGACTTTGAATTCTACTCAATACCGTCATTTTTCATAATTAATTTGTATTTTAGTTCCTAAACCATTAACGCTTTCTGCATTACGTAATTTGTTACCAAAAATTTAGAATTGTAGTGAAACGTTTCTGGAAATATTACTTTTGTTGCTAAGACAATCGCGAGCCCTCATAGCTCAGTCTCTGACTGCAGCACTGGGTGACGCGGGTTCGAATCCCAGAAGAGACATGAGTTTCCTCAAGATTGCAGATACTCCTTGCTGACGAGTGCCAGTTGGCACTAAACCTAGATCCAAGGCTTCCTACCGATTGCATCCAACCATCTAATATCATCATACTATTGTGAATCGTGTTGGCAGGTTACCTAGAATAGTGATCACATTGCAAACCTGACTGATGGAATTCAGTTTGCACCAAACAAAGGACTAGACATATCACACTGGTAACTAGTATCCAAGCAAAGAAGATCATATAGCCACGAAGGATTGGCAACAAGGAATTCCGGAAACCAACCAATCAAGGGCTTGTTTCTCAACAAATATGCCAAAGGAAATGGAGGTGGGTCGGACAAACGTTAAGGAGACCGTTGAGTGACACCGCACTCCAGCCAGTCCTTTGAGAGGAACCCGAATGCGAAATGATGAGTTGGGCTTTATCCATGGGTGACATAGAGGCAATGGTGTCACAAGGAGATGAAAGCTTACAGGTCAGTCGTGAAGCCAGCTAAAGAAGACTGCACAGAACAGAACAAAATGGAGATGTGTTGCTTAAGCCATATGTTCCACTTGAAACCCAAGAGAATAATAATAATGTTCTACTGTTACTTAAGGACCTAACTAGTGAGGCTTTTCTGTGAATAGCATATAGAAGATCTAAACCGAAGTCACTATGTTTTCGTGTTGGGGACTTTATTACTGGGCTGTTCACTCCATACGTATCTTCTCGTGGATCTGGAGTGCTAACTTTCATCAACGTTTAGGAGAGTAGTTACTATTTTTCAGTCAATTCACACACAAATTCGTCTAATAATGATTCAGTGAAACTGGGGTGTAATTGATGTTTAACATCAATTCAATCTCAAAGACTGTGGATAAAAAAGATTACCAAGTGGGATTTTGTGGTGAATAGGGCATAATTTCTAACTTTACACAATTATATACTATACAACTTACCTACTAGTAATGCATGCCCATTATCTTGTAATAGAACACGTGCCACTCGACTGATATGTTCAACAGCAAATTTAAACATAACAAGATTCATTGGAGTTTTAGACAGTGCATTGAAATCGTTTAAATAAGCCTCCATACGTTTTGTAAGTAATTTGAAATCAGTCACCTCATCATAACATCCTTCATCTTGCATATAATTACCAAATAATAAATTTCTGATATCCTCATCAGCAACACGACCACTTAAACTTAAATGGCCTAATATTTTATCCATATTTGTCCGAAATACATCAGAGCATGTTTGACGAACAATTTCGAAAAATCGATTGCCGTCTTCAGTTAAAGTAAGCCGATCATAGAATACTCGATAAACCTGTAAGTAGATGAAACGCAAAATCCATGCAGAATATATAATCATTACTTTAATGAATTATTATACTGAGTTGTTTTGAAAAGATGCTGAAAAGTTTAGACAGGTAGTGCACTTCTCTTAAATCTGATAGTGGTTATTATTATCATCGTTCCCTTTGGTTCCAAGCGGAAAATGGGACTTCAGTAACACATTTTCACTTTGTTCTATCTCCTGCTGTCCACCTTAGCTGGTTCCACGATCGTCCATAATCTTTGATCTACTTCTCACATGATCTCCTTCATTTCACCGTGGGACGACGACGACGACACACTCATCGTTTCTCACTCGGGTTCCACTTAAGTCATAGCCTGCTAAGCGATATGACCAAGAACCTATCTCTCAACGAATATGTAGAAAATGAAGATGATTTGGGCACATGCTGTTTCTTGTTGCTAATTCTTCCTGCCGGCCGACCATTTGATCTTCAGTATGGAGCCAGCCAGCCAAGCAGCTGTTGATAGAAGACTACAGTAGCCTCGTGGAAATGCTTTTCATGACAGGCGTGTCAAGTTTCTAACCCATATAGAAGAAATAAATGACTGACTTAATATTTGTGCTGAAAATCCGAATCCTTTTCTATATACTGGTTGAATGCAACTGGTTTCTGATAGGATCAAGCATATAAACAGTATATCATTCTTTCTCACGAATCATGTGATTTATTTTGTGTTGTGTTAGAGTTACTGTGTTGTGAATCTACCATTTCTCACACATAATGTGATTTAATGTGTGGTTATTTCTTTATCTTTGTCTCACTCTTGCCTTCTCTGCCAGCCTCTTCCACCAGTTTGTTGGTTTCCTCCCGCTTCTAAGTCTTCAAGTTTGTGTGAAATTAGACATAAGTCATCCACACAGGAAATCCAGGTCTTTTGCAGTCGTTTTATCTATCCAGTGTACTGCTATCTTCTCGCTCCCTGTACACAGTCTGTCACATAATCCAGTTCACCAAAATCAGGTATATCATCGATGATAATAGGCAGCCTTGTATCACTCCTGTGTTCACCAGATTTTAGGAAAGTATTATTGTTTTTTTTGTTTATCTGCAGAACTGATTTTCTTTAGTTATTCATTACAGTGGACGGAGTTCTACTGAATCCCTTGTTGATAATTAGCATGCCGACAAATTTCCTCAAAATGAGTATTATTAACTATTTTATGGATAGTTAATTTGGAAAACCTCTTTCGTAAAGAAATTAATCAATCAGAATAGTGTAGATTGTGCAGTTAGCCTCAGTAAAAGGCGTATTATATTTAAGCCAGGTGAACCTCTGCCTTCCTCGTTGAGTAGCGTTGGCTTGTGCTAGAAGAGAGTTAGGGTGAGTGGACCAAAACAACCCATGAATTCACTTAATATTGAACTGAACCGTTTTACATAGGTCTAGAATGTCTCACTAGTGTCTTCGGGATGCGAAGCATCAATAGTTGTAAACTGCCGATTATATGCCACAGTATCGTTAATAATAATGCCGGTGTATTCAGTTCTTGCCACCATCTACAATCTGGATATCGCTGTTCACTCTCCCATACATTGTAGTTTCATTAGAAGTTTTCCACACTTTGTTTTTGCAGTTTTGAACTGATGCACTTCTACATTGTTAGGTCAATGACTCATATGACTAGATAAGTTTAGATAAGTTGTGGCTTCAAAACAAACAGCTCAGTGTATTTGTGCAACACATTTTAAGCACTTTGATTACGCAGGGATTTATCATAGAAATTTATATAACAGAATAATTTTCAGATATGGGTTAAGAGAATGGGTCATATTAGAAGGTTATATTGCCAACTGACTTGAGAAGTCAACTAACGGTCCCTAAACTGCTTAGAGTGAAAACAAATATCCTCCAATCTCGAAATACACTATTGAAGCATAGGATAAAATGAACGTATATGCCTCATTTTAAACCCGCTGATAAGACATGTTGCGGTCGTAACGTCAGAGACTAGGAAGTTTGTGTGTCCTCAGACACTCTGTCACCATTCTAAACCTTGTTTGATGGATCTATCTTTGAAACCATAATTAGTGTAATATTCTCCTCCTCTCTGACCTTTTAGATAGGCCTTTGACTTGACCAGCGTTCATACAGTCTCCTCTCAACACTAACATATATCTTCCTATGACAGTTACCTAAGTGACCAGATTTTTCGAAATATGTTGCATAAATACACCACATTATTCAAGTAGATTATGTTTTATTATTGTTTTGTCTGTGCACCGATGGCGAAGTGGAAGAATCCTCGCCAACTACGCACATGCTATGCGGTTCGATCCCTAACTGAAGCACTCCTAAACCTCGCTTGGTCGACAATTAGCGCAATAAAGAGAAGGAAAGTTGGGCGTGAGGTTGCTAACCTCATTCCGTAAAAAATTAAAACAAGCACCACAACTACTGAAACTTTAAACGTCAATCCTGAAGCTCCATGTTTCACTCAGAACTCAAAGGAACGGAAGAAAAATTGCCTTGTCAGTTTCACAAAGTTTTATTTCGTCAGCAGACACGGTTATAGTCATATATTTAATGACACATGAATTACTCACTGTAAGCAGCTTTTTACAAAAATTTCCCACATATAATAAATAGAACTACAATATAATAACGTAAGAAAAACATCTCATGATATTACTGCTTACTTCATGTATCCATAGACGCATAAGTTTATCTTGTTCTTTCATATTACTGGCTGGAACAAGCTTTACACCTTTGATAACTCTGGCGAAATCACGTAAGTTGAATACATAGTGTGATTTAGCTGGTGTAGGCAGAAAATTTGATATCGCCAACTTATAAACATGTAATGTTGCTTGAACTAAAACCTACAAAAACAGAAAATATATTTTCGTCAATAAAATAAGGCATATATTAATAATAATAATAATAATAATAACTGTGTAACGTAGGGTATCGTACAAACAACTTAGAACTTTATTGCATAGAGATGATGTTGATTATCTGCATCGTTTTGTTTTCCAAACCATTAGATGTGGAGAGACAGTAAAATAAAAGCCATTATCAGGATTTTAACTGTCAACTGAAATCACTTCGGAAATTGGAATCTGAGAACGCTGTCTGTCTGTCTGGATTCAACATAGAACTTGGCACCGAAGTGCAACAGTTCGAGTTGCCACGTTCCAAATAGCACACAGAGGTAGACAAGAAGATGAGTGGAGAGAATCAATACAGTCTGACAAGTATACGAGTGAAACAGAATGGGTAATGGTAGAAAGGAATATGAAAGATTACAGAGACTGAATACATCTGCGCTGGCCATTGACAACGATTTTGAGCCATGTCACCTATTGTCTCCAGCCATTGATTCCTAGAGTCCAGAGGGCCCCAACCCGGGAGTCTGCATCTACCTACCTGACTCAGTTTAACTGTCAAGGATTTCATGGATTGGTGAGGCCATGTTTTTGTTTGGCAACCACTGCTGAGAACGCTGACTGACTGGTTTTAACATAGATCTTTGCACAGAGATAATCAGCAGTTCTAGTTGCCACACACTTCCTCTATGTAGTACACAAAGCAAGGAAAGAGAGTAAAAAGAGATAAAGACAGATAGAGATACCTCTAGTCATTGTCATCAGTGAACAATTTTAGTCACATTCGAATTACAGGACCCCACGGGTCACGTCTTCTCACCAGAACTCAAGACAACTTGATCCCGTAGCCAATCACCAGTTGGTTGAAAGTTCTCTAATTGATATCAGTCAAATCCACGCAAACGATCATTCTAAACCTGGATAGGCCAACCGTTATTTATATTTTTCAACTTCTGAGCAATGATGGTAATGTATATTTATGATCTAACGTTTTATCTATACTATAAACCACACACAAATACATAAACAAACATATAAACACATACTGTAACAATTTAACCATGACATATTGACAATATCACGACAGACAAATCCGGTGACACAGGATAACTGTAAATATTATTTAAAACACTTAGTTCCTTTTATCAATTTAGATAAAGCAATAAGAAGACGTAATTTGTCTGAATCGTGTGTGTAATGTATTTGCGCCCACAACACATTTCAAACAATCTGATCCATCACACACGAACTTGTCATTAGAATATGTAGGAAATTAATAAAGAGGTAAGAGGTGAGAAAATAAACTACTTAGGTCAAGTTAAAAGGACATATTGAAGATCAAAATAACAATAAAGATCACTAAACCAAATAACAGAGGTTATAGTACATCTGGCCTGGCTGGTGTATCAAAACAAAGTTCACCAAGAAAGGTTTAATGTGGTGAGGAATTGTTTTTGAACGCATAAAGGTGGCTTGAACTTCCTAATTGCTAGGGCTTCCACAAACTTTAGGATACGCCCTCCCCCGAACACGTTTTATAGATAGGTTTAAAAGATGTGTAAACATCAATTTTATGTCCTGTCTCCATAATATGTTTGGCAATAGAGGAGTTAGGTCTCCTGTTCTCACCCTTAGTAGGTTGTGAGGACTCGATTTATTTCTGGTTTAGCGTTCTTCATTGTTATTTTGACCTTCAATATGTCCTTTTAACTTGAACTAAGTTAATTTTCTCACCACTTAACTCTTTATTATTCTCATATGTATATTCCTATGATAAGTTCGTGTGTGATCAAATTGTTCGAAATGTGTTGCACAAATACATTACACAATTCAGACAAATTACGTCTTACTACTGCTTTGTGTACATATTATCTTTATTTATCCTGTTCTCTTTGTTATGTATTATAGTTACATAATTTGACCTTAGTTTCACAATCTGCTATAAAACCAAACACACTAAGCTAATTGAATTCAATTTTAAATTTTCCCGACGATTGGTTGAACCAAAGTGCCAGGTTTCAGGTTGACATTTTGGCTCGACGATGTCTGGGTATGTAATTAGAAGTTAGTTGGTGAATGGTGACTAGCAGTGGAACCCAGGATGCGCACTTCCTCCCATCTGGGACTGGTCATCTGGATGTACCTGCATTCCGTAGTGAGTGATGATGTTCCCATCGAGCCTAGAACCCAGTGCCCAGACATCGTCGAAGCATCTGCACAAGGAGCTGACATGTAAGCCTGAGACCGAGCACTTCAGTCCAGTAAATCGACACGAAAATCAAAAATTCAATTAAACAATTAATATGACCCATTGCACAAGAGGTGGCTCTCATGGCCCAGGTGGTCTAGTGGATAACGCTTTGCTGTTCAAAACTATGGGCCACGGGTTCAAGCCTTGGTAAGAATATCATCACTCCTTGAGGAATGCATGTACATCCAGATGACGAGTCCCAAATAGGACGAAATGCGCGTTATCCTGAACTCCACTGCTAGTCACCATCCACCAATCAGCACTAAGCTTGTCTTATGACTGTTATTCAACTGTAGTTCACTTTTTGACCACTTTATTGCATCATTATATTTGTCATCTATCAGTCGTCGAACTTATACTTGGTGTGCCTCATCTGTTTAGATTTGTTCTATGATCATATATTTAAGTGTTGGTTTGCATGGAGATTACTCGGAGTTCTAGGAAGAGGTCATAGCCAACGGATTTCACCAAGTCTGTTAAGAGAATAGTTACTCGCCAGTGGGTGGCGGTTGTGCTATATATAATATCACGAACTGTCGGAAACTGGAATTTATGGAGCGTTGAATGGGGGCCTGGTGGCTGAATCGCCTACAAGCTAGACTTGTAACTGGGAGGTCCTGCTGTCGAAATCGGATGGTGAGTGCGTACTGATGAAGAGTACCAAACTAGAACAAAACAGCTGTCCAGGACTGCCCGGTTCTCCACTGGTCCTCCATCTGATGTCAATTAGTGATCAAACCTGTATTCATTTTTCTCTAAGACACTGAATATATGGCTCACCCCAGCCAACTCCGATGAAACTTATATTCTGTTGACCATAAATATACTAGTATGTCACTCGGTTGTCTATTTACATTTTATCTTGTGTTCCGAATGATTGTACATTTTACATACATTCAGTTAACCAGTGTGCTATTATTCTGTCTTATACTTGTACCTCAAAAAGTTTTTGATATAATTTTCATTTGTTTTTACTGTTTGTTTGTATCCTATTATACATGGATATATAATTGTAAAGCTTCGAGGAGTTGTCGAAATCCGTTGTTCACTCAAAAAAAAAAATTTCTTGTCCTGATTACATTAGGAGTTTTAAGTAAATTATAGTTATATTTTAGTAGTTTACACACCGTGATAAGTTATCTATTTTTTTTTTGGTAATATTTCGAGTAAATTACAGCCCGTGTTTGCACCAACTGTTGGAATAGTTCTTTTTTTTTTTACTAATTTACACATTTATGATTTGTAATTCATTCATTTTTTGTACATCCAGAATTATATTCTAGGTTGCTGACAGTTGTACTTAGTCCCCTATGTTACATGTATCCGGCATCACTTTTATGAGTAACAGATGGCAGCATTAAAAAAAACTTTATGTAAGAAAACTACACATTCTAGGAAATTCTTTGATTATCACTGAGCTCATCCGCTCACAGGAAAACGGAGGTTAATACAAATTCATGCAGGCAGAATTTACGCAATACCTTGTGCTGAATGTCCGAGTAAGAATATATGGGTAAACGTCTAGGTCACTCAAACTAGAATGAGTGAACATAAATGTCTAGCTATAAAAGTCATCCCACAAGAAACCAAGGTTAAAGTAAGTTAGAAAAAAATTCGTCTATAGTTGCACATGCATGGGACAAAAACCACAAAATTGATCAGGACAACATTTGTATTCTGAAATCTAATATGAACTAAATGGAAAGAAAGGCTAGTAATAAGTGAATTTATATTCAGTAAAAGTCAATCTGAACGAAGAATATTGTGGGCTAGGAAAATTGACAAGTAAGTCAGTTCAAGGTTATCGAAGGTGTCAGGTGAGTGGCTAGTACAAAGTGGTCTGTGCCCAATTTTTTTTTAATGACTACTATCTACTATCTAATTACTATGAGACAGCAGTTATTCTTCCACTCCACTCCGACATCTACGCGCTCTCCACTTACACATTCACAATAAGGTAATAGGTCACGGTCATTTAGACTGATGGAGGAAAATCTAGATTAGAAGACCCATATAATAATATGACAGTGTGGAAGGTGGGATTAAAACCTGAAGCTTTATTCATCGAAACCAACTGGGAATACGTGCAGTAGAAATGATTCAGTAGCTGTCCATCCAGATATCTGGAGAATCCAATTGCAGATGCGAAGGAAGATGGAGAGCTTTAAAAATCAAGTTTCGAAGTTGTGTAGTTACAATCGGTCAAATAGTTATGAACAATGAATGAACTGTATTCAAAATGTCATCTAGTAAAAGGAAAAAATACCATTTCACTGTGTGTAACATATCTAATAAAAAAGTCACTATTGAATTTATCCTTTTTCTTAATATTATTATCACCTAGATTATTACCCACTAATTTGTATGACTAAAGTTCAATTCAATTAACCACATTAGTTTCAAATGTCTGTGATTGAAATCTTATTGTGTAATTAATTTGTGGTGATTGACAATTTCTATCTCTGTATTGTTTAAATACTTACTGTTGACTGTTGATATGTTTCATATATGAATTGCATAATAATTCCGCTAAATACAAATTCCTGATTCTGCCCTCTCTGTGTTTTGTTTGGATTCGTGTAATTCGGTCATCTCGAAATACTAATATTCCTATTACAATAAATTACTACAAATTGGCGTCGCGATGGAACTAAATAACCTGGGAAAACTTCCTATAAATGCTACTCCGCGAGAGATTGCTGATTATTTGGAATGCTTCGATGCGTGGTGCATTTCCAAGAATGTTCGGGATGACAAAATACCAGCACATTTCATCACTGCTATTGGGCTTGATGCATATAGCCTAGTGAAGAATCTGGCGTTTCCAGATAAACCCATTTCTCTGCCATATGCTAAGCTCCGTGAACTTCTTATAGATCACTTCCATATAACTACTTTTGAGACGAGAGAGAGGGCTCAGTTCAATAAACTGGTTCGTGCTCCCAACCAGAAGATTCGAGACTTTATTCTTCAACTCCAAATACAAGCTTCAAAGTGTAACTTTGGAGATCAGCTGCATACTCAACTACGTGATCGTCTAATTGCTGGAATCAATATTCCTAAATTAGAGAAAGAGTTAATTCAGATTCCTTCTTGTACTTTTCAAACTGCTAAAGATGTATGTATTACATATGAAGATGTCAACAATGAATACTCTGCTCCCACTACGTCAGTATCTGATGTCATGTTTTCTAAAGTCGAAAATACAAGTGTTCATGGAAAGCAATCCAAACTGCCGTCCACAGGTAATAGAATGCAGCGAGAGATCAAAAACATTAAACCGTGTTTTTCCTGTGGAAAGTTACATCTACGAAGCACTTGCCGTTTTCGGGGTGCTAAGTGTCACAAATGTGGTAAAGTTGGACACATCAAGACTGTTTGCAGAAGTTCGAATACTTATGTTGCTCAACATTCTTATAATTCTCCCAAGCTGTCTAGTAAAATGGAGTCAATGTGTCTTTCAACTTTACACAATACTCAAGCTAATCCAATGAAAACCTCCACTACAAGTTCGGCAACTCAAGTGTCAACTGTTTTCAAAAATGAGGTAGCTGAGTTACAATGTGAACTGTCGAAAACACGAAAAGACCTGAATGAGATGAGAGAGCAACTGATTAAAATGGAGGAATTGCTGCATATGCATAGACTGCGTCTGTCGAATGCAGAGCATACAAGTACCCGTGAAAGTCCTGCAAAACTTTTCAAATCTCGAATTCTCAAAAAGCATCTGATGTCCACGACTTCTAATGTACATTATTACAAAGGTAATAACTATAGACCTTCTGTTGGAATTATACTACAAAAAATGGGAAATCGAGTGGTGAAGATATTAGACATCAAAGATCACTCAGTTCATAACGGACACCTGGACAAAGTGACAATAAATGAAGTAGGTCGTTCCAATTATAATATTATTGATTCCGCTAATAATCCTGATTTTGTAGATAATTCAGAAATAGGTCCAGATAATACTGATGAAAATAATATCACAGAATCAGTTAGGTCTCAGCTACTTGCAAGCAAACCGAGACATCGTTATAAATACGCAAGGAGATATTCGACGTGTGGCGGATGTGGTGATTGACAATTTCTATCTCTGTATTGTTTAAATACTTACTGTTGATTGTTAATATGTTTCTTATATGAATTGCATTATAATTCCGCTAAATACAAATTCCTGATTCTGCCCTCTCTGTGTTTTGTTTGGATTCGTGTAATTCGGTCATCTCGAAATACTAATATTCCTATTACAATAAATTACTACATAATTGTAAAGCCTGATTGAGAGATTCCCGAAAATACTTAAACTAGGTCCTGTAATCATCATCATGAGTGGATTTAAATCAGTATGGACACTTAATTGTAGAACCTGAAGAATTTGAAGAAAAGAGTACCGTTTTTTCAGTGATCATCATCAGTGTTTCGAAATCTATCGACAATAACTTTCAACCTACTTTACTGAGCCGCATAAATTGTGGTTCAAAACCAATTGAAAAATGAGCATCTGTAATCGTTGTAAATATTTTCAACATTGTGTGATCATCGAATTCATTGACTCCCAATACATTTGCATGTCGTGTCAAACGTGATGTTATGTCATTACGTCCGCCTCCAGGTGGTCCCATTGCAGCCATAAAACGCTAAGACAACAAAATAAAGAGATATAACAGGATTACACAATTACGTGTGCCAGTTGATGGATGATAAAGTTATAATATAGTCTAAAATCAGTTTAGAGTGACCCCAAAGAACATAAACAATGAATACCACAGCTGAGGTATAAAATATCTCAGAAGATTTTTGTGATTAAACAATGGAAGTTGTCCAACGAGACGTCTTTATTGTTTTAAGTTTGTAAATCAGGTTTTTCTGAGCGATTATATGCCAGCTGCTTCATTCGATGGGTACTAACTAGGTCGTTTCAATAAACAGGTCATGAAAATTCAAAAATACAAGTTTAACTTTTGAACTTATTGCCTCCTTTAATCCATTATATCATTCAACAGATATAAGTATCAAGCAACATTTTCTGATAAAAGTGCTCATCAAATGTAAGGCAGTTCACCGCCGAGTCATAGAAAACATTTTCAATGCAAACTTTCATTTTAAAAGAATATAACAAAATCATATAACTTGTCATTAAACCATCATAGCGCCAATATACACTAAAGCCACTCGGTGTTTTCTGTCACAGATATCACAATTTATTTTTTAGAAAATTGCGGAGTGTGTTGCATTAGAATTGAATCAATATTTATGACTGACAGAAAATTATTTTCAGGTGAACTGTTGAATTAAAAGCGGAATTTGTCCAGGTCAGTTTCACTTGCCATACTTTACCATGGTCACTGAGTAAAAATCAGTTGAAATTAATTATAATAAAGGTTTTTTGGTATTTCCCAATGAATGAAAAACAAAACGATATTGCTGTTTTCGCTGACGTTTCGCTATTTAATTCTGCTGCTAATAGCTTTATCAAAGTATTACTACACCGGAATTTACAAAATCTCAGCGTATATATAACGAAGAGTTGGGAGGTGAGAGAATGGACCGCTTAGGTCAAGTTAAAAGGAGATATTGAAAGTCAAAATAACAATGAAGATCACTAAACCAAATAACAAAGGTAATACATCTGTATGTCTCTTATGATGTCAAAATAAAGTTTACTAACTTGATCATCGTTCGTCAGTCCATACTGACAATATTGAAATAATCCAGTAAAGCTTCAGAAATCGCAAAGAAAGTCTAGTATCAGAAGCACTTCATATCAAGTGAAATTCAATTTGCCTGAATGGGAGTGATGGACTAAAACAGAATCTGACCTGGTTACAACATCTCCCTCCCATCGCCTCCCCCATGAATTGACAATATCAACACGAATGTCATAAGCAAGTTCACTGTTTTTTATAATTTTACATACTGAACAAATCCAACAATCTACTTTTGGTTTTGTTATCTATATCAATTGACCAACTTGACAACGAAGAATGACCCCAGACTGGCGAACGATCATCAAGTTAGTAAACTTTATTTTGATATCATAAGAGACATACAGATGTATTACCTTTGTTATTTGGTTTATTGATCTTCATTGTTATTTTGACTTTCAATATCTCCTTTTAACTTGACCTAACTTGTCCATTCTCTCACCTCCGAACTCTTTGTTATATATACGCTGAGATTTTGTAAATTCTAGTTTAATAATACTTTGATAAAGCTATTAGCAGCATTAAATTTTTATTTATTTTTTTACTCTTGATTACAGTTTGATTCCACACCGTATTTTTGGTACAAGTATGGAAGTTTCAACATGGATATCGGTAGTCCAAATTTGCAGGCCGACCATAGATATCAGGTGTGCGTCGACAGGGGATCGAACCTCGAACCATGTGCATGATCGGCGAGAGTCCGAACCACTGTGCCACCGACGCGAAACGTTAGTAAACGTGGCAATATCGTTTTGTTTTTCATTCATTGGGGAACACAAAAACCTTCATTATAATGAATATCATATACCTAATGCCTAAAGTTTTTCAAACTGTTAAAAGTAAACTTGGTTTGGACAGATATAGCAGTTGAAATTAAGTCTAGTTTATGTGAATCCAGAGTGCTCAACACTTCATATACAATGTCTCGAAAATTTGTGGAATATTTTGATAAGATAGTCTTATTGTTCTGTCGACCAAGTATTAAGTGTATGACATCAGTTAGCGGGCCATTGGAGAATCAGCTGGGATTACTCTTAGACAGCTGTTTCGTCCTAATTCTGGACTCTTCGTCAGTACGCACCCCCCGTCAGGGTTCGAACCAAGGATCCTCAAGTTACAAGGCCATCACGTTGACCAATTATCCGCTGAGACCCAATCCCGTGACAAACCAGTGAATTCTAACTTCTACCAATTCACCATATAGCTCAACTACGCACCCAGAAGTTGGAATTATTGAACCATTAGATCGACTGTGAAGAGTTCCGAAATAGGACGAAACAGCTGTCTGGCAGTACTGTCAGCTGATTCTCTAGTGGTTCTCTAACTGATATCAGTTCATGATGAAATCTTGTAGCTGCTATTATTTTCTTCATCAGTATCTTTACCATTAAATACAGTTTACCCGAAATATTTATTTGACACCAGAAAGTTATTATACTCATTTTTAGGAAACTGTGTTAATGCAAACGTCTTCCACTTTCTTCTGTTAGCTAATTCAATATCTCAGTGTTAACATCTTTGAAAAAACTGGGTAATACGGGTTCTAATCTCTGGGATGTGATTAATTCATGTTGACAAGTGGCGACTGCCTCAAAATTTAAACTCAGGGTTTCCCCGACCATTTTCTCAAACCCTCTTGTATTAAATCAAATTCCACTGAAATTACATCAGTCCAAAGACATTTTCACACTGAACTGTATGTACTACATACTGTCCTGTCACCTGGAACTCGAGGTTGTATTTTCTTCTTCTGTTGTTTGTCGGATGTCAGACAGCTTCAAATTACGAATAACTTCGGAGTCCAGATCAGTTCCCCAGAGGTGAAACAAGACGTTTTGAATAAAATTCTATCCTGAGTCCCATAGGAGAACAGAATCCAGATGGGCTGAAATATGCAACTCCGTCTGCATACTGCTGTTTTATTTCGGAGAGGTTTATTCCAAGACCAAGGAGATAAGACTTCTTTGTCCAGAGGCCAAATTAATAATGCTTCTTTATCGATTTAGTGCTCTCAGTCGCTAGAAATCTAGTTAGAACATGACTCAAAAGGATGAAGAATTTCAGACCAATGAAATTGAAGAACATCAAATCTTCAAGACTTTACGTATGTCACTTGCTCCCCACCTTACTAATGAATTTAAAAAGGCGTGGTTACTTTGCTGTTACCCGGACAGCTGACTAGTATTTTGTATCTTTCCATCATTTTACTTTCCTGATGCTTTTACAGATTTTGTAACATGAACCCCTTTAATTGAACACTAGATAGCAACCAGTCATTCGTTGCAGACTGAATTCTATCAATCAATTTTGCAATGTGGCCAGCATGTCACTAGGTGGCTTGCTATCACTGTGAATTTTGATCTGTTTTAATCAGATGGTTGGATGCAGTCGGCAGGAAGCTTTGGTCATGAAGGAATTCATGTTCCCTCTGAGTTTCAAACTCAGGTCACTCGATGCTTCAGTCTGAAGTCTATCGCGAGCCCAAACAATTCAGTGGTAACGCCTCTGACGCTGGGGTTCGAATCTCAGAGGGGATATGAGTTTCTTCAAGATTACAGATACTCCCTGTTTACCAGTACCAGTAATTGTGAAACCTAGGTTTGAAGTTTCCTTCCTATTTCCTTCAGCAATCCGATAATAATATATAATGAATCCCCTTCCTGTGCGTTTTCTGTTTTGTTCAACTCATTTACTGAAGATTGTGAACCTTCCAATATCAGCTGATACGTACTGCTTTAATCTCATGAGAAACAGTAACACAAACTGAAAGCATCGTTTATTCCATTCAGATTCACTTGCTCTTGACTTCTTCACATCCCTTTGTCTGCAGTAGTTTTAATAAAGGTATAGTTTCTTAAGTTCAATGTGTACATATCTTCATGCCACGGGATATTATTGACAATACATATAGATATCATTTGAAAAAAATACAGAGAAATGTCAACTCAATTTCCACAGAAGAACCCAATGCATGATTCGAACATATTCATCATTGAAGAGAAATTTCTGGAAATCAACAATTGCATTTATCTTGTCTTCAGTTGTAAATTATATAACACGACTTAAGCAAACAGGTATTTGCTGGCTTTACATTTACGTAATGATGAAATATTAGTTGTCATAGGCATTTGAATTAATATAGTTGATAAGATATATAGGATCAGAATTCGGGTGTGTCAATTAATGGAGTAACAATCGAGGTGATCATAATAACAGTAATAATAATCGCAAGGATAAATTCATTCAAGTGTTTATATAATCTAGGCAATGGTGAGTGTATAGGTAGAATGTGTATGCTAACCAGTATGGGTGGAGGGGAAAATAACTATTGTGCGTCGGTGTCACAGCGGTAAGGATATGAGTATAAAACTTAAGCACTGTTGTAGAGTATAACTCCATTATGGATAAGATTTTATTTTGATAAATCCCACACAGTGTTGTACAGTTATACTAACTGATGACGTTTCTTCAAGTTCTTGATATGATTATGAGCAATAGTTTGTGCTCGAAACGTCATCAGTTAATATAACTGTACAACACTGTGATTTATCAAAAAAAAAAACAGCGTTGAGGACTCTCACCGACCATGGACATGGTTCGGGGTTCGACTCCCTGCCGACGCACACCTGATATCGATGGTCGGCCTGCGAAATTTGGACTACCGATATCCCATGCTGAAAATTCCATACTTGTACCAAAAATACTGTATGGTTTCAAGCTATAATCAAAATTTAAAAAATTAAATGAACAATAAATTATGAAACCGAGGTTAAAATGTACAACCACAGTACAGTATGATATTGATGATATAGTTGGTATTACAAATAAAATAAAATAATAAGATAATATTTACAGGTATCCAGTGTCACCAGAAGAGATAATCATTTTAGGTCGGAGGAGAAGGCCAAAGGAGGAAGAGAGATTGGAAAGAAAAGTTTTCTGAACACAGAAGTTAGGTTGGAGATTTCGCATTATGACAACTGTCTCAACTATGCCCAGCAACCGTAGATGTACCAATCTAGGGAGTTGAGGTGCCACCTTGTATAGAATTGTACAAGCCGAATTTTTGTCACTCTTGTGCTCCGTATCCACTGGGTGTGTAAGTATGAAACTTCTGACTGACGTTACGACTCCTTTACCTAACCACGCTGGACAGTGCTTCTGAAGGCGACTGTAGACTTGCTGAGTCGTTTTATCTGACCATGTAACTGTCTCAACATGAACAGTTACATTCATAAATACACATTGAAGTGGCAGGGCGCTGTAGCTTATTCTTCACTTCGGTTGGGATTAAACAACGAATGGCGAATTTTAAACAGAGAGTTGCGGCGAAGAATGTTTTACATATTATTTCTTGAAGTTTTGATGCCAGCAATTCAGTTGCTGTATCTCCTTTAGGCGGGTAAAGTCACGTATATATATATATATATATATATATATATATACGTTCCTTCTGTAATGTTTGCAGACATTTCTTTCCATCTGTTCTTCCCAATGAAGACTTTAATAAATTTTCGGTGTATCAATTCTCGTAAGATAAGTTTTCTATTTTCCTTATTTCATAGTCTGCTTTGGGTGGTATAGATTTTTCTGGCACGAAACATTAGGGCACTGACTGATAAGATTTCGTTTGTATGCAAGAGGAACAAACGGTCTCAAATAGGTGTATTGACCAACCCACAACTTCTTCCGGAAAATAACCCGCTGAATACTCCCATCTTGCCTTCTTGTTGGCAGGACATCAAGAAATGATAAGGTGTTGTCTTCCTCCTTTTTCATACGTGAATTCAACTTGCGGGTTAGTCATACTAAACTTCTGGAAAGGAACCTCAGCATTGATTTTGTTATTTTGCAAGACTGTAGGATCGTCCATTTATCTACAGTAGAACGATAGTTCATTGGTTACATTTTTTAATTTTATTTTTGCCACAAACATATCGGCTAAGGGAAGATTCAGAGGAGGGCCCATTGCTGCTGCGCCCCCCCCCACACACACCTGACGGTATATCTCTTTAGCAAACTGAAACTGAACATCCATTGTACAACAGGGTACTAATTCCCGTAGTGTTTAAGGTGGTATACCTACGTCCATATCATTTTCTTTAAGAGATTCACCGATGAAGTCGATGGTACACTAATGGCCTCCACATTAATTGAAGTGTTAATGACCAGTATTTCATTAGGTAAACACAGGGGATCAGGTGGTGGTGACACAGCGGTAGAATGCTCGCCAACTACACATTTGTTCGGGGTTCGATCCTTGGCCTACTCACCTATTTACCTTGCTAAGTCAGTAAGAAGACTGGCAAAAAAAAAGGGAAGGTTGGGCAACAGCAGATGTTTTGAGTAATAGTTTTTGTTACTCCTACGTATGAATAATGCATTTTACGCTGTTAAACATTATGCAGACACCTTGTTAAGTGTTATCATTTCAAAACTAAGCTTAATGATTGTTCATACTTCCGCTTCATCACAGTCAGCTTGTCAGGTCGTTTTCTTTTATGCACTTGGTAGCAAACTAGTCATTTGTACATCTAATAATAATAATCATTCGTTCATAAGAACACACAACATTTACACTTACAACGTCAACTAAATGTTGTTTGGTATTATCTTTCTTATCATACCAATGACCATGATCAATCCACATACGCAGTAATTCAATTGGAGGTTGTGCACCGTATTTCTCTTTCATTGGCATATTTAAGTCATCCACGAAGACAATGCATTGCTTATCTGGTGGTGGACCGAACACACCTTTACGTCGTCTATCCAAACGTGACATAATAATGTCTTGTGTTTGATTAGCACTTGTACGCGCTGAAAAGTTAATAACATTCGGTATGTATTTCTCTCTAGGCAGTTGGATTAGGTAGCCGTTGGCGATTACAGACTTTCCCGTGCCTAAAATACAAATAGAGAAAGTTAAATGAAGCTGTTAACCCCCAATAACCGTTGTAAAATTGATGATGTAGAAATCAATTCAAGCGTTAAATATCTTAGACTAATTCCTTCTGCTGATCTATCCTCGTCTATCTACCTTTTAGCGATTTCTATTCAAATATTCCGTCTGACATTTTACATTAAGAAGTTAAAGGACTCGGGGATAACTCAACCCCTCCTTCTCTTACTCTTTGTCAACTCTTGCATCTCATCTATCCTTCTTTATTGTCCACCCGTATTTCTTCCTGGGTTACTTAAAAAGATTTTGTCAGACTATTTCACAGAACTCTGATGACTGTCAGTAGGTCGAGTGGTGGTATCCCATAGGGTATAGCGTTGACATCATCATTATTGATAGGCACTTAATTTCATACCATGAATTTGTTACGATCGCAAAAACATTCACTTTGCCTGCAGCTTTCACCTTGTATATTTTTCTCAAGTAGAAAAAGGAGTCATTTCAAAGGACTTCACGTCTAAGTATAAAAATTCCACGGTACCATATATTGCACGTATTCTGTGTGTGTTGAAAATAGTGTCAGGCACGAATTAACTAAACCTTTTTCCACTAGTAAATAAACAGTTTTCTCCGTCTTTCTGCCAACAAATTTTACTGTTATTACTACTATTATATCCTTTAATTCCTAGGGGAGCATAGGGCTTCAGCTAGGCGTCTTCATTGCGTTCGATTTTCCGTCAACTTTTTCACCCTGCTGCAAGTCTGCCCACATGCTTTCATCTCCTCTAATATATTTCTAGTCCCCTTGTATTGTTTTTCATAATTGTAAACACCAGTCATTTGAGCCCTGTTATAACTGTTTTTGTTTTGTATTTTGTTTTGCCCCTCACCATGCTAGTGTATCGGCACATCGGTAAACGCCGACCATGCACATGGTCCGGGGTTCGACCCCCTGCCACTGGACGTACTCCTTTACCTCGCTAGGCCAGTAGTGAGACTGGTAAAGAGGAAAGTTTAGGCCAGATGAGGCTAGCAACCTCATCCTGTAAAAAACAGACACTGCTACAGAAACTTCAAGCCACTAGCCTGAGGCCCTATGTTCCACTGGGAACGTGAAGGAAAGAGAAGAAAATGCTATGTCAAGAGAACAATAGATTCAATACTCTATAACTTGCTAAGACTTCCATACTGACTACATCGGCAGTACTGTTTAATGCGAACCTATTGTTACTATTATTCTTATTATAATTATTATTCTCATTTTATCCTTTGCACATTTTTGACATTATTCCTACTGTTAATGTGGAAAAATTCCTGTGGTTAATTTTATTTATATTTTAAGTAAATTAGATGTAGTATTGTGACCAATGGTGAAAATTCCATTCTGTATTATAAGTACTGTTTTTTTTAATAAAGCAGATTATGATTGTTATTAAAAAAATTATATCTCATGAATAGACACAGAAGTCATCCTGAGAGTTGATAACAATACAAATAATAATACGAGTTATGAGTATAAAAGCAGTCACATTTAGGTGAAACACTGCTCCTTAGGTTACTTTCTAGGAGGTACCCTACGGAAGTCATTATTATCTGACAGACCCTAAATTTTGTCTCTTGACGATATTGAATACTCTAGACTGCATCAACAAACAGACACTAAACACCCATAATACACTTGGTGTTTTTAGGTGTTCACCAGTATGACGTATCGACGCTTTAATGCGTCGGTAGAACGCTTACCAACCACGCACATGGTCTGCGGTCAACTCCCGGTAGACGTACTCCTAAACCTCGCTACGCTGGTGGTAACGCTGGTAAAAAGAGAGAAGGTTGGGCGTGAAACTATCAACTCCACCTCGTAAAGATAGAACCGATGCTACCGAAACATCAGGAGCTCTAGCTTGAAGCCATATATTCCGCTGAAACGCAAAGGAATAAAAAAAAATGTAGAAAATAAAAGATAAATCAACGAAGAAAGTTTTCTTTATCGACGAAATCATAGTCAGAGGCTGTATAATCTCATTTATATACACCAAAAACGTATAGTAGCCTATTATTGAGAACTAGGATAGTGACATAATTGATATTTTCAGGTGTTGGTTTACAGGGATTTGAGTGGTTACAGGATTTCATCATTAGCTGACATCGGTTAGAGAACCACCTAGGAGTGCTAGACATCTGTATCGTCCTGGTTGATTGATAATTGACAAAATTATTCAGAAGTGGTCTCCAAAATAAAAAGCTGTCGAGTTACGCAATAGTCAATGGAAGAAAGGGTCTTGAATTTAATGAGGTTAAAACTGTTACTGAATGAGAAGTAAGATAGTCGAATGTCCATTCGATAAGTGTGAACAAGTACAGAAAATCTACAAAGGATACATGTGAGAGTGACAACAGTAAATTAATTACTAAAAAATAAAAACAAACAATTGGAGTAGAATAACAGACGAATCACCAACTCATCTGACATACGCAAATGCCTAAACCTCATACTACTTGTATCACTCGGTGTCACTTTGTAGATAACCTTAGAAGAGGATTTGAGTGGAGATGCATGGCCTGAGTCTAATAGGTGCTCGAAATTTGAGCTAATGATTGTTTTACATCGTCCTGTTGCTAACCATTCCGGATAATGTTCAGAGGTGTGTTTGAAAAGTGTGTGCTTTGTGTAGCTAGTATAACAGGAACAAGTATAGTGGCCTGACACGGCAGTTTGTCCTTCACACATCCATTGATTATTGGTTGATTGTAAAAGTCGGCCGAGGAGGAAGGTTTTTTCAGTGATCTCTAGAAGCAGTTTTTCAGAATATCAGCTGTGGTGTCACCTTTGTATATAAATAAGGTTGCACGACCTCTGAATATGATTTCGTTGGTAAAGAAAATTTTCTTCGCTTGATTCTTTTATTTTCTTCCTGATTTAATGGGCGTTTTTGGCCTTTCAAAGAATATTTCCGCACTATTGAAATGCGTCTAGTTTATATCTACAAATAATTAATTAAGTGTCTACACAAAACTAGAATTATCAGTGTATGACTTACTGGTAAGTTGGAAAAGGTTTATTTACTAAAGAAGTTGCAAAACGAAAAATGCCTCAACCCAGTTTCTTATACTTCTCGAAGTAGGAGTGATAGAGTGTCTGAGTGACATACGGCTTAAAATGAACTTAAAGCTTCATGTAATATAGTACAGACAGCTTGCAATAAATGATCCCTGGCATCTCACCGAACTAAACCAGCATCTCTGAAGAACTCGGAATACAAATTAATACTTCCTCAGTGCCACAGAATCTTACCTGTGGGTCCAACTAGAATTAATGGAACATGATGGGTTGTATACAAATTAAGGAAGAAATACATCCGTTCAGTTTCAACTGTGTTGACTATCATATCGGCTTGTGGATCCGTATCTTTTCCAGTCGGGCTTGCTGGTGGAACTACACCATCCTCAGGATTAGCTTCAGCTGTTGTTGCGGGAACTTCAGTAATTGGTGGATTGGGGTCGAAACCTTGTCCTGCTTTAGATGAATTCCAGTTAAAATATGACCATTCAGACCACGATCCTTGAGATTTTTTATCATACCAAAAGTCATAAACAGTTTGACGTTCTGGAAATGAATTTCCCTTAGTCAATTTGATTGATTTTGGTTTAGGATGTGATTGATTAATGCCAGAAACAAGATCACGGAAAAATAAATCGAATTTGCCTCTTGAATCTGTTGGTAGACATGATCCTATGCTCCAGACCACTGAGAAGAGAAATAATGCCTGAATCTGTAGGTAGACTGTTTGAGCAGACATAGTATTTTGAGGAGAAACACCTTCAACTGGGTCTGAATCTGAAATAAAGAGAAGAATATACATTTATTTAAATCAGGATTGCATTGAATAGCCTCACAAAAGTTGTGTTTGTATTAGTGTCAATCAGAGTGAAATAAATAATTCTAACGTTTTTGAAAACAATCTATTGCTTGCTCACGATTGTACAGCGGGACAGCAGTCGCTGTGTGATCTCTAATTCATACGTACTTATCTTTGATGTCTAACATTTAAACATCCTCCTGATGAAGGTAATTTTGGAGAACAGGTTGAAACTGTTTACCTTGAACTCATTGAGGTTTCTACAAGTATGACTTTTCATACATGTAAATGAAGAGCAGTTTGTAATATATCCCTTATTTGAGTAGAGAGCAAGCAGAGCTCAGTTTACAAGATAATGCTACGTTTTTTTATTATTGTCAGAACAGATGTCAAGATCAGTTTAAAATATGCTGAAGCCATCCATAAAATCAAGCACTCCACAGTGTGTTCAAAAATACTTTATTGTTACCTCGGTAACTCTGACTTTATTGTGGTGTATAAAAGAATTTGCTAAACAAAATATCACTGTTGTCGGCTGTTAATCTATGAGTAGCGTCCATTATTATTCTGTTTAACTTTAAACTCTCTATGATGTGGTTCAGTTTCACGCTTTCATTTTCCTACGAAATGAACCGACCCGTCTTCAGATTGTTCGAAATATACTCTGATCAAATTCATCATATTTTTTTCAGATAATCCCCCTCTTTTCATAACACCGTCCATTTGTAAAAGAATCTAACTGTTTTAAATGTGTGGTATAAATAAAATGTTTTGAAAGAAGGTCAGAGATGAAGGTGACGAGGGACACAGCAATTCCTGAAGACATTAGATGATCAGGTCATAGTGGGAATTTTCATATTAAGTTTATGTTGACCTTATAGTAAACTAAGAGAGACATATGGGTTGAGTGGTATGTAGTATAGGTTAGTCTCTGTGGCGAAGCTTTTGTTGTTAAATGGATCACATTCTGCGATCTAAATATTATGTGATTCCAAACGGAAACGTTTGGAATTTTCATCTTGTACTATGCATTTAGCAAATGATGAATTAAATTAAACAGGCTGCACAGGTTAGGTCTCTTCCTATTGATTTCCATAGCTTCAGTGACACATAAGAGACAAAACTATTTGCTTTTAGGCAGAGTGCAAACTCCTACTCGTAAATTAAGTTAAGCAGATTACTGGATATCCTGCAGACAAGTCAGTTAGTGCTACTCACTATACGGATCAGAGACTTGGCTAGCGCGTCATAAAGAGCATCTCCAACAAACTTCAGACCTTCATCAACAGTTGTCTTCGCTCAATACTTAAGATCAGATGGCCAGAAAAGATCAGCAACAAAGATCTCTGGGAGCGAACCAACCAGGAACCGATTGTGAAACAAATAGGCAGACTTGGAGCGAGGTGAAAAAGTTGGCAGAAAACAGAAGGCAATGGAGGTGCGCAGCTGAAGCCCTATGTTACTCCAGGAATTAAAGGATATAACAATAATAATAATAATGAGAGACGCATGCAGATTTATTTTGCAAGATTCAGCTTATGTTGTGTACAGCTGATGCTATAGGTGACGACAACAAAATGTTGACGAATACACATGTCGAAAAAGATTATCCTTTCAAATTTCTAAATCGATGTAGAGGTGAGTTACTTTCAAAACCTTCAGTCTATTCTGCTCCTAAGAAAGACGTTTTCATTAAATTACCGAAAATTGGAGAAATAAACGGTAGGATTTTAAGCCACAGACTAAACACGATCATCCGTGGAAAGTATTATGCGGCCCGGTTTATAATTATTGAAAAAGCCAAAAATAAGCTCCACTACAAAGAGATATCGGCAGATTTGGTTGGATGTTGGTTAGATGGCCTCCTATTGGGTTTAAAATGCATGTTAGTGTGAAGTTTTTTTTTTTAAATTTCCACACCGATAAGTACAGTCAGATTGTCAGATAGAATAAATACTATCGTTTTCGAATAGCGTTTAAGTTTTTTTCTGTCTCATTGTAGAATGCTGAGTCATATTTTGTTTGAATACATTTGCGATGTATAAGAGTTTTTACTAGGTGAATATGATTCAACTACAATTTGTCGAGAATTTGTAAAGAACTGTCGACGACCATACTATGTTGAAAACTTCGATTCTCTTCCGATCATCGAAATTTAACAACGATTAGTACTTGCATGGGTGACCGGCTGGGAGTATGACGTGTTACCAGCTTTTCTGCAATCACTCAATCTCTACTTTGATAATTTTTTAACTTTTACATCTCACCTATTGTTCTTTATGCCTACCCCCACCTTAGTCTTTCCTGAGCTAATCAAAACGGACTGTCATATTTCGAAGGGTATTAAAGATTTTCAGTAAAGGCAAGTAGTGTGTCGTCACCAAGTCAGCTCGTTGCTATAGTAGTCAACAGATATCTGTACTCATGTGAGGAAAGGTCTAAATCCACACTGTCTGACTTTCAACATCCTCTGTATTCTCAGTTCTCCCACTGTATTTCATGAGCTAGGAATAGAATAAAAGGCTATATGATCGTACAACTACGTACACAAACTAAGTGATACCTTATTTCGTCCGCGTTCTATATGATAGAGATCTCGTTAACCGTGGAACCTACGACTTACTGTTATTATCAAAATAATTGGCTCTTTCATCTCCTCCTATATGTGATCGATCGTGATACCATTTCAGCAAACTTATAATTTTAGCTACTAACATTATTTCAGGGTTTCAGCATGAACTGACTTCGACTAGAGAATCACTGGAAAACCGTCAAGGAGTACTGCCAAACGGTTGTCTCGTCCCAGTTCCAGACTCCTCATCAGTATGCATCCGCCACAGAGGTTCAAACCTGGGACCTTCCGGTTACAAGGTGAACTTGTTTGTCTACGAGCTCGCCTTGTAAGCAACAGGTCCTCTTTCGTACCCCTTTGGTGGGTGCGTACTCATGAAGAGTCCGGAACTAGAACGAAACAGCTGTCTGGTAGTACTTCCAGCTTGCTTTCCAATGGTTCTCTAACCAATGTCAGCTCATGATGAAATCCCTGCAAACCAACACCTGAATACTAACATTATTATCATCATTATTATTTAACACGTTTTTACATTTTCGACTTAATTGTCACTGCTAATACCAAAAAAAGGCTGCTATCGTCCATTCTATAATATTACATTTTCTATTTTTGTTTGTCCTGTTTTCGAGTAAAGTAAAAATGCAACAATATTGTACCAAATGCTGAGAACTCCACACTTTATCATAAATACAGTTTTGGAATAAAGCAAATTGTTATCATTATTAAAGAGAAAAGAATAGAATATATACATTATGTAATCATTATATTTTTGCAAGCCGTCAATTTAGTGACTTATGAAGTTTAAAACAGACTTAGATAAATTGTTTGATGATGAAAATAGCTTGGAAATGAGTTAGAAATTAGAACGAACTGCGTCTTACTTACTACACATTATCAGCCTAAAGTTTTGGTTTTCAGCATAATATCCTGAGTAATCGTAACTACGGGGTACCATCATTTCATTTCCTGCTATGAGCAGTTTACTATTTTAGCCAAATATACGCAAAGTAACCCAATGACCGTAAGTTTACCGTAGGCGTTAACTGTCAACTTAGTAAGTGTGATCTTCCGATTAAACATAAGGCTATGGTAGCATCCATCCAGTGACAGAAACTGACCTCCAGACGTTAAAATATACCAAACGTTGAAAAAAGGAAACTGCAAATTTCAAAGGAAAACTAATGCACGACCCGACTGGTCGATGTGAGAAACCATCATGACCTTGAAGCCAGATACACCTAACTGCTCAGATGAATATGAGGCAAGATTGGAAATGCTCATAGATCTCACAGAATGTTTGAAGACCAGTCGGTAGTCACACTTGCCGTAGTCCGGATAACAAATTAGAACATTCAGTTTCTGAAATTTCTTCTCAAGCAAAATATTGGTCTATGATGAAAAATATTACAGGCTACAAGAGGTAAAGTAGTTAGCATAGATTCTAACATCACACTATGCTGTTAGTTAACTAGTAAATCAACAGAATTGCTCATGTGGAACGAATTTCATAAAAAGGTAATTAGTTCCATATTAGACAAGTTTATTTTAAATATCACACAGTGACGCAATATTAAGGGGATGACGACAAGGTTGCGAGAAGAAATTATTGCTGCTCATAGTCATATCAGTTATATAGTAGCATTTATAGAAGACTGATAAACACTCTAATAAATGGTATTAGATGATTGGAGGCAATCGGAAGGAAGCCTTCGACCTAGGTTTCGTGCTAGCTAGCAGTCGTCAGTCAGCAAGGCGTATCTGCAACCACCTCGAAGGAACTCATGTCCCTTCTGAGATCCGTACGCGCGTCACCCAGTGCTGCAGTCAGAGACGTTACCACTGAGCTATTCGGGCTGGCTCGCGATTGACCTCCTGTGAGACTGTACTGGGTATTTTGACTGGACACTAGTTAGTGACTAGTGTATTGCGTCTAGTATTTTTGTTTAGTGCAGACTGAATTCTCTCACTCAGTCAGTCTTGCTGACGAGTGCCAACTAGCACGAAACCTAGGTGGTCGAAGGCCTCCTGTGGCCGATCACCTCCAACTACCTAATATCATCAAATCAATGTGTGCACCATGATGGTGAACTACCTGCCTAGAATGGTGGCCACATTGCAAACCTGACTGACTGATAGAATTCAGTCTACATCGAAGAAAGTACTAGACGGATAACACTAGTGTTCAATCCAAGTCCTCTAGTAAATGGTTGAAACAAATGGATTGCGTATTGCATAATTTTAGAAAAATGAAGAGTAATTAAGGAGTAAGTGTATGCACAGGTTGATAACGCAACAGACTGCTGAAGAAAATAAAGCGATTTGGATAATGATAACCTGTAACTAAGGCAGAAATGGCCATAGGAATACACTAATTTAACAACGATAACATTTAATTAAAGATGAAGT